AATGAATATGACTTTACAAATGAGAAAAGAACTTTGAATCAATAACTTGGTATTGATAAGATAGTAATGTTTTCTGCTAAATCATAAATGGACTTAGGTTAGCACTCCATTTTCTGGTAACTTCCAGATTGGATTATGGTAACACAGTCTACATGGGTCTGTTCTTGAAGACCACGCAGAAGCTCAACTGGTCCAAAAACACAGCATGCAGATTCCCCGCTGGGGTTCCTTTTAGAACCACAGAGCCTAGGACTTGCGGATCAGAAGGTTGGCGGTTCGAATCCCCGCGACGCAGTGAGCTCCTGTTGCTCGGTCCCTGCTCCTACCAACCTAGCAGTTCGAACGGACGTCAAAGTGCAAGCAGATAAATAGGTACCGCTCCAGCGGGAAGGTAAACGGCGTTTCTGTGTGCTGCTCTGGTTCACCAGAAGCGGCTTAGTCATGCTGGCCACATGACCTGGAAGCTGTACGCCGGCTCCCTCGGCCAATAAAGCGAGATAAGCACCTCAACCCCAGAGTCAGCCACGACTGGACCTAATGGTCAGGGGTCCCTTTACCTTTTAACCCACTGTCTAAAACAGGGGCATGGTTGCCGGTTCATTTCCAGGCACAATTCAATGTGCTCTTGTTTGTGTTTATAGCCCTAAATAGCTAAAGTCCCAAATATATGAAACACTGCCTCCTTTCCTACGGGCTTGAATGTTAAGATCAGTAGAGGGGCCTTCTTGGTAGTTCCATCACCCTTGGAAGTTTGGGGGTGCTGGCGACCCTTAACTATGGAATTCCCAGCAGAATGGAAGTTGTAATCCAGCAACATCTCCAACTCTTCTCCGAATTTAGTATTTTGCCAAGTTAAAATGTATTATTGTTTGTTGGCACAGCTGATGGGAAGAGCATGGAGGCCCTCTGCTATTGGCCAGGGGACCAAAGGACACTAGGGTGCTGTATCCCCTGCCCTCCCAGAAAGAAGACTGGCAAGGTGAAGACCAGCCTAGTCCCATCCATTGGCCAGAGAAGGGGCGCCTGCTTCCCTCCCTGCTGCAAGAAAGTATGGGAAGAAAACCTAGTTAACGTGACCTGAAGCCTACATCATGGCATTATAATTTAAAAATTATTTTTTAATGGACAAATAGTCAGAGGGGCCCCATTAAGAAAATTGACATCATGGGAGAGGGCACAGAAATGCTCAATATAATATATATACAATGGTACCTCGGTTTTCAAACATAATCTGTTCCGCCTTACAAAACGTTCGAAAACTGAGGCGCAGAGACGGTCTGCAATTTCAATGGAGAAACTTTTTTTTAAAAATGCAGCAGAAGCTGTTCAACTTCTGAGGCGTGTTCAAAAACAGAAGCGTGGGTTTTTGGCATTCGAAAACCGAAACGTCCGGCTTCCGAGATGCTTGAAAACTGAGGTACCACTGTATTTCAAAAAATTGGTGCTGCACAGTTGTGAAATTCCCTCCCCATGCAAATTCATCTGGTGCCATCATTACTATTATCTTGTAGGTATCTGGCAAACTCACCCTGTTTTCCCATGCATTATTTTACTCCTGCTGCAACTGATGCTTTAAAAAAAATAAATCACATTTGTTTAGCTGGAGAGAGAAAATGCATAATATCAAAATTCACCAAATCTAGGATTGACCATTGGCACTGTAATCTCAATGCCTGAAACCTGCTGAGGCTTGGAAATTGTTGTCTGGTTAATACCCTGGCTTTAATATTTAATACAGTTAAATAACACTTTCAATTTGCTCTAGGAAAAAATCTGAAGAGGGGAAAGTCTTACTGTAAATATTCCTTACTGAAGTTGCTTAGTCAATGGCAGATTTAATTTGACACATTCCATCCTCCAGAAGGCACTGTAACACCAACTTTTCAACCTGTGCACAGAGAAACAGGTAACATTTATATAGCAAGCTACACATATCAAGGGATAAGGAAGGAGGCAGGAAAATTGAGAGGTGCTATTGTCTGAAATGTGAGGTCACACTAATGTGCTTATTTCTGCAATGGCATCAGAATTCTGTAACTAGGTAGCTAAAGCAGTTCATACTAACATGTTTCATTGTAAGCAGATCCACAAATGCTATAAGAATTACGACATATTTTGAATATTGTATCTAAGTATTAGTCTAAGAATGTGCATGTTTTCCATTTATCTCTTATCAGTAACTCAATTTTAACAGGATCATTCTTTTTAAAACTGAGTAACCGTAGGTCAAAAACTCTTTAACCCTCTCTTCTCCAGTATTAGTTGCAAGAAGGGTAGAGAGGGGAAGCAATGTGAGCAAACTAAACAGGATGTGAGCGAACAAGAGATAAACAATGTGAGCGAACTAAACTTCCCTATGCTGCATGATTCTGTGATTTTAATAATCTGCTGGGAACTCTCTCTTGCTGGAGAGTGTGATTAGCCCCATGCTTTGGATCCAGGGATCCAGCCAATTCTTTTTTTAATTACCCCACACAGGTATTCTTCTATATCTATTATTGTTTTCCTTCCCACAGGTAAAACCATGTAGCTTTTCTGTAGCTTTTAAGAGTCTTAAGATGGAACATGGGAGGTAGTAGCATATATTCAAATAAGGATCTGAATATGGTGTACAGTTTTCAGGTTGTATCAATGCCTTTTACTGCTTTTATTCAGGTTCTTTCCCTGGAGCCTGACTTTTGCCATATGACCTCATACCTGACTTATGCTGCAGTCCTAAAAGCACTATCTATGGAGTAAGCACCATAGTGTTATTTATTTTTCAGTAAACATGCAATAGTATTGCATTTCTATTGCTCCATCTCTCCTCTCTACTGTCCACATGTCCAGGTTACTTTCTGTTGTAATATACAGTTACTGCCTCACACTTGTGTGCATGAAATGGTTAACCTGAGCCCTGAGCTCAAGTTGTCGGAGTGGGTGTATATTAGCAGGCTCTCAGCAGCTCCTGCTTCTTCTCAGTCTTTTCTTTTTTTTTTGCAAGCAAAGGAGCCATGTGGCCTGACTCCCAACTCAGCAAATGGTACAAAATCTCTCCAAAGGGAGATTTTAAAGCCTGCATCTTTGCTAACCCAAAGACTGCATTATCCCTTTTGTAAGGAAACCAAGTACTTTTGTTTTTTTTTAGACTATTAGGTATTAAGTGATTAATAAATCAAATAGATAAGAAATAATAACAGACTGGAACTCCTCAGAAGGCCATCCAGCTGTAGCCACTGCTCTGAAGGACAAAAAATTTCTCTCTTCAGCATCCCATGTCCAATGGCCCCAATATTATTGTAATTAATACGTGTATTACAGCAGGTCCCAGGGTGGGCTACAACAATTTGAAAGTCAGATGAAGACCTGTTTGTACAGTCACAAAAATAGGGTGGACTCTGAAAGTGCACATCTCAGGTGTCAAAAGGCATGGTAAAGAGGGGCATCTTCAGGATTCTCCAAAAGTTGTATAGTGAAGAAGTCAGACACACCTATGGGGAGGGAATTTCACAACTTAGGGGCTGCTGCAGAGAAAGGCATATTCTGGGCTGCTGCCACCGCAAACTCATGAAAGAAATTGCTACTACCCCAGTGCCCCTTCTGCTGATCTGGGAGGGTCTGTGGGGAAGGAGACATTATTTTATTTCTAATTTTTGATGTCCCACATGCTACAAGAGCTGTGTACATGGAACAAGCTTCATGCTGAATGCTATTGACATTCTGGGGAGTGGAAATGCTTACAAAATGCTGTACTGCCTCCACAATGTGGCAGCTTGACTCTGTGTCCTACTGCACTCACATCCTGGTGCCCCATTTTGGAAAGCGTCCCCTGAGCAATTCTGCCGTCTCCTGTACACCTCAGACCTCTCCATGTGAAGTGTTCAAAACGGAGACCTTTCCCATCAATCTGCGGCGACTTGAAGGCCAGAAAAGTTGCCCAAGGAGAACTGCACAACTTTGAGAAGCCATCTGCCCTGTCTTGGGAAGGCATTGATGTTTCATTATGTTTTCAGATATGCTGTAAGCCACCAAGAATGGCTGGGGAAACCCAGTCAGATGGGCGGGGTACAAATAATAAAATGATGATGATTATAAATTAAAACGGAAGGTGGACAATGTGTTATGTACGATCCACCCGCCACACAGGCTGGTGCGTGCGAAGGCTGCGTTTGTGTGAAGGAGCAGGTAGGCGTGCTGTGATACCTCATACGATGGGTGTGATTTCACCACAAGGGCCTTAGCTCTGCCTTGAAACAACAATGGGGTATCAGCTTTGCCCAAGGCATGATGGATGGAAAGAAAGACATAACGTCTTACAAGGAGGAAAGAAAGACATAACATCTTACAAGGACAGGAAGAAACACCACAAACAGAATAATTGCCAGACACAGGAAGAACAAGGATATAGTTTGAGTTCCTCCCTTGTAGTTTTATAAATCACTTAAGGTGTCAACATGAATAGAAGTTATTAATAATGCAGTTGTTGTATAAGTTATTATTATTATTATTATGACTGGAACGTAATGGAAATTAATAAGATTTTGGGACGCAGAAATAAAGCAAATAATCCAGCCATCAATTCTAGCACCTTCTCTAAATTATATAATTCAGCATTTGAATGATTGGTATTAATAATTGTATTATAAATTGGTATTGTTATAATGGGGCTCTTAATTGGATTGTAACTGAAAAGTAATAAAATTATCATTAAAAAAGCTCTGCCCTACTCCCTCACCCTTCCTGCTATTATTATTATTATTATTATTATTTGTACCTGCCCATCTGGCTAGTTTTCCCCAGCTGCTCTGGGTGGCTTACAGCACGTGTATTATTATCTAAAAACATTCTAAGAAATCGATGCCTTCCCAAGACGGGGAAGTTGTGTAGCTCTCCCGTCTCAGCCTCTGAAGGGAGGGCCGTCGCGCAAGGAAAAGGCGCCACCACCGCGAAGGCCTCGCCTCCGCTCCAGACGCTCCACATTCACACGGACCTACGTACCACACACACACACACACACACACAGAAAAGGCGGTTCTGCCTCATAGTCAGTGACGACCAAGGGCGGAGGTCGCCGACGACCCCTCCTGAGGCGAGGTGGGCGAAGGCCTCCCCTCTCCCTGAGGGGCGAAACCACCGTCTGACAGGAGAACCTCTCCTCCACTTTTTCTCCTCTCATTTTGCCTCCCCTTCTCCACACTTTTCGCGGGGGCCCGAAGCAGCGGCTTTCCTCCCCCACCCGCCCTTTCCTATTCCCCTCCCCTCTCCATTTTACTTTCTCTGACGGAGAGGAAGGGGCAGGCTGCCGGGCGGCGGCGGCGGCCAACGCGCATGCTCAGCGCCGGCGCCATTTTGGAAGGGCCGGGAGATTAACCCGCGGGAGCAGCGGTGGCGGCGGCGGGTGGAGGAGCTCGGCCCGGCTCGGCGGCAGCGGCGGCGGCCTGGGGTTGGGCGGGTCGTCGGACCCCTCCGAGGACATGGCCAACATCGCGGTGCAGAGGATCAAGCGGGAGTTCAAGGAGGTGCTGAAGAGCGAGGAGGTCAGCCTTTCCCTCCCTTGTCGCCCTCCTCGGTCGTGGCGTTTATTGGGGGTGGGGGAGAGATTTGGGAGGCTACATCCCTTTCGGTTTTCCTTCCCTCGCCTCCGTTTTTCTTTCTCTCCGGGGTCTCGGGGAAGCAGCGATGTTGCCTCGTTTCCTCGGGCAACGTTCATTTCCCATGGGGGGAAAAAATTAAATTTCTGGGGAGGGGAGGGGGCCCCATCTGAGGGGAATGGGGTGGGGATGGGGGAAGGAAGAAATGATGAGAAAGGGGGAAGGCGATCAAGCTAGGCCTGCCAGCTCCATCTGATCCTCTGTGGTGCCCGTGTAGGCCCACCCAAGAGGCCCAGAGTCACGCCTGAATTTGTAGCGTGTTAACCACCATACGTGTGAATCTGCCCCTTCTGGGGGGTGGGGAATGCACGTCACTGCCCTCCTCAAGCTGTGCTTTTGCTGCTCTCAAATGTCAACATGCTCTCTCCAGCTTGCTCTCTCCAGGGGTGAAATAAGTAGCACACACCACTTCCCTGGCTCAGATGCTGGCCCATGTAATATTATTATTATTATTTATACACCGCCCATCTGCTTGTGTTTCCCCAGCCACTCTGGCAGCTCCCAACAGAATATTAAAAACACAATAAAACATCAAACATTAAAAACTTCCCCTAAACAGGGTTGCCTTCAGATGTCTTCTAAAAGTGGCAACCCTGCCACTGGTTTCCAGCTCAGTCCCACAGGTATCCTGCCACCCTTGTCTTCTGCTTTCTGGTAAAACTGACTAGGCCGGAGAAAAGTTAAAAGCCTTGTTATGGTTACCAGCGCAGGTATGGATGCGGCCGTTGACTTTCCCCCCAGCATTTTGTCAAACCCATCAGAGCTTTCTGCTGTCACTTTTTTTTTTGGGCTGGAAAGTAGAGGAGGAAGACGGGGATGAAATTTGGGACTGTGAAACTGGCAATGCTTCCCCTCGCACTTCCCCATTTGTGTGTGTGTGTGTGTAGCCATTCAGAAATCTGGAAAGTCTGTGGGGGGAATGGGGTGGGTCAAAGAGCAATAAATCGTGGGTGCATTGCATCGGTTCACAGGTGATGAAAGGTTGAAATGCAGTTGTAACCTGTATGAACATCAGTTGACTAACATAAGATTGCCTTAGTGTATGGAATACTTTGTTTATTCCTTTCACATGTACATAGTGGAGGAGAACATCCAAAATGCTTTTAACTGGTTTGTATGGTGTCATACTGTTAATAGAAAGAATATGAATCTATTGGTGGTGTAAACTGGTATGTTATTTGTTTTTAGCATAACTGAGTATAAAAAATACCTGTGGGATGAGAAACGATATGGCAGAGATAAAAGGTGGAGGATGCATAGTAACATATTTGCTTTTGAAAACCAACCTCTTAAGAAAAAGTGTGAACTGTAGTTGCAGACTTTGAGGACATAAAAATGTGTAGTGACCGTTTGCTGCATCCTTATGGTGTGATTATAACACACACACGCACACACACACACACACACACACACACAGAGTGTAGGCCACATCCTAACATCTAGTTGGTGTATTTCCACTCCTGGGATGGGATGGGCTGGTCTTAAGCAGTTGTAAGTGATTTTTAACCCTCCCCTGCTGGCAAAAGTTAAACCAAGGGAAGTCATACTGATGTAGAGGACACAAAGAGGGCATGCTAAGGGTAGGGAATGGGTTTGGGGAGAGGGGCAAACAAAGTTAGCTCTGCATCCTAACTCTCTTCATTTATTGGTCTTGTCCACAGAGCTCCATGTAACTTGCACCAACAAAAAACCAAGTGTAACTAAACATTTCATAGGAATTCATGGGCACAAATTCAAGTTTACACTACCTGCCCAAACCTGGCCACACACACCCTGGCTAGAAACAAGATGAAGCTGAACTTACACAGGAGATATGCTGACATAACTTCCTGGTTAAGATAGGTTTGACATACTGTCTTGTACTACTCCACTGTTGCCATCTTGAAAATGTTAGTTAAGAGCAACTCCAACTGATTTTCAGTATGATTGAGGACCATTTCACACATTATGAGAGGCAAACCTAGACTTGCCATGTATTAAAAAAAAAGATGCAGAATTAATCCCAGCATCATAATCAGTGTACTTATATATACATGTTTGCACATTTATTATGTTTATACTTAAAATATTTTAGTTGTAAACCTTTTTAGGTATCTATCTACATATCATTATATATCTATAGATACATAATTGTTTTCATGTGTGAGGATAACAGTGACAGCATACAGAAACAAAAATCTCAATCTATTTTAGTAGATTGTTTTAAGTAGATATATACTTAAGTAGATATATACTTCATTCTAATGCCAAAAGTTGTGGACACACATGTTCCTAATTCTGGCTGCATCATGTCCACAGCCTTCCCTGCATGCTTCCTATGCTAACAAAATAAATGCTCACACAACAGTTCAGATTCATGTATTTTCTCTTCAGATTGTCATCTCTAGATAGGAACTTTGTCCTCATTTCCAAGCAGTTGTGCATTGAGGAGCAAGTTTTATATTAATGTTCTGTTGATGTTATATAATAAGCAGTGCTATAAGTATATTGCCTGTCAGTGAGTTGTATCCAGAAGCTCTCTTATGCTGTACAGTGGTGCCTCGCAAGACGAAAAGAATCCGTTCCGCGAGTCTCTTCGTCTTGCGGTTTTTTCGTCTTGCGAAGCAAGTCCATTAGCGGATTAGCGCTATTAGCGGATCAGCTGATAAGCGGCTTAGCAGCTTAGCGGATCAGCTGATAAGCGGCTTAGTGGCTTAACAGATCAGCTGATAAGCGGCTTAGCGATCAGCTGTTAAGCGGCTTAGCGGATCAGCTGATAAGCGGCCTAGCGGCTTGGGAAAAGGGGGGGGGGAGGAAAACCCCCCCGCAGGAACTCGCAAGACATTTTCGTCTTGCGAAGCAAGCCCTTAGGAAATTCGTTTTGCGAAGCACCTCCAAAACGGAAAACCCTTTCGTCTAGCGGGTTTTCCGTCTTGCGGGGCACCACTGTACTACAAATAATAATGAACTGAAATCTTTCAGTGTTGGTATGATTGATAATATTTGAAGAAAACGAGGGTTTTGGTTTAAATCTGTGTCTTGTCCTTCAAGGAGCTCAGGGTGACGTACATGGGTGTATTTCAATATCTTCACAACAGCCCTGTGTAGTAGGTTGAGCTGAACAATAAGCGCTAACCTGAGGCTGTCCCATTTGCTTTATGAGTGAATGGGAATATCTAACATTAGTCATATTGGGAGTTAGACTCATTGAAACCAATGGATTTGGGTAACTTAAGTTCATTGATTTCAGTGTGTCTGCTCCAAATAAGATGTAGTTGGATATCACCTAGATTTTTTTCCTTGACCAACTTCAGTTCTTTATTCATTACCCCACACTTTGGTCCAGACCATGTGCTAGATTTATAATTGTTATCATAACTAATTCTGCCCTTCCTCAACACCCAGTATTGTGTAAATGTTACCAAAATGGGTTCAGACTACCATACTGTCCCTATTCTTTTATTTGTGGTGATGAGATATTGTATTCCTAAAAATTAGTAATCCATAGTTATCATTCTGAAATATGGTCTAATATTTCACACTAAAAACCAAGATGATGGCAGCTTTGATCATATATAAGAAATTATCTCTTGTAGGTCTTGGTGTTGGATATTTCAAATAAACTGTTACAACAAAGGGAAGATACTAATGCTTAAAACTAGCCTAGAAAATCTGAAGGACTGCTTCTACAGCTCTTTTGCACATGGAACTCCAATTAATTTTATTCTAAGTTTACTTGTTAGGCAATTGCAAAATGCATACATATGCAACAGCATGTCTTCATATCTAGAATTGTATCCAGTTGGTGTCCAGGAACAGATCAAAGTGATCTTCAGCATTTTTCTCCCTCCATGCTGTTCTAAAGGGTCTCACAACCCTCTGGAAGCAGAAATGAAGCAAGGAAAGGAATTACTGAAGATTGCCTCAATCCCTGTTGTTCTGAAAGAAAGACTCTTCAGTCAGCATAGGACCACCATTTGTATACAACCCCTTAAGAACATTTTAGCTCCTTTCCACAGTAAGTTTCCACTTGCACAGGGCATACATGAACTGTAACATTTAAATTATATAAATGGTTTGGTGGGTATCCAAAGTGGCTGGAAAATCAGGAGTGCTGGTAAATGGACTGACTGGTTTACTAAATGTAATATAATTCATACTGATTTTGGCAAGAATGTGTAATACCTGTCCTTGTTTTATATAGAGAATGAAAAACTCAATTTTTATGATGAGTTTGGTTAGCTGGTTTTTTGTTTTTGTTTTTAAAAAAGCTTAAAGTATTTTTTTAAAATGTAAAACCTATCACATCTTTCCACTAATACTGGGGGCCCCTCCATGATGGCTTAAATTTATGCTTAAAAACATAATATATTGCAATTAAAAACAAAAAGACAAAACAGCCAGTATAATAGAAACTTATTTATGGATAAAAAAAATAACAAATCTGAAAACCTTGTGCAAATAAAACATTTGTAATTTTTGCCCAAAAGAAAGCAGAACAGGCACCTAACAAACCTAAGTAGGGTGTCCCATAATTGGGTTCCATAGCTATCCAGCTTCTCTCTGGCAGAAGGAACACCTGAAGCAGAGCCTTAAATGAAGATTTTAACACAAAATATGGGAGCAGGTATTTATTTGAAGAATTGTTATCCTGCTCTTCAGCAAAAATAGAAAAAGGCTGCCATACTGACTTTTAAAGATCAATAAAAACAAGGCATTACCTCCCTTCATGCTTAAAAGTCCAAAAGACATGAAGCAAAATGAAAATGAATTGGGAGGGAGGAGGAAAGAAGCAAACTCAGTTACCCGTTCTTAGTTACAAGTTCTTGTAATGTCCAGCTGGGATGGAAAAAGTTCATCCCTGAGCCAAATGTTGCTCTCCCAGCTGCCCTGATGGAAGTGTTCCCCAACCCCATCTTCCTTCTCTTGCTATAGTCTGATGTAATAGTTGCTGCCAGGTGACAGGAGAAAAAAGTGTGACTCAGCAGAGCAAAAGGGGATCCTGCCCCTCTTCTCCTCTGCCAAGTGACAGTTGGTGAACAGACAATATTATTTTGTTCTGTTTTCCTGTTGGGAGCATACCCTTGAGTTTCAGAGCAGGTACAGAGTTTCTTGCAGAAGAGAGTTTGCAAAAGAGAGCATCCTTGGACTTATGATCAAAGCTTCCATCTGGCACTGCTGGAAATGGTTTGGGATCAGGGTGGTTGGGGTTTGAAGGTCGAAAGAAGTTTGAATTGTAACTGGAAACAAACTGTCAATATGGATATTGAAGCATTGTGTAGATTCCAGTTAATAACGGTGATGACATTTCTGAACTAGTTGAAACTTCTGAATGCTCATCATAATCAGCCCCATGTAAAATTCCCTCCAGTAGTCTAAACTGGACATTACTAAAGCATGGATAACTGACAAGATTTGCATTTTTTAAGGACCGATTGCAGCTGTTGCACAACCAACAGTGAAAGCTGCTTCTGACCACCAATTTTACTGCAAGGCCAGACCTAATAGTGACCCAAGTGAATTTCATGGGGGAGGTGAGAGGAAATTGTTGTTGTTGTTTAGTCGTGTCCAACTCTTCGTGACCCCATAGACCAGATCACGCCAGGCACTCCTGCCTTCCACTGCCTCCCGCAGTTTGGTCAAACTCATGCTGGTAGCTTCGAGAACACTGTCCAACATCTCGTCCTCTGTCATCCCCTTCTCCTTGTGCCGTCCATCTTTCCCAACATCAGGGTGTTTTCCAGGGAGTCTTCTCATGCGGTGGCCAAAGTATGGAAGCCTCAGCATATCCAAAACTGGCTGAATACCCAACTCCCTGATCAGCTTTACTGTCTATTAACAAACCCTTTTTATTTTGTCTAAGTAATAGATATCTGATTCTTTGGTACAAAGTTTGATGAAAGAAACAGCTAGGTGTCATTGTTTTTATATTGATGGTGCTATACCATATCCCCAGACACAGCAATTTCATGTAGATGGGGAATAGTGTGGGACAAGGATGGGAATCTGTGCAATTCCATAGCAAAAACGTCATTAGGTGGGGCAGAAATACCCAGTGTTAGAAAGCTAGGAGCTACATAGCACCTTAAACCTAAGTTTTGGGCGCTGCAACAGAATGTACAGGCATGCTTTTTTATAACAAGAATACAAACCTGAAAATGAATGAACTGCAGCTAAAATATTATGTTCATTTTTCACATGGTCTAGTCCTTCCCCTGCCCCGCCCCCCTAATATTCTTAAGAGGGAGGGTCTCTTCTCCCATCTTCAGAGTAGCTGGAGGTGGGGGGGCAGAAAAAGGTCCTCCTTTCCTTCCACTTTGTAGTTTTAATCTGAAATCTTAGGCACGGTACTGCTCCCAAAGCTCAGAAACTGCTTGCACTAATGAAATTCTGTTGCAAAATGCACCTAGAACAACGAGAGTTTCGAACACTGGAAATACCTACTTCTTGAATCAGTGCACCAGAGCACCTAAATAATTTTAGCACAAAGTGGAATTAGTTGAATGTCAGATTGCCTGTGCCATTTCCATGGAATGTATAATACTGTAGGTTTCTGGAGCATGTTCTAGACTGGAGTATATAGCTAGGGTTCATTGTTACCCCACATCAATTGAGAGCAGGGGTGGTAACCTCATGTCAAGGGCTGCATTCCCTTTTAGTCTGTTGGCAGCATGCTAATAGTAGATGGGACAAGAATTAAAAGTGGGAGGGCCACCCCTTTTATCTCTCTTTGCACCACCCCTTTTGAACACCCTCTTTCTGCTATCCCATTTCCCCTCCTGTCCTTGTTACTCTTACGCAGTTGGGCCAAGTACTGGATGGAATTGAACTAAGGGCAGCAGGTTGCCCATCCATTCTAAAATATGCTTAAGTTTCAGATTGCAGGTAAATATAATAATGATGAGCTTTTAGAAAAGCTTGCCTGATGTCATTGATCTTTTAAATGAGTTGATTACCTTTTTGCAAAACCAGTGTTCCCTGCAACACACTTTGAAAGCCACTTTTTTTTAAAGTACAGTACTCTTATCACAATAGCTAAAATCATATGTTTTGTTCATTGCAACCCATGTTTATGTGTCACTAAGGGCTCATGATATTCCAACAACAACAAGGGTTGATACTTGGTAGAGCTACTTATTTTATTTTTCATAAGATATGAAGGAAACACCCATATTTATAGAAAATAAATTGCAGGTAGTACAGAGCAACTGATTCAGGTTTTTTAAATAAAAAATTGACAATATAAGCCTATGCTTGTCTACACAGTTAAAGACGAATATATAAAAGGATGTCTGAGATAAGGATGGAACTATGTACAGTAGAGGAAAACAGGGTAATGTTCTGGAAACTGCTACAACTTAGGGGTCTAAAACTGAAACATCTTTACTTACCTTAAAATATAGTTACAACTGTTATTTTATAGTACAGAGCTACAGGGGTGTTGATATATTGCCATGTCAAACATTATGAATCATGCTGTTTTAAAAATATATCCTGTGTGTCATTTGGTTAAACGTTTATACTAGTTTTAATTAAACACTTGTACTACTGTACTTGCCCAAAAGCTTCAGTTGTAACCACAATCCAGCAACATGTATGCAACACATCCAGGTGTGAACCTGGGCTTATTGGGTGTTCTCTCCCTCTTTTTTCTTAAGAGACTCCATGTATTGATTCTCTATGGGGTTTGTGTGCGTGTTACACAAAACAGTTTGGAGATTTGGAATATGACTTTCCTAACTGGTGTACCGACTGTTAGTTGCATGTGTATAGCACTTGTTGAATCAGGTACTAGTTGAATCAAGGTTTTTTCTACAGTGGCTCCTCTTTTGTGGAATGCTCTCCCAAGGAAGGCTCGCCTGACACCTGCATTACATATCTTTGGTGCCAGGCAAAAACATTTCTCTTTAACCAGGTTTGGCTGATTAACATTCTGTGGCTTTTTTAAATGTGTTTGTGGGAGGAGGGGTTATTGGTTTGTTTTCGCTTTATTATGTATTTTATATGTATTTTGTATTTGTCTGTTGTGAACTGCCCTGGGATCTTCAGTTGAAGGGTGACATACAAAACAAGGTCACACCTGCTTATTTCTGATTCCAATACTCAAATTAGTGTCTGTGTTTAGACATTGCATGAATTAGGATGATGCAAAGAAGCCTGATGTCCAAATGCAACTGATATGTTTCATTGCAACAGCTCCTAGTACTCTAGAGGCAGTTCATAGTCTTCCTACACCTAAATTTTTGTGGGCTTAAAAGAACTAAGGTATTTTGAAAACAGGATAAAGATCCTACTTAGTACTTCTTGGAAATTCCTCTAGGACAGTAGTTTTCAACCAGTGTGCCGTGGCACCCTGGGGTGCCTTGAATGATGGTCAGGGATGTCGGCAACCCTGGCCTCTGTCCCTCTTTCCTTCCCTCCCTCCCTCTGATCCCCTCTTGTGTCTCTGCCCCACAAAGGCTTGCATAGCTATTTGTTGCAGCAGCTCTGGCTACAAGCTTCCCAGGTGAGTGGAGCCTCTGGGGCTGGCCAGGGGGTGCTTCCCAGGTCCCTGTGGGGTTGTGTGAGGAGGAGCCTCTCTTTGGGGGCAGGGGGAGCAGATCAGAGACCAGGGGTGGCAGCCCAGAGGACTCTCAAGGAGAGGGGAGAGGAGAGGAGGCTGAGAGAACACTCCACAAGGGAGGGTGTTTGAAAAGGTGAGAGGCTGCCAGCTCTGCAGGCAAGGGGTGACATAACTGGGCTCCTGAGCCCCACAGGGGTGCCGCAGAAAGAATGCAGTTGGTCAAGGGAGTTGTGGATTCAAAAACGTTAAAACCTCTGCTCTAGGAATTAAACTAGTAATTTTACTTTCAGCAACTTTGTTAGGCTGGTCAGTACAATTTCTGTTTGTAATATGGCTAGGAAGCATCTAGCATTGGTGAGACAAGGGATAGCAGGAATTTGTGGTGCATCTAGATAGCTTTGCTGTGGTCCATAGTGATGGTGCTTAAGCTCCTGCTTCTTAATCACTTTGCTGTTGCTTAGCCTATGGCCAAATTGAAAGTGTGTGGCTATTTCTTGTAGCACTCTCTGATCCTGTTCAAATGTAACAGGAACCCATGGCTTGGCCTTGTGGCCAGGGATGATAGAAGCTGCACAAGCTCCCCACACCTGATCTAGACGCATTCTAATCTGGTTTGAGACCATGTTTTGGGACCAAGGAGGACTTGATTGCCCTGAAGGATACCTTTTTCAAGAGAAGCACGGGGGGGGGGGCATGACTTCTGCTGGATCACTCTTAGCATTTTAAGACCTGTTGCCCAAGGTATCTTCCTGGTTGAACTCCATGGATTCAGTGTAGGAGGCACTGTACCTCAGCGGTGCTACTTACAGAGCTGGTTTCATGGAGTCACATTGGGTGACAGTTTCTCAACCTCCTAGCAGTTGTGTTGTGGAGTTGTCTGTAGAAGGGAAGTGGAGACAATATTTGAAAGTCCCTGATGAAGGACCTGAGAGGTCTGACTCATGCTCATTTTTTTAAAAAAAAAATCTCTCACACACCCCTTGCCTAGTGACTGAAATCATTAAAAGGAGACTCTTCTGATAGTGCTATACTTTTTGAGGTCATGTTGTGGTCAATGGGAGTGTATAGCCTATACAATCTGCTTTATTTTTTTGGCATAAGTTAAGATCATGTTCATCCAGTTGTTTCTGATCATGGATACTAGTATACTTGTTTGGTCACTGGATGTTAGGTACTATTATTGTGTTGGTCTATTCTTTTATTCATTGTATGGTTATTTTTATGTTTTGAAGATCACTTTAATATTTTTAAGTAATCAACGGTGTATAAGCATTTTAATTATTTACTTCATTTTTCTCTCCTGCTTTCTTTTATATAAAGCAGTACCATGTTTTTGTCAGTCTGCCCCATAAGCTGCATGCTACATGAATCTTAAAACATTATAAATTGCTTCAGAATACCTCATGAGAAGCAATTCATAAATTAAAATAATAACAATAACAAAAATACACATACGTTTTCAGAAGGTCTTTCAGAACTAGATAACGTTCTTCAGTCATTTGGGGGGTGGTACTGGGCAGCCCAGAAATAGTTGCTTACACTTTGAAGGATAATGCATATGAATGTTTCCTGTGTTGCAGGTGAAGAATGTAGGGATCTCCTTGTAAAATCAGGATGTTTTGCATTGCACTTTTAAATAAGGGCACTCTATATTAGGGTTAGCTTTGCAGTTAGAAAGTGAACTGAGATGATAAGGAGAAAGGGATTTCAAGACATTGCGACGGCATACAAACAAACAAAATTTCAGTTTGGGTTGTTGCGGGTTTTTTGCAACTTTATCTAGGGTAAATCAGTTATTCCTGTTTACAGCAGAAACTGGACCTGAAGAGTCCTGATTGGTTGACCCCTTCAGTATCACAGGGCCAGGTCCCTCTCAAACTTTCCGGAACAGTTTTTTGTTTGCTTTTTGTTTGCTTGTACCAGTAGGGTGGCAAAGTTGCAAGTAATGAATGTTCACATTGCCCTTAGTTTTAAAATTTTATTTAAAGGCAGACACCTGGCCTGTAATGGGTGGAGGGGCAAAACAAACGACAGACTTGGTGTTCAGTTTGCTGGCCAGTATATCTGTCAAAAGGTTGTGAAGACAGGGAAGAAGCTGGCTTCAAGCTCTGGAAGGAAAAAGAACAAAAGGGCTTAGATTTTAAGTGCTTCGCTTTTTTACAGGAAAGGGTTTTTCGGTTTTTGCGTTGCTTCGCTAGACGATTTTCCCTATGGGCTCGCTAGACGAAAGGGTTTTTCGGTTTTTGCGTTGCTTCGCTAGACGATTTTCCCTATGGGCTTGCTTCGCAAGATGAAAACGTCTTGTGAGTTTGTTCGCTTTTTTCTTAAAGCCGCTCGAAGAGGCGCAGTTGCGACGGACCGTGCTTCGCAAGACGAAAAACATCGCAAGACGAAAAGACTCGCGGAATGAATTAATTTCGTCTTGCGAGGCACCACAGTACTTGACAATTATTATACTTTCTGTTAGGTAATTAGGGGTAGTGAGCCAGTTAGGTTATTCACAGATTTATGGAAGATTGGGAAATGCCTTAGGATGTGAAAAACAGTGCCTTTTTGGTTTCACCTTTTCCTTAAACGTTGGATGGCAAAAAGGAATGCAATTCTGTTTTCTTCTCCTTTTATGTACTTTATGAATCTGCTAAAGCCCATTGTCACCTAGACTTTTCAGTTGGAAAGCCAATTGGCCTGGCCAACGAGACTTGCGTGCCAGCAGTATTTTATAGTAATGTTGAGAGCAATACAGTTCTTGTGCTAATGTGTAAAAAGCCTGGAGGGTATAGGCTAGCTATATATAAATATCTCATTGGAGGTAGAAGACAAGGTAGCATAAATAAATAACATAGAAAATGACTTTTTAAAATAGTCACTGGAGGTGAGTGTTGACTTAAATAATGTTCTTTATAATTGCTTAACTGGTGAAGGAAAGGAGCCTATTGCAAACCAAGGCCACAGTCTCAGTGTGCTCCTGGACTTAATGCAATCTCCTTGCTTGTTCCAAGGATATAGTGGACAGCTTAGGATGTTATATACAGCTTGCGGGAGAAGAGTTTCTTAGCTTAAGCATCTCTTCCCCTCCCCCCTAAGCAGAATTTGGGAGGACAGATTGCGGAGTGGGGGGAGAGAAACTGGAAATCCCATTGTGCACGTGGGCAGACATTATTGGATGTCTCTCGCTATTCTGAGTCTTTTGGAATGCTGCTTCTCTGAACAATTATGTTCTAACACCTTCAGTGTATATGTGGATTCAAAATTGCAGTCCATAACTATTGCAATAACTATTGCTACTTAGCTGGAAAAGCAAAAGATTCCTGCATTGCAGGGGGCTGAACTATAGATGATCCTTGTGGTCCCGTCCAACACCACAATTCTGTGATTCTGTAGCTCCATATACCTGCTTAACTATGGTTAGTAGATACACAGTACTTCAACATTCTGTATATTGGTTAAAAATTGGAAGTATTTAGCATACAAAAGACTTGAATGAAAATTTGTGGCACCGTGTGAACATCTGAGCTAGTAAATTTTGTGATTTAATAATTAGTTGACGATGTCAGGAGGGTCTGCCATAGTCTTGTCTACAAAAAATATATTTACTTCTCTGAAAGATAGTGCCTTAAGTCTTTGGAGACTGTAACCTTTTAGAGCAAGTTTGTAACCTGTCTTTGTGAGGTAATGAGAGCCACTAACTTTTTCTCCAGCAAGTGCATAATAGAAAACGTAAAATTTTTGCTTTGTTGTAAATGTTCATTTGTAGTGCTTTCTGCAATGAAGAACACTTGCAAACAAAACTGGACATTTTCAGTCAACCCTAAAGTTAACTATTAAATGAATGTCTTTCCCTTCGATGCCACTCTGAGCCCGGCCTTGGCTGGGGTATAAATAATAATAATAATAATAATAATTAATATCATTAATGTTACTAGTAGCTTAATTCATGCTGATAAAGATGAAATGTATCTTAATAGTAAAGCAGCAAAGTCTATTATTAATCACTGATATTGTGAATTTGCTTCACATTGAGGTATCCATTTATACATAGGTCTAAAAATAGCTTGACTATAGCACATTTTCAGTGGCATATATTTTTCTTCCACCTTTCCTTATTTTTGAAGTTGCATTATTAGAGGGAGGTTTTGTGGCTCCTGCCAACGGTGGTGGTGGGGGTAGTTTCTGCCCATGATAAGGAATCCTAGATCTGTAATTTCCTTACGTGTTTTAGGTTAAATGCCTACAAGTGAAATTGTTGGGAGGGAAAAGGATTGTTTAAAATGCATCTTGCATTGTTAAAAATGCATCTTGCAGTCCTGTTTAAGAATGATTTGGTTTACGAACTCTGCAAAACCGGAAATAGTGTCCCGGTTTGAGAACTTTACCTTGGTCTAAGAACAGAATCCAAACGGCGGAAGGGCACTGGCGGCAGGAGGCCTCATTAGGGAAAGCACACTTCGGTTTAAGAATGGTTTCAGTTTAAGAACGGACTTCCGGAACGGATTAAGTTTGTAAACCGAGGTACCACTGTATATCCATTTTTTGGGATGGGTGTGTGTCCAAAAAAAAGCATTTCATTGGATTATTTGCTAATTTTCTGAGTGCAGCCAGAAATAATTCTATTTAGATGCTCTGCATATAGTACATAGAGTCTAAATATGAGCACAGCTAAAATCCCATTTCCAGTCATGGCTGTAATGCATGTTAGAAATGTGAACAAAACTTTGCGTTATATCTATATATATACAACCAACTAATATTAATGGTGTCCCAAGCTAAGAGAAAACTGTTGTATTATTTATCGTAGCTGCTACAGTTTGAGTACCATTTTCTAGTAAGTATGATCAGGTAATAAGACTTCATTGAAGGATATGAATATTTAAAACTCTGCCCTGTTTAAGCACAGGAGCCCTTTGAGAATTTCATCTCTAGACTTCAAAGTATCTCATTGGGAGTTGAATACACTACTATAACCTTGATGGGTCTTTCAGAGGAATAGTACATTCCTCCAGTTCTCCAAGGGCAGTAATTTCCATAGGTGAAATATATATTTAAGAAATGCTTACCTGTTACCTTTTGGAATCAAAAAAATCTTTGTAGTTTAGAGAATTGTATAATTATAATACAGTCTACTAGAAGGGAGAGAGTCTTCAACCATTAACTTTTTGTCCTGCAAATAGTTTGCACCGTCATTGTTTTACAAGGTATGCATGAACTAGTATAGTTGCTTTAAAGAAGTAAGACTTGATTAACATGTTTTGAAAAACCAGTTTCCTTAGCTAAGCAGAAACTTTGCTAAGGTGAGTGGGCAGGAGTGATGTTAGAGGGCAAGGTAAGCAAAAGCAGCAGAATGTCTCCAGGCAGCAGGTGTGTGAATTCTGTAATGACTGGGTGGTCCCCATTAAATGTCATTATGGAAGCGTGGCAAGTTAAATTTTTGAGTCCCCAATAAATAAAGCTGGTTAATCAAGTCTAGTTATGTCAGGGAAAAACATACCTATATGTCTTGGCTTCATACACTTTTGTAAAGGAATTGCAAACTGAATTTAATATCTCCAAGCCATTTTCGTGTGTCTCTGTTTATAGGGAGGCTTTATCACAGTTGGTTTTGCTTTAAACTTGATATAAATTCAGAGCTGATTTTTGGAATGGAGACAACTTCATCCTAGCAGTGGATTTTTGCTAATTTGCAACCTAATTATATGCTTTACTCAGTCCTAGTCAATGATGTGCAGTGTTAAGTTTCCCCCCAGGTCTTAAGTTCATTAGTAACAAAGAACGGATGCCAGTTGAAAATACAGTATTAGGCAAGCTTGGTAGTTTCAATGTTTTTAGCTTTGCGTACTAAATTCAAGTAAAATAAACATATTAAATTAGATCTCACTTTAGGGCATCAAAAAAAGTTTCACTGCAGATTACCCTAATTTCCCAGTTAATTTTTTCTCAGAAAACATACATCTCTGGGGCAAGTTCTTGTATTACCATGGCAGCATAAGACCCACTGCTCCTTCCTGCGCCATCAGAGAATTTGAGAAGTCCAAGACAATATGAAAAGAGTCCATTCTGCAGTTCCTGCCAGCGTTGAACCCTGGATTGATGGTGTCATATAGATGAATGATGGCACAGGCTTCTCCTGCATGGTTTGGAGTGTTCTCTTGGCAGTATAGGAAGTGGGGGGGGGGAGGGTAAAGAACACCTGGACTGTTAAGTCCAGTCAAAGGTGACTATGGGGTTGTGGCGTTCATCTCAATTTCTGGCCAAGGGAGACGGCGTTTGTCCACAGACAGCTTTCCGGGTCATGTGGCCAGCATGACTAAACTGCTTTTGGCTCAACGGAACACCGTGACGGAAGCCAGAGCGCACGAAAATGCTGTTTACCTTCCCACCACAGTAGTACCTATTTATCTACTTGCACTGGCGTGCTTTCGAACTGCTAGGTTGGCAGGAGCTGGGACAGAGCAACAGAAGCTCACTTTGTCACAGGGATTTGAACTGCCAACCTTCCGATCTGCAAGCCCAAGATCACAGCGCCAGAGCACACACCAAAACCACCGTGGCAACTTAAAATGTGCCATTCAAGATAACTCTCACTGGGGTCAATAAGTGTTGCTTCCAAGTAAAATTTGGTAGTAAAGTGAGAAAGAGAGATGGTGGCTTTCTTGCCATAGGCCATTGGTTCAGCTGTTATCACTGTGAGGTGATCAAGGGGGGGGGGAGATCCAGATAATCTGCACCAGGAGGTAGCAGTGAAGACACGAAGCATAAGCAAGAAGGCGGTCATCAGCTAGCACCCACCACTGGTATCAGCAACCCATGCTGGAAATTGCTAGCCCAGACGTGTGGAACCTGTGGCCCTCCAGATGTTGCTGGACGCACAACTCCCACCAGCCCCATCCAGTTTGGCCAGTGCTCAGGGATGATGGGAGTTTTTGTTTGGCAACCGTGTGCTTGCGTAATCCTGACCAGGATTTTCCGTCTCCTACTCTTACCTCCCAACTGTTAGTGGTAAGGACATCTGTCTTCTTGAAACTGCCTTGCCAGATGTACTGTCTAGAATTGGGCATTTAACTACTTTAAAAAGATAGTTGGTTGGCTAAAAGAATTGATTGAAGCCTTAATATTATGCGAGCAAATCATCAGCATGTTTGATGCTTAATGCTAATTACTAAAAAAAATAGCTGTCATTAGGCAACCTAAAGAAGCAGTGGATTTTATTTATTATGCCTTCCTTGAAGGCACTCCCATTTTATTCTCAACAGCTCTGTGAGTTATCTTTAAGCTGAGTGTGTGTGGCCAGCCCAAGGTTGCTTAACAAACTTAATGGCTGAGTGACCATCTAAATCTTAGTCCAGTCCCATAAGGCAAAGCAACCTCTTCAACTGATGACTTGCTGTGTTCCTTTTTGGAACTCTGTTCCTATTTGGAGATGTCTGCAGTTATAGCAGGTGTTGGCGAGAGAAGCCTTGTGACTTCTGTGAGGCTATATAGTGGTACCTCGGGTTCCATATGCTTCAGGTTACATACACTTCAGATTACAGACTCCGCTAACCCAGAAATAGTGCTTCAGGTTAAGAACTTTGCTTCAGGATGAGAACAGAAATCATGCTCCGGTGGTGCGGCGGCGGCAGGAGGCCCCATTAGCTAAAGTGGTGCTTCAGGTTAAGAACAGTTTCAGGTTAAGTACGGACCTCCGGAACAAATTAAGTACTTAACCTGAGGTACCACTGTTGAGGCAAGCTGTCCTTGCTCCTGCTCTTACTAACAAGTGACTCCATAATGAAATGACTTGAGCAATCATCTCTGTGGAAAGTGGGCCTGTTCTGCTCATGCTGCAGAACACTGAGTTCTTAAAAGAAGTGTCCCATCCATGCACGTAACCGTATATGATCAGCTTAATTTCATTATGTGCCCTGGACCTTTTCCTGGGCCAGTCTGTGTAATAACTCACCTCTTAGGCCAGTTTAGATGCCCATCTCGGTGCATTCGGTGCATGTTGTCACAGCCACCCTGTCCACACACTCTACTGTAACTTAAGCCTTAGTGTCTATAACTGAAATGATACACATTCTTCCCCTGTTTACCTCTGCCTGGTGGTGCAACTAGTCTAGTCTTGAGGACAAAATCCAGGCTGTCATAGCCGGTGGTGGGGAGCAGGTGACCATCCAGACCAGGGTTTGAAATTAGCCAGGCGCATTTTGTACCTAAAGATTCTCTGTTTACGAGCACCTCAAAAAGGCTGGGCACCATTTTTTGTGTGACACTCAAGGATTACTGAAATTACGTGCTTTGAAGCCTGGAAGTATATGTTAAGGATAGACAGGATAGATATGTTAAGGAGTTTAACAATAAAGAGTACAGTGGTACCTCAGGTTAAGTACTTAATTCGTTCCGGAGGTCTGTACTTAACCTGAAACTGTTCTTAACCTGAAGCACCACTTTAGCTAATGGGGCCTCCTGCTGCTGCTGCGCCGCCGGAGCACAATTTTTGTTCTCATCCTGAAGCAAAGTTCTTAACCCGAGGTATTATTTCTGGGTTAGCGGAGTCTGTAACCTGAAGCGTATGTAACCCGAGGTACCACTGTAGAGTGTTTTGAAAACTGAAGTACGGTACCAATATTTTTATTGTAAATGCCAAATTAAGCATGTCTTAACAATTTTTGCTAAAAATGTGAAACTGACAGTGTGTCACTTATGTGAATTGCATATTAGTTCATGCTTATCAAAGTAATAAATAAAAAGTGTTGCCGGCACCCCACCCCAGGTCCCAGAAGCCATTTGGCTCCTAGATTTTTTATCACTGTTGCTAACACTGATCCTAGAGAGTAGGAGAAGATGGGGACAGTGGCAAAGGGGTCCTACATTGGTACCTGGGTTACATGTCAGCGCTCAGTGGGACTGATGTCAATTGTGGGTAGCACCCTTCTTATTTTTAGGAAGGTTTTTTAACCTGGGGTGGTTTGGCATGTCCATGTTTACAGAATCTCATACATCTTATCACATATATTAAACTTTTCTACAGCAAAATGGTATTTGTTTGTAGTGTGTCTAGCATCAGGGCAGCAGAATCAAACTCTCTGATTCCTATTAGAATGTGAAACTGCATTTGCTCAGAATATTTCTTTTCTTTTATCAGAGTCGGCAAACTGTTTTGGTCTATTTGTTTTTCTGTAATGTACCAGGAATGTAGATTTTGTGTTCTTCAGAGCGGAATTCGTACAAAAGTAATACTGTTAAGGCTGGGGTCAAAATTGCTTGGTTGCACCACCTGCCTCTACTTCCTCTGTGGTCTCCCTGTGTCAAATTATAGATAGTATGCTAAGTCATCTGGGTAGAGACTTTTGTATCTGTAAAGCACTATGCACATTGATGGAAACATATATATATATTTATATATATAGAGAGGGAGTAAGCTGCCATTTCCTACACAATAGTCTTGGAACATCTGATAATATTTGGCTGTGGCTCAGTAATACATGGCTTAGTTGGTGATATTTGACATATCAAATTGATCAGCAACACATACTTTGCCATCCTGCTTGCAGATTTTCTTCCTAAACCCCCTTAAGTCTATAGAAGAGTACACTGATCCCCAAAGGTATTGTGGCAGTATGTAGTTGTTAAATCCTGAGAACACTTGGCATCCTTTTTAAAAAGTAACTTGCTTATATTCATGGTTGCTGTACTTATTTAAGACACATGGATGTTTCAAACACAAATCTTATTTCAACCCCATCGGATTATTAGCATGCTGTTTGCCATAGGTTCTTTCTTTCCTGCATCCTTTCTGTTCCCTACCTTCCTGTTCACCTTTGCTGGTAGTGATATATAAAACAGTAGAGAGATGGATACTCTTAAGAGTGTGGGAGGATGTGGCTGAACATGAACTGTCTGCTTTTGCCAAGTGTCTGTATTCAAAGCCAGTGGTAGTTCAGTAGTTGTCATTGCCACATTTATATTTCTCGGTTAACTCTGTAATTAAACAACATCATCATCATTCTATACCTGCTTTTCTCAACCTTGGATCCCCATATACTGTTGGACTACAATTCCTATCATCCCTAGCTAGCAGAACCAGTGGTCAGGGATGATGGGAGTTGCAGTTCAACAACATATGGGGACCCAAGGTTAAGAAAGGCTGGTCTAGACTCTAGGACTTTGCCTTAGAATTAGGTTTTTAATCTGCTTTGGAATGTATTTACATTGTTTGAAAACTAATGATCATGAAGAATAAAAATGTGCCACCATTGTTAATTGGATTGTTTCTAATGTCTATTTTTGTGGTTTAATAAATATGCAGTATGCATATAATCTAAGTACTCACTTGGCAATTTAAATATCAAAATGTCTGCACCCAGTTAGATTACTTAAATCCCATTGACTTGAGTGAGATTTAAGCAGTTTAACTATGAGCAGATTTGGAGTCCTAGTCTAATTAAAAAAGGTTGCTGGACCTGCTCCATGCTCTTAATGTGTCTAATCCCAAACATACTTCAACCACTGCATAAATATGATCTTGGAATTGTTAAATACTGGGGTTATGTGGCTTCCAGTGTGACTCTATGCACTGACGTATTACAGCAAAACTGCTATCCGGTTTTTTTTATCTCTATAAATTTAAGAAAAAAGAGAATACAGTACATATTAGCATCTGATTGTAATTTTTCTGTTTTTATTTTTAAGACAAGCAAAAATCAAATTAAAGTAGATCTTGTAGATGAAAATTTTACAGAACTAAGAGGAGAAATAGCAGGACCTCCGGACACACCATATGAAGGCAAGTAATATTTTTTGTATAAGCCATAGTACATTTACACGTCTTATCACTTGAAGTTAAAGTTTATAAGAAATTGTATTGTGGCCCATCTTGAAGCCTGTTATTGAACTACATTTTTTTTTTAGTGCAGTTACATAAGATAAATAAAGATTGCTTCTTTGTTTGTAGCATATATCTGTTCAAGCTAGTTTGTGCACATAGTATTTTAGAAAACTTTGGGCTGCACTTTTGCAGGAGTTGGTAATGACTTGTGTGTTTGACCTGATAGAAATGTATGAATATCTTTAGTTGAACATAATTTATTGTATAGACACCTTGGAAGTAGTAGTGCAATTGGGGCGGAATTTCTGGGGGCCCCCCTAAGAGTTCCATATTAATGATACAGTGACCTACTTTCATAAACATTTGACACTGAACAATGCCCAGTAAGAGGAAGTAGAGTCTGCAAGCATTTTTAAGGACCAGATTTTCAGGCCTTAAGTTAAAATTCAGCTGCTTGACAGGCCTTTCAGCTCACTTCCTCCCACCCCCTTCTCTTGTCCCTCTTGACAGAGAGTAGTAAATTAATTCCAAGCAATTGGTGGGTATCTATTGACAATGTAAAAAGTTGAAGTGTACTCTCGGGACCTGTCTCTCTTGCTTATGTTAGCTACATAAAGCGCCATGTGATAGGTTAAGAATGAAACAAATAATTACAATCTGTGGCTTTTGAAAAATACGGAGACCACCAAATATTTAGTGAGCTAGTTACTGTGAATTAGTGTATACCAGGGGTTGTCAACCTGGTCCATAACCACCCACTAGTGGGCGTTTCAGGATTTTAGGTGGGCGGCAGGGGGTTCTACGGCACAAGCTGAATCCTCCTTCCATCGAGCACTGGTAGGCGGTAAGGAAATTTTACCATCAAGAAAGATGCATTAGTGGTCGGTAGGTATAAAAAGGTTAACTACCCCTGGTATAGACTGTTACCTTTCAGGGGTGCTTCCACTTGTTAAAAACAAATGCACAAGTTTTCTCCTTCACTGAGATGAGCTTTCAGTAAGTAGTGAATCGCTAAAGAACATTTGTGCATAGGATGGATATATAAAGAAGCAAGATACACGTGCATATGTCTAAGGTGGTACGCATTATGTGTACCACCTTAGACACATGATGCTGATGACAGGCATCTGTCCGTGAATCAAGGAGGGAAGAAATCCCACCGCTCCCCAAATCTGCATCAGGGGGACGTGGACCCTCCAGAGCAGTTTGGAGGGCTGCAAGGATATGAGAAATTGCCCAAAAATGCTTGCTTCTCCGTTCTGCAGGTGTATGTCTGCCATCTTTGGGGGCAGGAGGGAAGATGCCACTCATTATTTCTTGTAATATAATTGTTTTAAAAAGCCAATTTCATCACCCATTCTTTGAAGTTGGCTTGTTTTTGAAACTGAGCTTAGTTAATGTTAAGCCACGATCCTTGGTTTGGACAAAATGGGAATGTGTGGTGTGGCTTACTAAATAAAAGAGCAGAATCTTCCGACGTCATCCTTCTGGCCATATGGGAGGGAGAACATGCAAGCTCAGCTCACTGTGGTTCATGCATGTCACAATAAACCATAGTTTATCATGAAATCCAAATGTGGCTGCCATCTCTCCCAGAAGAACAGTCCTTACATTACAAATCCCAGGACCCTCGAGTTATGTTGAAAAGTGCTTATTCCAATAAGTCACAGAGTGAGAGACCTTTTGTATACTCTGTGTTGAAACTGAAATTCTCCACTCCCAAGCTACTTTAGAGAGGCTTCTGGGAATCTTAAACTGCTAACTCAAAATCTTTGATTTCCAAACTGCGTGTATTAATAAGTTTTTATCTCTCTTCATTCTTGCCTTTTAGTATAGTTATAGGACACCATCCAGTCTTCTAGTCTCATTTTACACCACAAATGCAGCTCCTTCAGTCTAGAGTTTGTTCTGCCTTTTCAGTTTGAATCTGCCCTACTTAAACATAAGAATCCAAAATTGGGCACAGTGTTCTTGTCAGTGCAATGTACAACATGGGTGCATCATTTCTTCCACTTGAACTACTGTTCTTACTACCTTTTAAGCAAATGTGTGTTTGCTGCCTTTGCAGTTACATTACTTTGCCGCATGGTCCTCTTTCCACTGACAAAGATTTCTCGATCTTTCCTAATGTCTCATGAGTTCTCATTCAGCAGCAAAAATGTTTGTTAACAGCTCCCAAATGCATGATTTTACGCTTCTTAACTTTCCATTCATTTTGCATAACTTGTGCAGTTAAGAATTGGGTGTCATCAAATAATTTTATCAGTGTTCCTACTTCCCTCCCTAGACCTGCTAGTGAAATCACTGAGCAGAAGGCATCCCAAGACTCATCTTAAGGGAGGGAGTTTCCTTCAACTTAAAAGTTTGCCTTTTGCCTTAACAATTTGCCTTTGCCTGTCTTAGTCGATATTGGTGGTGGTGTTTTTTTTCCCATTCCATGTTACAAAATGGCCACACTAGACACTTTAGTTGATATTCATAACAACTGGAATTGCTGGCAAAATTCCCCCAAGGTGAGCTTTTTAATGTCCCTGAATTCTTTGCTGGCACTTTCATAATCTGAGTTGGAGGAGAATTCTTGGCTTCTCTCTCTGTCTGGGCATCCCAGAGGCCTTGCCACTGTCCCTGACTGCTGTTAGCAACTATATGCTGGTATGCTGGAGAGGATAGTCTCTTCCCTTCCCCTTCCTCCCTCCCTCGTCCTTTTCTCTTTCTGAAGTGTGGAAAAGTGGCACATATTCCTGGGGCCCATAGGAGCTGCAGTGATTACAGTTTGCATCCCCCTTTCACTCATCTCCCTGTGCATTGCTGCTGCTGCTTCAACCAACTGCGTGCCAGAGAAGGGGAGATGTTGTGCCGTGAGAGTAGCTGGCAGTGAGGGCTTCTGGGGACAGGGAGGGCAGCCAGGTACAGGTGGAGGGTTTGGTTTTTTTAATCTCAGATTCTCAGGAAAAAAAATAACCGCCCCTACCTTTCTTTCCCAGAAGAACTTAAATTATTTCCAGGTTAACCCAAAGCAGATTTTAGAGACCATGCCCATCTCTAGTATCTTCTCTTTCCAAAAGGCCAGTTATTTTGAATAAGAAAATGTGTATGGGAATCATGGGTTGTTTGTGTTTTGCTATGTTGCTGTTTATGTGTATGGTCTCACAAGGGCTGCTACTTCATTGAAATGAGCGAACCATGCCATGTGTCGGTGGCTCGATCAACAAGAAAATAGGGGAACTGACAGGATTTATTATCTTCTCTAAAGCTGTATCTCATTGTTCTTCACGAAGAATAAACAGGAAAATTCCCCACCCCAGGAGTTTAAAAAGCATGTTATTGTTATTTATTGTTTGTAGTGTGAAGTTCTATCATGTCATTGTTATTGATGGATTGTAAGCTGCTTTGGGGTTCGTTTGAATGAAAAGCAGCGTGGTTAATAAAGCAAATCAATTAAATAAAAAATAGTGAGACGGCAAGGACAGGGAAATGCAAGGTGAGTTGGAATAAATGTGGAAGAGTTTTGGTACAATCGCTGTTGAAAAAGACCTGTTGCACATAGGAATGTAAAAGCTACAAGTCATTTTATTAGGATTGCTTCTGTCTGAAAGTAAATGAGCTGTTAACTTAATTTTCTAAGACAAAAAGTTAAAATGCCATTTGATTCCCTTATTCAGTCTTTTGGTAAAATACTACTGGCAAAGTGTATAATATTTGTGTGTTGGCTTTTGCAGGAGGAAGATATCAACTAGAAATAAAAATTCCAGAAACATATCCATTTAATCCCCCAAAGGTACAGTGAGCATAAATTCTTGTGAATAATTGTCTAGAATGTTTCTGTGTAGTAGGTGTTTTGTTTTGTTATGCAGTGCTGTTACCCCCCAGATCTTTCTGGATCGACACAGAAACAGCAGTCATTCACCCCTCATCATTTTATGTCAATAGTCCCTGGTCACAAAATATTACACAGCTGGCAAAGCAATGATGGAACTTTTTAAAACAAAACTGCCTTCAACAAAACCTTGTTGTGAACAGCTTAGTTCACCCCCACCCTATTGCTCTCTGCTTCAAAACCAATATGAAGGCAGTAACTGTTAGATCTAGGTTGAATTGTATATATAATATTTATTAATATATATGTTTTAGTATAATAGAAATATTACACATACTTTTTAAACTTCAGGGTGTCTCAAGACTCTTTTGGTTTTGCTACAACAGACTAACACAGTTACCCTTCTGAAAATTGCTATAAGGATGCATCTACATTCCTTGTGTTTCTCAAATCACTTGGCAGCCATAGATAACCAGGAATTCCACGCAGGCAGGTAACAAAGGGATGGATTTCTCTGTCATCTGTCTGCTTTCTTATAAGGTCATTTTTTAAACTAGTCTGCTAAGAGGTATCACATCAGATTGCTGTGGGAGCTCACCCAAGAAAATGTTCTCCATGCCAGAAAACACTGCATTTCAATAAGTACAAAACTATCATATTTAGGTGTTTTTTTATCTCAGAAATCTTGATCATCAATATTATGGAGCAATATTTTTTCATGTGGCGAAGCATCCAGTCATGTGAGCTCCTACCTGCATTCTGCTGTGGTGGAACCATATATTGCCATTTGTGAAAACAGTTGGAGGTTTGCCCATTAAAATATGTAGAGGTTGTCTTGCATACTTAGCAGCTAATTTAATAGAATTTTTTGCTTTATGTTCTAGGTGCGGTTTATCACAAAAATATGGCATCCTAATATTAGCTCAGTCACTGGGGCTATTTGCTTGGATATCCTAAAAGATCAATGGTAATGTTGTGCATTAAGTTCTTGAAGATCCTCCAGATAATTGGACAATCGTCTGTTTACAAATGTAGTAAAAATGAATTATTGTTTGTTGAGTGAAGTTATTAACAATGGATTATTGATTAAATGAGTATACCACTGTTCATCTGAAGAACAGAGGGCAGTTGGATGGATGGAACACAATGGATGGAAAAATCATTTTCATTCTCTACTTATATTTTTCATAGGAATTAGAAATATAATGTGCATTAACTGTTTCCTAATTTTTATTGCTTTACTTTACAGTGGTTTGACAGTTTAGAATGCCACCCCCCTACATCTTTTTTACTGCACCTCTTGGTTTTTATTAATCATAGTTTGCTGTGACATCTGAACTGACACACTATGGTTAGTGCTTACATCCAAACCATGGTTTCTGGTCTGTCATAGTTGGATGATTTGAATGGCAAACTATGGATAGCAAAAAGAAGGAAGTGAATGAGGGAAGCATGAAAGGGGTCCAAATGTGTGACTGCTCCCCTTCATTACACCACTGAGCTGTTTTTACTTACGAATTTAGAAAACTGGATGACTTTTCCGATTAGGAGTGCTCTGTACAGCAGTGTTAGCCATAGGTGATCGCTGAGTTTTTACTGCTTTTTTGACTTTTCTGTTTCTTAGTATGAACAGGAATTGGAGGCTAGATCCCCCATGTGATCTTCAGCTCTGTTCTGGAGGGTCCCCCAACTCTCTGGAGTCAACACTCAGGGCACAGTGGGGACCGCAGGGAGGAATTGGTAAAAATTGCCTCCTCTCTTCTGTTAGTTGAGACATTCTTGTTGTTGTTGTTTAGTCGTGTCCAGCTCTTCGTGACCCCGTGGACCAGAGCACACCAGGCACTCCTGTCTTCCACTGCCTCCTGCAGTTTGGTCAAACTCATGCTGGTAGCTTTGAGAACCCTGTCCAACCATCTCGTCCTCTGTCGTCTCCTTCTCCTTGTGCCCTCCATCTTCCCCAACACCAGGGTCTTTTCTAGGGAGTCTTCTCTTCTCATGAGGTGGCCAAAATATTGGAGCCTCAGCTTCAGGATCTGCCCTTCCAGTGAGCACTTAGGACTGATTCCCTTAAGAATGGAGAGGTTTGATCTTCTTGCAGTCCATGGGACTCTCTCCTCCAGCACCATAATTCAAAAGCATCAATTCTTCGGCAATCAGCCTTCTTTATGGTCCAGCTCTCACTTCCATGCATCACTACTGGGAAAACCATAGCTTTAAGGGTCTCCAAAGTGCTTTTACAGTTTGGTTGGAAGCATTAGTGGACAGATAGAATAGCTGTAGATTTAGGATTTGCTCTCCTTGAGGCATAAGACCTGTGCCTGAAATATATCACTTCAGACTGAATATGGGGCTCATGTGGTTGAAAATTAGGTATCAGGGAGGATTCTACCTAAGTTGTGTTTTTTTTAATGTGGGGAATGTGCTGTCTGCCTCTCACGCACACACAAGGGCACATTCCCTCATATGAGCCCCCAACCTAAAGGCTGAAGTATAGCTCAGACACAGGTTTATCGTCTCAGTGAGAACTTGGCCATCATTTTAGCCTTAATGTCAATTAATTAGTGTGATTGATGCAAACTGTGGCAAATGAGTAGCCCAGGCATTCTCCTCTGGTTGAGTGGTACAATTAATGCATGGCAGGGAAAGATGATTTTAAATAACAGAGTTGAAATTATTCTAAAGGCATTGCAATCGGATTTTTGTGTGTGGATAATAATGTGAATTTTATTATTTCTAATTTATTCTTAGGGCTGCAGCAATGACTCTTAGGACAGTGTTGTTATCACTGCAAGCACTCTTGGCAGCTGCGGAACCTGATGACCCCCAGGATGCAGTAGTGGCAAATCAGGTATGATGCTTAGGAAAACTCTAGTTCTCTCTATTCATAATACTTTTCTCTCTTCAGAAGTACACTGACAGTTCCCAGATTTTGAGTTTTAATTAAATCTGTAGGACACAGGCTAGTGAAATACTTATTTGCTCTCTGAGAACTCAGAAAATGCAGGATTGGTGCAGTTCCTAAAATAGGACCTATTATAGCATAAACCTTTGTGAATTTATTATTATTATTATTATTATTATTATTATTATTATTACTACTACTACTACTACTTAGGAGTATGTGCAGTGTCACAACTCTCAGCAAAACAAACATTTTGCCCACCTTGATAAATAAAAAGAAAATACTCTGTGTATGTCTGGTTTTATATTTTAAATTACCAAAGCCAGACTAAACGTCTTTCCTTCTGCAGTGTTGGATGGCAGGTTGAGAGGAGTTCCCTAACAGGACAGACTTTGCTCGTGTGCTCAAGACTTCGATTCCATAAAACATATTTTGTTGCACTGTGCAAAATATGAGCAAGCCAGGGCTGAACTGATATTACCCTTGCTGGTACCTTCCCCGGGAAAATCAGAGGCTCACTATGTCAGGTTCCTATTGGAAGACTGGACAAATGCTAGAACATTAGCAGTGGCCAAGTTTTTATTGGTGGTTGCAAGAACCAATGATCCCTATATTCTGAACAAAATGCTTGTTTAACCTGGAGGTAGGCTGTATGAATTGTGTATTGCTTTGTAACGATTTGTTGGGTCTCTAGACCGTAATAAAGGTTGTTGATGATGATGATTTTAAATCAACTGATAATTGTTTTTGCTCACTTCTGGCATTGGGCCAGTTACCGGCTCTCAGCCTGGCTACAAAAGGGGACATGGTGCTTGTATCATAGGCATCAATTTTTGGTTCCTTCAACCAGAGTTAGGCCAGCTGGTTGTTATAGCTCTTCAGTAGATGTATACAAAAGTTTTCATGTTGTTCATAGAGTTACTGAATCAAATTTATAAAATCAAAGCACACACATGGACACACACTAACTACCGTATATAAAAGTGGCAGGAATATTGTCTTGTTTAAAAGGTCTCTGTATGAAGAGGAAAGAAGCCTGTCATTGTTGCACCATTGGCAGTCATCTTCATTGCTTTTAATTCTAACCAATTCTGCTTTGAATAAGAGTTTCTGTCAGCAATAAATGTATTGTAGAAAGGCAGTTGCACTGTCTTCTCGCCTACCTGTGGTTCTTTGGAGTCTTAAGGTATATTTAATCATCAACTGCAATTATTCAGTGACAAAACATATCAGACCATTAGGCATGTATATCCCAGATTGGATGCCAAAGTAAGCCAGACAGAGCAGTTTGAATGCAAAAATTCTCAAATTTGGACAGTTGTATGACTTATTTTTTTCCCTTTTTGCTATAGTACAAACAAAATCCAGAAATGTTTAAACAGACAGCTCGACTTTGGGCACACGTGTATGCTGGAGCACCAGTTTCTAGTCCAGAATACACCAAAAAGATAGAAAACCTTTGTGCTATGGGCTTTGATAGGGTGAGTATTGGTGACTCTTACAAAAGTGATAAACCACAGCGTGTCTATCCTTCTCTATGCAGCAACATAACTTTGGATACAAGGCATACTCTTTGCTTACTTGGGTAGAAGCTTCTCTTAGATTATCTGTGTATTATGCCTTGATTAACAGCTTTTTCACTACTTCCGAAGCTCAAGGAAATCCGTTTAACGCCTGATTTTCTGTTAAGTAACTGACTTTAATTTAGCCATGGTCAAACTGACGAGTAAAGTTTCCTTCAGGCTCATGCTGTAATCGGTTTTATATAAAGAACAGGTGCACACACTGACTTGAGTCCTTTTTTCTTTTTGTCTTTGCAGAATGCAGTAATAGTGGCCTTGTCATCAAAATCATGGGATGTAGAGACAGCAACAGAACTACTTCTGAGTAACTGAGCCATGTGCAGAGAACTGCTTCTGTAGCCCAGCTTGCCCTTTCTTGAGGAGCCTCACCATCTCTTATTTTTAGGTTTCTATATAGATTCTCTTTCAAAACTGGCATTCTTGCCTGATGCTATCTAGGCATTATTGGAGACTGAAAAAAAGGAAAAAAAACCTGCTCTGTAAATAAAGCTAATTAAACGTCTGTGTAAATTTAAAAAAAGGAGGAAATACTTTAATTTTTTCTTACTAAATATTGTAAATTCCTTGAGCTTGGCTAAAACAATGGGGGACAACATGCCTACTTTAGTCTTAGCAGTGTGACCCAAGACTAGAAGGAATTTGCATCAGGATTTTGACTTTTAAGAATTTATTCAGAACACATCTGATTGTGTCCATAATCATCAGTCATTGATGTCACTCATCCCAGCTACCTTACCTATGTTTTTTTAACATGGATCCTACGTGCCTGTGGACCTTATATTTGCATGCTTGTACTTTACATAGACACTTTTAAAGAAAAAAAAAGTAGGGTAAACTGAACAGAGCACTGTTTGAAGTACTTGAGTATTCATTCTTGTAACTTTTTCCTAAGACTTTCCAAATGTGCTCATAGATCAAAATGACAGCCTACTCGGAAATGTTTTCACCTCTTAAGGAGTAGCAATCCTCCATTTCTTCTTTACCTCCCCCTCTCCCTCCCAACTGCACATGCAACTAAAATAACACACTAGAACTTCCAGAATTTGTGGGTATGTGCCATTTAAAGTAGCCTAGTTTCCCACTTCCAAGTGGTCTATTTTGAATAACCAGTAAAAGTGTTTCAAACATTGTAATTTCTACACAATTGTATAAAAGGTTTGGTATATCTGGACATAGCACAAGCAAGTGGAGCTGCTCTTTTGTTTCTTATGCAGAAATCAAACCTCTTTCAATAAATTCTGGATAGAATGAATTTGCCGAGAAGAATTGGTTCTCTGTTAACACTGAGAATGCCACCTCTTTTCTCTAGTATTTGCTGTGATGCAATCAGTTTGGGGGCAAAAGCTTCCTAGTTTTTACTTTGGACATTGTTTTAGGTAGGGGTTGCTTGTAAACCTCTAAAGTCCCTCTTGTGCACATTTCCCCCAGTTGACACTTGAAAGTCTTGGATTGTTGTTTTTTTTACTGTAAATATATTGAATGCGAGTAGAAGTACCTGCTAAAACAAATGTACATACAGTCATACTTTCTATTCATTCAGAGAGATCTAAAATCTCCAAATCATTAGTTTTTATACCTTTGTTGCAAGTTGTAATATCATTGCAAAACTGCATCAGGAATTGCTTTTGAGCAAAATGCAGAGATGCAGTGTCAACGTAGAATTCTGCAAGGTTATTTTCCCATTCCGGCCCCCAACTCTTCTGTACTGTAGATAGGAAAGTTTAAATCGGTCCATTTTTTAATTGAAGAAGCTGCATCACCACTTTTGCTAATCAGCCATGTTGCATAACTGTTAAGCATCTAATGTGAAGTAGAGAAATGGAAGAGATGAGAACCTAACTAATGCAGAATTATTTTCTGCAGTACGTATGTCTTAAGCTGCCTATAGATTCAAGTTACTAGGACACATAAAAATAAATTGTAGTTTGTATCTGTGCAATGCAGAACACTGTTGATCTCTTCACATCCTATTTATGCATTCAGTGATTGTATGGTTTTTCTTGCAGTCCTGTAAATCACTTTCAGATGCCAAAGGAAATGTGATTTTTGTTTTTTCCTTGATATATATTTATTTTTTTTAACAAGTTGCTGCTGCTCAACAAAGTTTTTGTTAAATAGTAGCCAGGGCCAGCAGAACCCTGGCAATCTGCCATTTGTGTTTGTAATTTTTTTTTAATGGTCTATATTTTGATGAGTTCATCTACAGCTTTGTTTTACCCTGGTGGTAATTGTGTAAAAATGGCTGATAGATTACATTTTCCCTTGTTCTTTGCAAATTATTAAAGGAAAGATCGTGGAAGTGGTTAGATGGAATGAAATGTCTTCTGCTTTTCCATCTAGATCATATTAATCATTCTAAGGAAGCTTTCTGTGATTGTGTTAAATGAGACTAGAAAAAGTTTGAACACAGGAGAAAAAGCTTATGCTAAACATAATAGCTAGGACTCTTCCCTTGGCTACATGAAACTCTTGGTATTGATGGAAGGATTCATATAGGTGCTAGGTTTTCCCTTCATGGGTCTAGTGTAATGACAGTCGTTTTGTCACTGCACCCAAGAAAGTAAGTTTTCTCAAGAATTGAGCAAGAATCCTTAACTTACGTTGATGCCAGCTGGGACTCAGTTTCTAAAGGTATGTGTGCACGGCTTGGTAGGCTGTTGAGCTGAGTAAATGCAAACTGCTACCCAGCTCAATCTTAATTTGCTGGTCTTTAATTATTCAGCGTATCATTTTTCACTTCTCATTATTCTAAAAATAATAGTCAGGCAGCCTTGCAGTTATTGTGAGCTGTGCCAGTTATGGTGGGAGAACTGCTGCACAGTTCACCTACGCCACACAATGGATGCTGATCATGCAATATCCTGTTTCTGGGAACTTTTAAGCAACCCGTAGATTTTTAACAAATCCCAGAGGGTTGGAACTGGTTTATCTCTGTTGAGTACTGAGATTATAACCATTGACTGCTCTTCCTATGGAGGCAAGAGAGAAGAGATGCCCTTCCCATTGCCAGGGGTCTCAACAAATCATTGTAAGTGCCAAAAACACTCCACACAACTAATTGGGTTTTTAAAAAGCCAAGTCCATGCTTTCGTTCCTATACTGAGCTGCCATTAAAAAGTGACAAAGTACAAAACAATTTGTACTCCTGGTGATGTAAAAAAAGGCGGTTAAGCAGCATTTTACCTCAAGCATTGATTTTGGAACATTTTGAGCAGTCAGGTACTTCTATAAATGTAATTAAATGATATTTTATGATATCTTTGGAGAGGAATATCCGAGGTCCAAGCCTCAGCAATCTGTCTAAAAGGAGAAACTCTGGTTGAAAGCAACTTTGTCTTCAAATAAACCAAATGGTTGCAAAGTGAGTAAACTATGCAAACTCAAACTTGTTCAATAGAAGAGTTAGACATTGTGGAATGTGCACCTTGCCTTCCCTGTCGTTTGCTTTCTTATCTTTTACAACTTAATGATGGCAATGACACTGGGCTTTTATTTTTTAAACATTTTGGTGGCTTTTGCAGTCATTGTTCGGATAAGAACTGTGTTCCCGTCACGGACATTTTGATAGGGTCGTAACTGGTTACCACTGTCAGATTTTGAGTTTTATTGGGTAACCAAATGCATGATGGCTGTCGATTGCCATAATCCACGGGAGTTTTTCTGAGTGGGTTGGCAGTCTGGGAAGCTTAGCACAGTTAACTGCAAAAATCATGGTCAAAGGGAGAATGTCTCAAAGACTTTTCTAAACAAGGCTTAGTTGCATGAATATAAGCATAGGAAAAACATTCATTACAGTTGCAGAAGTAGCAGCCATCGTGACTAGAGCTGCAGTATTCACACTGCTTTGACATGCAAGTACAGCTACATCCTTGTTAGACTAATGCTTCCAAAGTGATTTGGGGTTTTTCAATACAAAACCCAACCTTCAGGTTTTTGGGTTTTTTAAGTGCCATACTTAATCGGCCTACTCTTCTACTTGGAGCTATTAAATGCCCCTACCTGCTTATTTTTTTTGTTTTTGTTTTACTGTGATAAACTCGTGACTCCATTCCCTAAAGGATGAAAGCTTGCAAGCTGTGTATTGTATGACAGTGCTGCTTTCTGGTTAGTCCCTCTGCGATGGGAAGAATCTACTAGTTTGAAATGACCATTCAGAATCATGCCAACAAAACCCAACAGTACTATAGGAGTCCATTAATAAAATTTGCATTGTGGTGCTTTACATTGATTTTTAGAGAGGGCCTCCCCTTTCAGAAAAGTGGTACTGTCAAAGATCCTTGCTGACCTGTTGCCGTTTTCCATTTCAATTTATGTTGTGGGGGTGGGTGGTTTTTTTGGTTTGGTTTTTCTTCCCAACCAAGATGACAAAGGCTATTTGTAGGAAGCTTTCAACTGGACATTTCATTGTGAGTGAGCGGGCTGCAATGCAACGTTGGTGTTTGCGTCTCTTGAGAATAAAAGCCACGCAACACTTTTGTATGCCATTTTTCTAAAAAAATAATAATAAATACACTTTAAAAATGTTGATTTCCACTGCAAATGCTTAACAATAAATGCATGTTTCCCTGAAAATGCTTTCCATTTTACTTTGTGGTAATAAATCTCTCCAGAACAGGAGATGATGCACCACTACTTAAGTGTGATATAATGGTTTCATTACGTTACAAGAGTGATGACCCGTAGACCAGCAAGTTGGATTTTATGGAGCAGACATTGGTATGTGTGCAAATCAACCAGTTGTGTTTATGCTTTGTTAAAATCTTTTTTAAATGAACGGGTGGCTGAGGCGTTGCTACTTGAGTGTTCCTTGCACCATTAGTAAACTCTTTTGTTCTCACTACTTGTTGCCTTTGTGGCCAAAAACCTAGGAATTTTCTTACTGGGAATCTGCTCAGGGGAAGGCATATTGGATCTTGTGAGATTACTTCTACCAGCCTAACTTGCATTTTTCTGCTGCAGAGGAGGCGTTCTTCTCCAAAAAAGATACAGAACCTTCTATATTGTGGCCAGTATGCTGAGCCTTGGGTAACACACACAAAACCATTTCCTAATCCACAATAATCCTTAATATCCTGGCAGCGCTAAACTACCCCTTCTCCATGTGCCTATTGCTGAGGCAGATGTGCCGAAACACTTGGGGGTGGGGACAGAATATTCTCCTTAATCTTTAGGTTTATGTTAAAGTTGCTGTTGTAAATAAACGGGGCATGCTGGATCCTTTGGGGCACTGAGGAACAATACTAGGTTGGCTTCTTGGGAGCAACTGAATCACAACTGATTGAACATTCTGATAAGTTTTGCCAAGAGGCAGCATCGGCGGAGGCAAAAAAGTTAAGTCTAGGATGCACAGAACTCTATGGTCGCTCACATGGCTGCCTGCAGGTATCTTTTTCAAATATCTCTCTCACTCTTCCTCCCAAAGCAGCCCAGGGTAGCAAAAAGCCCCATCACGTACTGATGAGCTGTGCCTTCCTTGAGTTACTTGGCACAAAGTTCAAAATGCAATAGCAGCACATGCATACAGCCACCGTATCTCTAGGTCTTCCCCCAAGGAAACCGCCTGAAATTTTGGAAGGAGAAATGGACGATTTTCTCCCATCTAACCCATCTGTGAGTACGATAGCAGAAGAAGAATAGAAGCGCCACCAGCTATGCCATGCAGAATATCAATTTAACTTTCGCTGTAAGAGAGGAGACCAAGCATAAAGCACCATCTCTTCAACTAAAATGGGTCTGGGTTAGAGGATCACGCTCCAAGCTTATAGATCCTCCTTGCAGACACAGCTGGCCCTGCCCCGCCCTGCTGCTGCTGCCCACAAGTGCATTTTCAGAATGAACTTTCTGAAAGGAATAATGCTCAGTCGAGTCCTGGTAGAACACTCAGTACATGTGAAAAGGTTCCAGAGGTCTTGGTGAACCACTAGCTTAACATGAGTCAACAGAGTGATGCAACAACAGAAAAAGCTAATGCTATTCTAGGCTGCATCAACAGAAGTTGATAAGGGAAGTGATGGTCTTGCTCTTTTCTACCCTGGTCAGATCCCACCTGGAGTCCTGAGTCCAACACCTGCAATGCATGACTCAACTAAAGCATCCATGACAGTTGGCCATCCACACAAAACCCTCAAGCTGTTTTTCAAGGCAGACTCCAGACCCTTGCTGGAAGTGTCCTTAGGTCTCTCCTGTACATAGGGAAATCGCCATGGAGCACACCTGGCGGTGGTCCATGACATCTGGAAGAAAGTAAAATTGGTTAATCAAATGGTGGTAGACTTAGATCTACACACACTGGACTGGTAGCATCCTGACAGATTAAGAAACACTATAGTATATTTAGGTAGCTCTGAAGTTCTTTCCTCTGCATCTGCACTGGGGTATTAAGATAGCTCAGATCACGTTTGCCAAACCTGCTGCCCTCCAATGCTTTGGACTATAACTCCCATAATTCCTAACAATTGGCTAGCAGGGGTTGATGGGAGTTATACCCTAAAACTTCTGGAGGGCATGGGATTACAGAAGGCAGGTTTGGATTGATCACCCATGATAAGCTCTTAAACTCAAAATTTAATATAGAACGCTAACGTTTCAGTGACCTCTAGCATCTCCTAGATGTAATCCATCATTTAAAAAAGCCCACCTGATGATGGTACAAACCCCTTCAAGTACAGGACATGTCTTGCAAGAACACATTCACTAATGACTATCTTCATAGCCTCTGTCCCAAATTAAACACTGGTGTAGAGATACTTGCTACATTCCTCTGATCAGCACTAAAGGTGACAAAATGCAAAATTCAGAATTTCAAGAAATTGTATTCTAAGACCTTACAGTACAGGCAGATTTTGATTCAGCAGATCAAAAACTACAATTCCCCTCAAACAGACTTGGGAAATCTCCTTGGCTACATACCTTAGTAAATGTATTTTGCATTATACCATCTGCAGCTTCTCTTGTCTCCCTGAAACCTATTTTAGGTTTCTTAGAGGTGTTGTGTGCAATACTGGAATGCTCTTTGCTTTCTGAACACTCCAGAATACACGTCATCTTGCTGTGAAAACTATGACCAGAGGTTCTGTTGAAAATGCAAAATCTTTCTATTCCTTATGGAGCGATGTTTGATTAGCTGTTTGCTTCCTATTTTGTTCTTTTAATCTATGAAATCCAGGGCGTAAGTATTTTACACTACTATCTGGTCCACTGGAGAACACACACTTTCCCAAAGTGTCAAAATCTTATGTGTTGACATCAGCGCTTAGGCAGCAGGAAATTTATTGGTCCTACACAGATACAGAGATGCCATGCAGAACTGAGGCAAAGTAGAAATTATACTTTTCTGGGGAGAAAAATGATACCATATGACACCTAGAAGCATTTATTTTATGCAACAAACTTAAATATGATCATGTGTACATTAAAAGTGTACACTATGCTGAACAATGCCAGGGGGAAAATCAATATTGATGCAAGTCTTCTAAAATTAAACATTAAAAAATGAGCTTGGACAGGAAGACAAAAACGAAAAACAGACTTACTTTCAATCAGCGCAATGCTTAAAATTGAGAGCAATCCTAAACATTTCCAACGTTCCTTACAAAGCTGCCAAAAGTCCAACTATTTTTAAAAATTGATATTTTACATCAATAATAAAAATCTGGTGACAAACATTATAAAATCAAATGCTGGGCTGCCTTTACTCCATTAAATTTAGAATATTCCAACAGAACCACAGGAGTAAACCCACTTAAAAGTGATGTTTTTATAAAACAACCAACAATATGTACATTTATTGCAAATTATATTAAACTAAAATGGAGAGGGAAATTAAAAAAAGATGAAATGTCTACTTGCAAATCAATCAAGTGATTAGTCTCCCACTCAGATAAAAAGTCAGAAAGCAACATGTATAAAAATTGTCACTATGTGACTTTTCATAGCAGGAACCAAAATCTGTACATCATATTTAGCTGGAAAGAATTATACATAGGAGTCTCCAAAAGGAAAGCAGATGAGAATTCAGGTATTTTCCTTGTGTCTTGGATTAAAATTATTTCAGTAAGCTTCTATTTTTTCTTGCAAAAAGGGTGGGCAATACCTGATTCTAGGTCTGAAATTTTTAAAGGATCTCATTCTGACTTTCTTTTAAAAAATGCAGCATGAAAATTTATGGAGTAAAACACTTTTAACTCCAGATATGCAGAAACTGGAATCAAGTGTTAAGCAATTTGCTTAATTATTGACTTTTCATAAAAAAAGTCTCTGGGAAAATAAGTACAGATGCTTTTAGCCTCTCTCAAGAGTTTCAGCAGAATAATGTCATCTGAAAGGGAAGCAGATTTTCCTTCTGTTTTCAGAGCTGAAAGCGGTGTGATCTGAGTATTTTCAGTTCCTTATACAGGAAATTTCTTGGTTTTTGCAGAAGCTTGGAGCATGCCTTCATTTGGCCCTCCTTTTCCTCCCCTTGCAAGGAAGTTTTCTTTTTACCTTGAAGAGAAGAAGAAGAAAGTTTAGAAAATGAAACTTACTGGGAAAACATTCACGAGCGAAGTGAACTTTCCCCTCTGAAGTGCACCTTTGATTTCTTTTTTTTTAAAAATCAATTCTTAAATGCCTTAATTTTTTATTTTTATTAAATTTATATCCCGTCTTTGTTCCATCTTGGAACCCAGCATACATGGGTACATGGTATTCAGTCATCTAGCCTACGCACACTTACCTGAAAGTAAGCAGGACTGAACACATTACCTGAATATTTATGTCTGTCAATTGTGTTTGAATCTACATCATCTTTGATATAGATGATAAAGGTCTGGTCGAAATTCCACTGAAGACAATTTGCATTTATAGGAGGCTGATAATCTTTTTATGAATTGATTTGGGGGGGAGATATTACTTTAAATTTAAAGCAACAACAGTTCATTCCACTGCAATAATGTAAAGAGCATCATAAAGATGCTCTAGCATTTGTCTAGAAAAGCTCAGCAATTGAAACTCTTGTCGAAGGAAGGAAGGAAGGAAGGAAGGTGGGAAGAATGACAGGAATATAGCAGTTTCACAACCTCCCACTTTATTGACTTTCATTACCTAACTTCCACTAAATTTTAAACATGCAGAAGTACTGTGTAATCTTCTACATCCATGTCAGTGACATTTCTACAAGGACTGACCAGCACCACCTCCTCCCAGCACCCATAATTATACAAACATAGCCCTGTATAATCTCCCTGCTGCACCTTCAGGAAGCCACTCTCTGTTAGTTCTGTCTCCTCAGTGTCTTCCTGGCTGCCTGTATCCTCAGTGTCACAAAGCTTAAAAAGATCCATTTCACTTGGAGAATATCCAGGACTTGATTCTATCTCGAACACTGACTCTCCATCACTTCCCAGCACCTTGCTTCTGAAAAACGTTAGAATGGGAATATCATTTGGGAGTAAAAGCCTAGCTAAATCAAACTAGGAGTTGCACTTCTGTCCTTTGAGCTGAGACAAAATGAGCTCTGCTTTTCGGAGCTTAAGTCAATTTTTGTTAGCATGAGATTTCTCTTAACCTTCTTTGAAAGGGCAAGAGGTCTACATAAGGAATAACAATGGACTTTACAGATGTGTATGAATGGTTTCTATACTGCTTTAGACAATTATCAGCTATATTGGAACAATATATACTATTAAATACAGGCAACATCCGATTTGCATGGGGGTTGCATTCCTGGCCCCCTTTTCTGGCCACTTCTGGGTTGTGGTGATGCACGTGTACATGATCATGCATGCATTGAACAAGCGTAAATGGTTATTGCCTGTATACTTCAGTTGGTTTTAACTATGCCAGAGATACAGATTCTCCCCACCAGTATATACATCTAAAAGGATGTCTAATCAAATTCCTTACATAAAAGAATATCTCCTCTGTTTTCAATAAGATCTCAAAGAGCTAATTTAGGCATGTCCAAGGACAAGCATTCCCAATTTGTGGCCCAACAAGCTCAAGACAGTCTAGTAGTCATGTTACAACATTGATTGGCCACAAGGTGGTGGTGGGATCACAAGTTGGGCAGGCCTACCCAAGAGCCTGCATATATTTGGTACCATTTTTGAGCACCAGATCCGTATGCCATCTCAATGGTTGCTTCTGAAACTCCTCCCAGTCTAAGAAATAGGCTGTGCAGCCAGCCATTATTTGTGGCCACCAACCCTGACCATGTCCCTTCCCAGGAATCTTCTAACATATGTAGAGGATGAGAGTGGGGAGAAGGTAGGATTAGGACTTGATACTACCTCCAGAGAGACAACTGCGAGAGATTCAGGCTGCTCCTGACTATGTGAGGAAGCTGGTCCCTCTCATTTGGTGTTGGACATCCAGTAACTGCTTTTGTGAGCCCTTGAAGGGGGCTGAAATTTAAGAAACAAACCGCCATGGTTCGGGCAACAAAGTAAACTCATCGGACAGTTGTTCAGAAGGCTAAGGATTCCTGGGCAGGATTCTTTCATGCTGATGCTTTTGACCAGGGGAATGGTCAGTAGCCAACAGCAAACACCACCCTAGGAAGGCCATATATGAATTAAGTAGGTATCTCTACTCCTGCTAATTCACCAGGTCAACAGCTAGTTTTAAAAACAATTTTATAATTGACCACAGGTTGAAGGACCAGTAAGACTGGTTAGGGGCACACAAATTCTGACTGGGCACCATGCTTGTCAATCATCTCGACCGGCCCCTCAAGTCTTCCAGTGTGTGCAGAGACCTTGGGGATGCCACAGTTCTTATAACACCACATTGCCTTGTCACGATCCCTGATCCCAGTGAAAACTATCCCTAACACAAATTCTAGCCCCACACCACTTCTAGAAGTCCCAATCCTACCCTACTGTGCTGCTATTATCCCACAGCAACATGCACACACAGAGGGTAACAGGGAGGAGGTGAATAGACAAAATCGAGAGCAGCCAGGTTGCTCAGGTGTTCTGGAAGAGCTGCTTGCTTCTGAATCTGATTTTCGAGACTGGGTCCAGGTTGCAGTAGCTACTGCTCACTGCACACTTGAGGAACCGCAGGCAGAAAATAGATGAGCCAAAGTGCCAAAACACTCTGGAGGAAGACACAATTTCTTTCTCATGCTCAAAGAGCATTTCTCTTCCTCAAAGTTCTTTACCCTGGAGATGGGTGGTATTATCCCTAGTTAGGGGATTTCTGAAACCATTTACACTGGCTTTCCCCACTGATTCTTATGTGAACCAAGCCACACGCAAAAGACTAACTCACGCTCCAACTATGAACAACTTTCTCCCATCATGCACTTCAACTGCTTACTCTGACATGTCTGTGCCTTGCCTTGTGCAAAGTAAACAACAGCCAAAATGCATAATACATAAGAAGAAAAACCTACCACAGCCAATTTTGCTGTTTACACATGGATGGGGATGTCAAGGATTTTTTTTACCTGCCTCCCAACTTGCGTTGAAGAAAGCCATCAAGTTGCATAACGGCAGGTGAGTACATAGGGGACTAGAGTGCACCTTTAGGGTGCCAGTTGGCCATTCTTTTTTTAAAAAAATGTGTTTTTTATTTTTCTTATAAAGCATACAGGATAAAAATAATGATACCTAACATTAGGGAAAACAAACCAGCTGATTCCACCAATAAGGGAAATAATAGTTCGTCTGTAGTAATATTACAGAATGTTTCTGTTTGATTTGTACTATTCAGCCCAGAGTTCCTGACCACAGTTGGCCATGTGTATCCGGAGGACTAGTTGCAAACAAGCAATACCATGTTTCATGAAATCTATCCACCTCAAGAGTTTTTCCTAAACATGAACAATCTAAGGGTTTTTCCATTAGTGCCCATTTTCAAATTTCTTGATCCCAGCAGCAGTTGCCTATTCTTAACAAGAAGAGACAGGAGCAGCTCATATGTTTGACTGTCTGGATGAGGGGTCAGCAAACCTTTTCAGCAGGGGGCCTGTCCACTGTCCCTTAGACCTTGTGGGGGGCCGGACTATATTTTTTTGGGGGGGGCAGGAAATGAACGAATTCCTATGCCCCACAAATAACCCAGAGGTGCATTTTAAATAAAAGCACACATTCCTACTCATATAAAAACACCAGGCAGGTCCCACAAATAACCCAGAGATGCATTTTAAATAAAAGGGCACATTCTACTCATGTAAAAACACAATGATTCCCGGACTGGTTGCGGGCAGGATTTAGAAGGCGATTGGGCTGGATCTGGTCCCTGGGCCTTAGTTTGCCTACCCAGGGTCTGGATTTTGGAAAGATCAGATCTCCAAGAGCTGGCCAATCTGCCAACTTATCAGCAGCCACTGCCCCTCTGAATATTCCATGTCAGCTGGCTTTTTAAAATGAGAGAGACTTTTGGTAATTGGTCTTCCACACTCCTTGACCCTGATGTTCATCTGCATTTGCATTGGGGGGGGGAATCTTTTGAGGAATGTCTTTTTAACCATGCACAGTATCACTGCGTTAAAGAAAACCTGTGTTATGCAAATGAATTAGCTGCATTTTTTGAAAACATGTATTGCTCAGCAATTGGATCTTGTGTGTGGTGGGGAAGGACTAAGGCTGAGTAAAGAGGAATTAAAGGGCACAAATAAACAAGAGACATGTGACGAGGGAGGAAAGAGTGCGGGGAGCAGTGTGCAGGAAAGTGCAAAAGAAGTTCCGTGGAGATGGTTAGGATTTACTGTGATGTCACTTGGCATTTCTGACAAATTATAGCCAATTCAGGACAACTTCCCAGAGAAAGAAAGCAGTGTATTTGTGTTTACCTTTGTAGATCAATCTGTCTCTGTGCTGGTACTGCTTTTTTCGGTGCCTCTTGCTGTTTTGGTGCTTTGGCATTGCTTGCCTCTAAACTCCCTGGACCTTCCTGGCTGGGTGCTGCCCTTTTCCGCCCCCTACCAGATGGTTTACTCGTTTCAGCATTTTTTGCCATGGTGCCCTGAGATTCAGACTTGGGAGGACGCCCTCTCCTCGGTTTGGGAGGGGCAGGCTGGCCCGATTCATCTGTTTTTTTTTCTTCTGACTTTTGATGAATATTTTCTGCTCCAGCGGCAGTTGCAGTTCTTTTCTTCCCACGCTCAGTGCTAACATTTCCTTGCGTTGCCTGATCAGAGTTTATCTCCTAGAGGGGGGAAATAAGGCTTAGTTTGTTGTCAACTGAACCCCTGACAGTCAGGTGGCAGTTATATCTGCTTCAAAAGAAGTTTCCAAGGGCAGCTACAGCAATAACCTTTCAAGTACCACAAAATAATCAGTCCAAGGGGACATGCTGTTGCAATGGGGAATTCTCATTCCCAAAAATATAAAGCAGCATTTGGGAAACTCGTTATAGAAATACAACAAGCTTTGAAGTATTTCTCAATGTCGTGTCTACTGGCTTAGGTTTTCTACTTAAATTAAAATCCAACTTAAAACATTATGGACATGAAACAAACTATCAGATGACGGCATGACAAGTCCTTGCATAATATTATTTAATGTGCTTTAAAAGTTCTCTCTGTACCATACCCAAGAGCAGCTCAACTGGAGCCAAAACATAGTACAACAACATTAAAGCAGGATATTTGAATAAATAAGGAAAATCTTGCTATCAACTGCTAAGCTGACTTCTTCCGACTTGTTGGGAAACTGTTGACGTTATCAATCTGGGATGTTGTTTTCATGGAATGGCAAATAAAATGCAACAGTTATATTAAAATGTTAGTCACCAATTCCTGGATACAATTTTTAGTCGGATTACCTATAAGTAGAACGTGCTTAAAAAAATTTCAACCATACCTTGTTCTTTACAGGTTCTATTTTTGCTGGGGTGACAGAAATAATTCTCACTGGATTTTCATCATTTTCACTGACACCAGTTTCTGATATGTCTGTGCTCTGCTCTCTGTTGGAAGAATTTTAAAAATCAATGTAAATTTGGTTTTCTGTTAAATTATGGAAGGGAAAGAAATCTATTTCCCTTCTTTAAGCCTTACTGGTAAAAGAACTGATCAAGATTTCTTGTAAACTGGTTAATGCTAATGCAAAGGTTTTAATATGCTCCTGCCTCTGTGCTGGATTGTGATCCTGCATTAACTTTTTAAATTCATTATCTTCTTAACTACAGCAATCCCCAGGGTTGAAAGTGGAAGATGTTATTTAAAAAACCATGCATTTTAAATAAATTCTACCCTGAAATACTTAATTTCAATGTTAATCCTAATATTTAAATTCACGTGAACATAGATATGCACTCAGTCTGTTCTGTTGTTTGAGATTGAGTTTTTACACCTTAATATACTATTATTGTACTGTGTATTTTGGGTCTATGGACCGCAATAAAATTGTGTGTGTGAGTAAAAGAGTTAACAATTTGAGAAAAATGTGCAACTAGCAATGTGAACTTCACCCAAACCTCATTAGATATAATACTGCAACTACATAAAACATTCTAGCAGGTAATACAATTGAAAGCAGATGGTGAGACCAAATATATGAATGTTCATTTCAAAATTCAAAATGGAGGTGAAAAAGTGATTGGCAGACTTAGTTCATTAAAGGACTTGGAATTCTAAGAATCTGATATTCCTTTATGACACTGAAAAGTTTGCAAACTCTGAATTTTAGAAAAATAAAATACATAAATTGAAAAATAGCAATTTTCCACATAATTAAGAGAAGTAAAGTATAATCCTATATTGAGAGAATCCTTTAACATAATATGTTTTTTAAATCTGAATTATATTGCTGAAAAGTATTAGACCTTGATCTGTTTCCTGCAGGAGAGCTCAGTTCAGAGTTTACGCTATTATTGCTTCCAGTTTCTGATCCTGCGCTTCGGATATATGGTCTCCTTCCAGTTGCAGATAAAGGTTTATTTACAGCACCTAATACACCAGTTGGTTTGGGCTAAAATGAACAAGAGCAGGCTTATTTAATAAGTTTGAAATACATGCAAACACACAATTCACAATGTATATTTTTTTAAAAAAAATCTCTACAATATATAAAATGGCCCCTTGCATTTTTATCTATAAGACATATTAATTGGATATCATTAAATAGCTGCAGCTACAACTAACCCAGTGAAAATTCCTGAACTTTCTCTAGCCCATAATCAATACAAAATCCTTACACCCTTTATATAAAAATAAAAGTTCTTGTTTTATCTTAGTGAAGCTGACCCACAACCGACAAATTAGCTCTGAAATCAAAGGGGCTAAGACGCTTTAGGTATACCTGTAAGTAATTTAACAGTGTTGTCCTCTGCACTCTGAAAAAGTCCTACAGAATTCAATGGGATTTAGACTCAAATAAATACAGCCTAAATGGGTTGCACTGAGTTAGTCATGTATACAATTTTATCATTTCTCAGAAACTGAAAGGGTTCATTGTTTATACAACGTGTCAAATAAAAAAAAGCAGAAACAACACCTTTCCGGTTAAGAGAAGAACTCTCATCTCTTCCGAAATATAATTCCTTTCATTGCAAAAATCCTTTGGGGGGGGAGAGAAAAAGAGAAGTTATTTAGTATTTTCATGATAGATTATGTAATTTGACAGGGAGCAGCGATTCTGAAATGCTTTCCAGTTTTCAAGAACAAGTGCTTCTAAATCAGAGGTGAGGAACGTTTGGTTCTCCAGTTGATGCTGAACCACAAGTCCCATCATCCTGGCCACTGACCACGTTGGCTGGGGCTGATGGACATTGGAGTCCTAACATCTGGTGGACCAAATGTTCCCTACCCTTATTCAAAATAGCTCCTCCCCCAAGTAAACTTTGTTCATAAAACAGGACCACAACCCAAGAAGTGTGAGACCTGTTTTTTGAGCCCAGAGTACTGGTGGGATTACACAGTGAATTGCATTTCAAGCAGAGGAGCATTTAGAGGCCTTTTCCACTATGTTTCAACAGAGAGGAAAAAACCTGTCTTGTCCAGCAGGGTTTTGTTTTGTCATTTAAGTTAAAACTGGAATTTTGGAAAGAAAATTATCTGCGGAACCTCTGTTTTGTATTGTTATTCTATGGAACATTCCATATTCAATGGTCATACTCAGAGAAGACTCACTAAAATAAATGGATTAAATGGGTCTATCCAAGGATGATTAAAATTGGATAACACCTTAATACATTACGTATTGGTTTCAATTGCTGCTAGCCAACCTGAGGTGCATGTAATCACTATAATAACAGGATCTAAACTCCTCTATAAAAGCTAAATCAGAAAACTAGGCAGTGAGCTCAATGTTCAACAGTGGCTCACTAATGGAAGGTCCTAAAGCATAATTAAGGAATATGCACTAAGCTAAACAGAGTAAACTTTTGTCCCGTTAGGAGAGTGCTATTAAAAGTGCTACTGATTTTGCATATTATAGACATCTGTAGATTTAATTTCTTTAGCTTGGCACTTTCACTATAATCTAGTAATGCCGGATTCAATATTGCTGAATGTCCAAAAAATACGACCACAAATAAGTTTTAAGAGCAATTTTGTTTCACTGGAGAGGAAGAGAACATGGCAATAGTTAGATAATTATCTAAATAGGTAATTTAGAAAATACAATCAAGAACAAAGTTCCCATATTCGAAGGTACGCTTAAGTAGAAGAGAACACAAAAAGATTTGTTTGTTCTATAAAATTACCTTTTCAGGTTGCGTAAAAAATTTGGTTGGCAATACAGGATCCTTTGGAGACTCCGCATTACATAAAGCACTTTTGCTGTTGATTACACACAGGGCCACATCACATACAGTATAGAGTTTCTGTGGGAGGGGAGGAATTGTAAAAGGACTTTAGAAATCACTTTACAACTTAAAACAAATGTAACTATAACATATAGAAATCAGTATGCCAATTACATTACACACTTATTTTATGCTTTTTTTAAAAAAATGGGATTCCCCGTAGACATATTATCTCCCACTGCAAATCCTGCCTAATTTTCTACACTATACTTTTGAACAAAATGAAGCAAGCTTTTTCTAAATTTTACAAACACACAGGACTAAGGTTTAAGTAGCTTGCTGTAACAGCTAGTCCTACTCAGAGCAGAGCTACTGAAATTGAAGAATATGATGAAGAGGTTAGCTGAATACAATTCCTAGCTTCTTATTGTTTCAATAAACTAGTCCCCCCCCACACACGGTAAGAGGAGAAGTAAGAACTACAGAGACTGAAATGGTTTTTTTAAAAAAAGGTTGTAACATAAATTGATTACAGCTAGTTATATTTGAGAAATGTGATTTCTGCGATCCAATCCACACCTCCTGAACTAACGTGCAGATCGGCACATAATTATCCTTTGAATTTTGCACTTCTCCAAATTCTGTGACAGCTCTTTGCTCAAAATACCCCTACCAAAATATATTAACAATGAGTATTTCAGGTAATATATGCTTAGAAATGAGTACATAGAGATGAACTGGTATTTTATAAGAAGATATGTAATGAAATCCATGTTTAAATATAAATTTTTCGTGTTGATTTTCAGATAAACATGGAAGTGGGACAGGACGGACTTATGAATAAACATATGCAACATTGATACAGACTGGTTTAGACTCGATCTGTCCATATTTAATTACAGCTAGCAGAATTTGGTGTGGTGAGGGGCAAGGATCCATCCAACAGTCCAAATGGTGATTGATACTGTAATGGTTCTAGGGGTTGCTCGTGCGTAAGCCGGTGCCTATCTCCCCGGCTGGGTGCAAACACCTGGCTGGGTTGCCAAAGTGAACCTTTTCTGTCCGGACAGCCACTCACCCGTGGCTGACTCAATCGCTGGCAGAATCCGTCAGTGGGCGTTTCTTAAACTTCTTCCAGCAAAGAAGCTCTTTGACGCCTAGTCTCCTCCTACTCTCTCTGCGCGAAAGCCTTCTGCGCAAGGAGGGCGTGGGCAACGGAGGACCCCTACTCTCCCCGCTGGTCCCAGGCAAGGAGTCATGGGACCGCCTCGCCGCTTCCCCATCTGCCCCCCTTCTCCACTGGTGCTACGCTGATTCTCTTCCCCAGAAGATGGGCTGCTTCTCCCGATCCCTGGACGCTCTCTGGAATCCCTCTGGCTTTTGCTCTCTCCCTCCGGCACTGATGGCAGTTCCCTGACAGATACCACCACTCAACCCACATGCTGAAAGAACACTGGAGAGGCTAGCAGGAATCTCAAGCCAAAATGGCATGGAACTGATCTTCTGGGCTGTTCTTGTCATCTGAGCATGAAATACAGAACTCTACAATAAACCACACATATGAGGGAGGCAACACCACTCCCTCACTGGCAGCAAAAGCTTCCTCCCAACTCTGTTAAACTGTGGCTAACCTTTGCCCATAGCAAGGTAAGAAAATACTGAAACTTAGGTGGGAAATTCAGAGACTGCAATGTGAAGCCCCTAACAAGGCCTCCCTTTATGGCCTATGAGCAGGTTAGAGGGGGAAAGACACTCCTCTCATTTGATCCCAGATTCGGCCCATAACATTAGCCAATGTAGCTGATTTAGCACCTGTGCTGTGGCTGGACCATATCCTAGCCAGTGAAACAGATCAGCACACTGCTGGGGGAGGAGAGAATTCTTATTTGTGCCAAGTGCTCAGAGAAGGGCCCCAAGTAAGAGGAGATCCAGGGCTTCCCCTTCTGTGGGAATTTTGTGGTGGTTGGCTTTTTTTGTGATCACAAAACAAACATTCAATGTGGCAAAGGAAGAAGAGGAGGAGGAGGAGGAACAACAAAGGAAACAAAACAAGATTTTGCTTGCTCGATGACTACATTCTGCTGGATTAACTTTTTCTCTCTGTAAAGATGAGATTGCTAACACAAAATGCTTACAACTAAAATTCTCTCTAGAGAGAAATGAGATTCTGGCTTATTGCTTGCTCTGAAGCATTCTGTCCATCTTGTTCAAAAACTGACTTCAAAACCAATCTCTTTCCACCACATTTCTTACTTCATTGGCTTTTGGCTCATCTGGAGACTGTCCATCCCGCGTAAGTCTGATACTTTCTGTCATCTTTTTCATGAAGGCATGGCTGTTGTTTTCGTTTTTTGTCATTAAGACTTCCAGCATGAACCAAAGGCACCTAATGAAATCAAAACACCCCAATGCTATGAGTTGCATGTAACACCACTAACAACATTCCCCAGAAAGAAAGCATACTTGAGTCTGAAAACACCTCCCTTCCAGCTCGAAATATTATGTCCCGGTATCCCACAATGCATGATTTTAGCAATACAATGAACTAGAAATTTGACCATCCCTACCCACCCAAATTAGGGCAAAAGGAGGAAATTGCAAGCCACAGAAAGAAGTCCTTAGAAGTTCTACAAAGCTAGGAGAAGGAATGCGGGGGCAGGGGTTGAAGCTTTGGAAAATATGGCCTGGAAGCTTAGTAAGTAGAATCCTCTCAAATTTGCAGATCCTGGTAATTTGAAACCCCCCCCCCCCCAATTAACAACCATGATTATCCAAAAAGGGTAGCCATAATGGAAACCAGTCTCCATCCAGCAACAACAGTGTGCTCAAGCCTGCTGTAATATAATTTTTCAGGTGCTAACACTTTCTTCAGAATGCATTGAGGACACATGACGCAGTTCTATCTACTGTGGAAAACAGGCAGGTCTGGTCCAGTAAGCTGCCTGGATGGCAGACTGCCTTTGAATAATACCTAAACAGCATTCTGAGCAACTTAGAGGAGTAGCATATATGGATTTAACAAAATGCACTGTGTGAAGAAGAGCCACCAAAACGAATGTTCTTAAGCGTTCCTGAGGAAATCCTAAATTTGTGTTGTGAACTGCCCTATGATCTTCAGATGAAGGGTGATATACAAATGTAACAAATAGTAACAATTGTGAAGTTTACAGTAAAAAATGGGAATTGTTCTCTTTGTTAGAACTGCGAAATGAAAGTTTGGGGGGTGTATCTAATCAACATCTAAATTACCATTTCTCAAATATCCAATACAGAATGACACATACTCTTTGATATCACGAAGCTGATCAACATCTTGAGGTTTTGTAAAATCTGGATCATGGGCCAGCAAGTGAATCATGTATGGTACCACATATTCAGGCAGCAGGGATAGCAGCTTTTCTGGAATAACATAATACAAACATGTTCTAAGCATAATGTAAAGACACATAGCCAACACCAGAGATTTTTCTAATTTTCTATTATGCAAGTAAGCAATATAGCTGTAACACATTTTACAAAAACATTGTGAAGCTAATTCAATTGTGTGATTATTGGAAGATTTAAGGAATGAACTCTCAGAGCATATATGAACACAACTACTATATTCTTCAACCACAACCAAAAAAACAGAATTTGAAATAGAAATGCCACAAGATACAATTTTAGTTGCAAGCAAATTTACTAACCATTGGCCATGGGGTTCTGTTTAATGTACTCTCGCCGTATACTTATATTTTTAAGTAAGCACTGTCTTGCATGTGCTCTCCTTTCTTTTACGGGGTCTTTGGCACACAATGCAAATATTGCCATGTACTCCAATGGGAGCAGTAATTTTACCAGTGCTTTATGCAGCTTCTGTGCAAATATCTGCCTCACCTGGTAACATTCATCCTGCAAGAGAGGGGGAAAAACGGGACAAGTGCAACTGAGCAACTAAGCAAACCATATGGGTGTCAACAGAAACAATTCTGTGAAACAGTAAAATATGCTTGCAGACAGTGCAGTATCTGCAAAGCTTAAGGCAAAGCTTTCCAAACTTTTCACGTTGGTGACACACTTTTTAGACATGCCTCATTTCACAACACAGTAATTCAGTTTTACTAGCAAATGGAAGTTAAACTAAGGTGACACACTGCAGCCGACACACTAATGTGTCATGACACACATTTTGGAAAGCTCTGGTTTAAGGAAAGAAAGACAAGTAAGCTTAGACTAAACAGTAGCTTTATGATAGGGAATGTGCCCTACCTTAATTAACTGTTCCTCTCACAGCTCTTCAAAGACAATTACTTACGTTAATGACCAATGCACAGAGCTGGAATTGCTCTGGGGTAATAATTTCATGATAACAGGGCTCCTGTGCAAGCTTCATTATGGCACTGCCAGCAGCCAGACGTAGACGGGACATATCAGATTTGCTGCATATAAGAGAAGACAATCATTCCTGCCTCTCAGAAGACAACCTTGTGTCTAAAGATGCATAAGCAGTATGAAACTTCTAGAATTTCATGGAAATGTCATGACTTCTAGCTGAGTAACTAACTTCCTGGTCACCATGCTGTAAACATTACCATGTAAATTTTACACACACTGCAACATAGATGAGAAAACTCATCCCAAAACACTGTGAGCTGTAGCTGCCCACAAAAATAAATAAGTATATAAATAAAGGACCTACCCATGTGATGCTGACACAAAACCCCTGCACAAACACTATGCAATAGAACCAAAGATCATTACCCCCCAGCTCTCTCTCATCCCCCAACTGCACAATGCATAGGACAAGTGACTCATCCAGAATGTAAACGAAATGTGAAAAAATACTCCATGAATTTAAAATGGAAACACTATATGTACGTTTATTTGTATGTCTGGAACACTAGAAAATGTTTAAAACAAACAAACAAACAAAATAAATGTTTTGTGTCCACTCTTTCAGATCTAATAAGGGAAAGAACAATTGGTCTTAACTGAAGAGTAGATTTATAAGGTGGACGATGAAGACACTGAAACCCTCCCTGCTGTAGTCTGCAGTTGTGCTAATTTCAGACTACCGCCAAGGCTTTATTTAAGGGTTCCCTTTGTTCCTCTGTTTAAGGAGTTACATTATTTATTTCGGGGGCATGTCATCAGCCAGGGGGAGGTAGGCAGGTATGTTCAGATTTCTTTTCTAGGTATGTACATTGATTATTGCTGCTTGGCGAGTCTGAAAAACTAATTTAAGCCTGCCTACCACAATTCTGTGCTCTTGCCTCCATCACGTGATGAGGGAATTACCCAATCCAGTGGCTTCATCATCCACCGCAATAAATTCTATATACACAGTTCTTGCTTCTAAGCAACTTGATGGATCGGGACATAAATATCAACTGTTATCAGTGAAAATCTGGGGGAAGTCTTACCTAATTCTCTTCTGTTCTGTCAAGTCTCCTTCACTGACCAACATAGCTGATAGTAACCGGAGTGTTGAATTTGCAGATTTTGACTGGTTATTCTTCATACCCAAAAGCCAACGTACTAGAAGTTTAATTGCTTGAACCTATTAGCAGATAAAATCAAGTCACTGATACTTCTAACAGCATTACTAAGTATATTTTAGTTCACCGCCTACGATCTGAGAGCTTCCTCTATTGAAATATAATGACTGAAAATTGTATTCACATTCAATTTCAGAATAGAAAAAACCTGTGTGAATTTCATGTTAAACAAGGGTCACCAACCTTTCTGGACCAGTGGGCCCAATTCTAATTTTGAGAAAACACGCTGGGTGCCAGTCACAAAACAGCTGCCGTTAAGTCAGAACACAACACAGCTGCTATGGCATAAAAAAAAAATTCGAGAGAGTATGGTCACTGCTACTTCCCTCATCCCACTCGGACAAGCTCATGCTTGCTGTGGGATGTCAGCTATGTCTTCCTGGTTCTGACTCTGGAGGTGACACAATATTTTCCACACACATAGACAATGATCCTGTTGCTGACTAGTAACAGCAGGGAGCCTGAGTATCAGGGGGAAAATACAAGGTGGCTACACCACTCATTTATTCTTTCAAACTCAGCATACACACCTACAGACCACAGGAACACATGCATCTCTGCCAAGCGTATCTCCCTCTCTCTTTCTCAGACCACAACATACAAACCACAGATGAATATATCCCTCCCTCTCACACATGCACACCACAAATATCTAAGGCTACACATAAACCCATCCCTTCCCTCCCTCCCACATCTCACTCCCCCAGCCAAGTGCATCTCTCTCTATCACACATGCACAGCATACTTGTGCACCCACACATTCAGAAATGCCCCACCAAGGGTGAAGGAAGCACTTGCAATTTTTAAAAATCCCTCCCGACCCCATACACAAGGGTCTCTAACTTGGTGCCCAATGGCACTGAGTTGGTGATTCCTGTGCCAAGACATAACACAAAAACCGGATTGGAAAAAAGGAAGATTAATACTTTTGCAACATGCTTCTCACATTTTCTTTCAATTTGCTTTATCATATATTTGAATGTATGTATTCATGTACTGTAGAAACAACTGAAAAAATGTGAACTTGTTACTTAAGACAGGTAATTCCATTTTTAAGACCGTAAAGCCTTCTAACTTCAGTTTTAGGAGATGGTTGTCTAGATTCTAAGCATTTATTCATTTACTTACCTTGTTCCATTTTCATTTACATAACATAAAAGTAACTAAGAAATTTTTAAAAAGCTATTTCATTATAAGGCAAGAAGCAAATATCACATCATTTCATGTGTATTAGCTGAACAGAGATTAAGTAGGCATTTGTAACAAATTAATTACACCAACTTCGAAGAGCATTTAATGAAACAACCCTTTATCAGCAAATAAAGAGCAACGTACTTGTACGACCAGACATACAGAAACTGAATTTCTTTGAAGGCCGATACGTTACAAAGGCCAAGCTATACTGTTTATGTTTATATTGACAAATAGATTTAATACTGTTGTACATTTTTGTGAGAAATTGCTATGCCTTACAATTAAAGGTAAGAAACTAATGTACCTTTGCTAGAACTTCTGGAGAAACCTCTTCATCTGGGGACCACAATTTCCCATTTTTCTCACCTGTAGACTGCAAAGATTTATGCATGATTGATAGCAATTTTTAAAAATGCACAAAAGAATTTTTTAAAGAATTTTAATATATTTTGCCTTCATCTTGCAAGCTTATATAGCATCAGATATTTACATAACATTCTTCATTCTCACCATAAAGTCATTATATCTCTCTGAGCCTTACCCTGTCATTCATCAGGAGATCTTTTACAATGAAATTTGCAACTACGGATTTCATTGGTGATGCAAACTGGTCTGGTGCCAACATGGAAATGTGACCCAAAGAAACTAATGGTGTTATAAGTTGCTCTGGAACATCAGCATTCAAACTTCTACTTAGAGGCTGGAGGAGGAGAGAGAATTATTATTGCACATTAACGTACTTCCAAAAAAAAAAATACTAACCTGTATAGTTCTGTTACAAATATATATCTCAAGAAGACCCAAAATGCAGTACAAGCTCAGTTTCTTACTCAATTTAATATACTGGTATGAACCAATATATTAAAAATCAAATACCTTAAGCACTCTACACCAAGAGAGCAACTTGTTCCCTATATCCATCTTATTTTCAGAAGCGCTTTATGCAACACCATCTGCAATTGGGTAGAAGAGTTCATATCCAATGAGCTCCTTGGAGGAAGGGTATGATAAAGACATGGGATATGGTCCAACGTAATAGAAGTGGGCATTTGCTCATACCATGGGGCTTCTCCTTCGTCTGTCCCCCCCACCTCAAAATCTGCTCTGGAATATTGAGGGAACCTCTGGAACAGATTGGAGGGTGCAGGGGGCTTCAGGGGGAGATTAAAGAAACTGTAAGTACAGTTGCACAAGCAGGCACACATCACTCGAGGTAAGCGAACAGTTTGGGAAGGCTCAATTCACATTCCGTTTTGCATCTTACTTTTGCCCGTTGGGCATGAGTGTGGAGTTGGAGGTTAATCAGAGCAGTGTGTCATAAATATATATGCCGAGTTCCACTGTGACCTCTCAAGGAAGACATTGTATTACAGTGAATTGTAGCTTTTCTTGCCCGTTTAAAATGGGTGCAGGGGTCAAGCTGGGAGTCATGTTGCAAATGGAGAATTATATGTTAACATACATACCAAGTTGTGTTATGGTTCCTCAGTGCCCAGTATCAAATTATAGGGCTTGATCATCTTTCCTGCATCCTTTGGGAATGGTCGTGTTTTGGCTCTACCACGCATGACGTCATTTTAAGTGTCTGCACATGCACAAGCGGCAAAACCCGAAAGTAACGCACTCCGTTACTTCTGGATTGCCACGGAGCGCAACTCGAACGCGCTCAACCCAAAGCACATTCAACTCGAGGTATGATTGTCCACAATTTGTTTACTTCCTGTTAAAACCCCAAAACTAAACAAAGTGCAGTACTGAAACTGAGGAATGGGTTTGGCATGGTCTTTTCTTACTTTGTCTTCAATACAAAATAGTCAAATTCATGAGTAAAGGTGTAAGTAGATAAACTGAACTTTCTAGAATTCATAATGTCAGAATGGTTTGATATTCAAACAGGAAAACACATTTGAATCAGTTTTAACTGAGTAGAAAGTCTTGCTGGATATGACAAATTTGGGGAGGATACAGCTATTGATGGCTACTAGTCATGAAGGCTATGTTCTGCTTTTGCTGTTGGAGGCAGTATGGTAATATCTATCTATCTATCTATCTATCTATCTATCTATCTATCTATCTATCTACCAGGCTAGAAATCGCAAGTGAGGAGATCACTAGTGCACTCAGATCCTGCTGCTGGGCTTCTCACATGGATCTGATTGATCCCTGTGACAACAGAGTGATGGACTATATGAGCCTTGGGCTGATCCAGCAGGGCTCTTCTTATGTTGCAATGTTCTTTCTATCACCAGGTGTCAAAAGGGCACGCTGGAATGAAGAACTCTTCCATTCCATCAAGACACTATAGAGGTGAGGAATAATGGCAGGCTTGAAGTGTTGTTGCAACTTGAATTGTACCTGAAGAACTTACCAAGTAAAACCACCACTTGTCAAGCGATGTTTATCAGCTATCAATTACGTGCCTTTAACTGATTGTATTATATGCAGGCTTATTTAAAAAGAAACAAAGTGCGATCAACATTCCTGCTACAGTAACACACCAGAACAAAAATAGTTTCAATCCATTGACAAACGTGCCCTTAACTTTCAGTCCTTCAGCCAATCAAATAAAGCATTAGTTAATTTTCTAATACTTCTAATGGAAGTAAAATATTGCTAACTACTACTGGACCCTGACCACTTCTTGAAGTGTTATACATTGGTACCTTGGGTTACATACACTTCAGGTTACATACCCTTCAGGCTACAGACTCCGCTAACCCAGAAATAGTACCTCGGGTTAAGAACTTTGCTTCAGGATGAGAACAGAAATCGTGCTTCGGCGGCGCGGTGAAGGCGGGAGGCCCCATTAGCTAAAGTGGTGCTTCAGGTTAAGAACAGTTTCAGGTTAAGAACAGACCTCCGGAACGAATTAAGTACTTAACCTGAGGTACCACTGTATATTCCTTGAAAACCCTGGGTTGTTATAATAATTTCAAAAGGTCTGATAATTGTGATTCCACCCTTTCATGGCTTTTAAGAAGTCAGACAAACCTACCTCAAAAATCTGTGCAAGCTGAACTTCTTTATTTGAAAATATGGCATGTATACAGTGGACAGCTTGTTTTGCTTGGTGAGGTGTTCCTCTCTTTGCTTTCTGATGCAAAATAGGAATAAGGGTTCTGTACAGAGTTAGCACAAAAAAAATTATACCAAAAATAAATTCCTGTAATGTTTGCAGGAAGTCAGTGCAAGATTTTTTTGAAACATAGAGAACCACCATATAAAATTAAATTAAGAGCACACATTCTTAGGTGGAAAGGTAGTTCAAATGCATTGGTCATTGACAACCCCCACCATCACCCACATGAAATGGGATGCTAGATTAAAAGAGATCCAAGCATGGCTCTTTTATGGTCTTAAGACATACATGAGCACCCAAGGTTCAGTGTTCTCCCCAACCCGGCAAAAAATGTAACCACAAATCAAGGCAGTGGTTTTCAACCAGTGTGCCGTGACACCCTGGGGTGCCTTGAATAATGGTCAGGAGTGCCATGGGCAACACTGGCCTCTGTCCCTTTTTCTTTCCCTCCCTCCCTCCTCTGATGCCCTCTCAGCTTGCTTAAAGCCAAAGCCCTGGCTATAAGCTCCGCAGGTAAATGGTACCTCTGGAAGACATATCTTTTGGGGCAGGATGGGCAGCTCAGAGACCAGGGGTGGCCACAGTGGCTGCCCAGAGGACTCCCAATGAGAGAGGAGGGGAGAGGAGGCTGAGGGAACACTCCACAAGGAGGATGTCTGAAACAGGGTGAGAGGCTGCCATTTCTGCAGGCAAGGGGTGACATAACTGGGCTCCTGAGCCCCACAGGGGTGCCGCAGAAAGAATGCAGTTGGTCAAGGGAGCTGTGGACTCAGAAAAGTTGAAAACCTCTGAATTAAGGGATGCAATAGTAATGGCCAATGAGGTTATACATATTTGCACCAGCAAGAAAAAGATTGTCTAATATCAAAAAGCTGAAAGACAAGACAGTACCAAAGGCATTTATGGTATTTGAAGAAATGCACTCACGATCGTATCTGGGGCAGATCAGTTTCTATTTTGTGCCCAGTGTTTCTGAATATCTGAATGGCTGCCTCTGCTACTTTATCATCTTCCATCCTGAGGCACTGCAGGAGAGATTCATACGTCTCTGCAGAGTGGAACGAGGTAGGGTGCGTGAAAGACAGAACCTATGGACACATATCAAAACAAATTAGAAAAACATATTCATGAATGAATCCTGAATATCTGGGAGTGGGGCAGGGTATAAATCTAAATAGAGATTCATTTCCCTGTGTGCTTGCCTCAAAGGAAGGGGTGGGAAACACTAATATTATCTTGTGGAAGTCCCAATTCTTGACTTTCAGAGTTCATTATTTTTTAATAACATTTTTGTATTAGCTTTTCAAATTTTACAAATTCTTTTAAACAACCATCAGAATAAATCTCTCATATCGATAGACTTCCCATCCACACTTCCATGGTGTTCTTTTCTTATCTTATAAAGCTGCTATACTGCTTATATTTTACTCATTATATTTTGTCTAATTTTGTGTTGTGCCACGGCCGCCTTGACACCCATGAGAATTGTTCAGTGCTCCCAGGGCAGACATTTTGTCCCTCAAGCCCACAGCACTTTCTCAAAATTTGAACTGTGACCACTCGTCCAAAAAAAGGCTGGCAACCCCTGATCTAATCCATCTGCAGACAATGCAATTTATCGTGCTAATACCTAGGACAACATACATCTAAAATTCACTGCATTATTCAGTGTACAAAGATATTAAAAGGGATTGTAGCTGGCCCATTCCATAGGTTTCTTCAAGTGAATGTCAGCATTTGAAGAAAGGTTTTAAATGTCAAGAAGCAGCCTTGACTCTTCAAAAGAATACTGAAATGGACTGCAGTGTAGTGAGTTTAGAAGTATTACTAAACAAGTAATTTTACAGACAGTACCTTGAGAAGTTCAAGCCCTGAACGAATAGCTGTATCAGGGCTTACACCCTCCTCTTCATCATCAGCTGTCCCTTCTATTGATTTATTCATCAGCTTTACTAATGCACTAAGAAAAAAATTGGAAGGGGGGAGCTTAAATATACACTTACAGTTTACATATTATACACACATTCAATCTACTATTTATTTGTAAAAAGAAAGACTTATCTATGTAACTAAGTCAGTTTAATATTCCAGTTTTCTTCTGAATATTGCTTATTTTCACAATAATCTAGAATATTATCGAAATATTCTTATTTCAATAAAATTTTCAACATACCTTCACCTTTGTTCAATATTCCATTTTATTTTTAAAAGCAAATCTTATTTTTTATTAATTGATTTAAACTCATTCCTAACTACTTTTAAGTGTATAAATCAGATTTTAAAAGAAACTCATATTCGCAACAGTAAAGAGCTGCCTTGCAAAAACACTAAGATAGGACAGCTGTCAGTCAAGCTTACCTGATGGCTTCTGAGTCAATGTGTACAGGGGCAATTCTTTCCAAAAGAAATTTTACCATCTCCAGGAAAGGATTGGTTGGCTGTTTAGGATTAGCAAGTTTCCGTGCAATCTCCCTCTGAATAAAAGAAAAGGATTAAGTTATGATAAATCTGCAATAAATTTGTACAAGCAATACTCCGAATGAGTCAAACTAACAAAAACAAAAGCCACACAAGCTCCATAACCCAAATACTGCTAAACAGAGCTAAATTTCTTCTAGCCTTAATTAAATGTGTGAACTAGGTACAACCTTCAAGCATGAATGACTAATTTTTTTGTGGGCGTCTCCCACCCCCCACTAATGGCTGGAAGAAGGGGCAAAAGTTATATTAAAGTATCACCCTTTTTGGACTATCTCAGCTTTCAGAACTTGGGAGATAATGTCAGTGAACCCTCTGCTCCGGTAGTGTGGTGATCATTGACAGGTCAGCCCAAAATAAAGTTACCTGTCCTCTATAAATTTCCTTTCCATAGCAAGACAGCAAGATTTTATCATGGTGGTTGACCTGGTGTGTTACTGAGACACGAGTGACTGAGCTGGGCAGATCACCTTTATTTTAACTGTGCCACACCGGGGTATGCAGTGAAGCAGCAGCAGCAGGCAGATAAAAGTACCGTACTTTTCCGTGTATAAGACTAGGTTTTCTTACTTTAAAATAAGGTTAAAAATATGGGGACGTCTTATACACGGGCAGTGCATATGCCCATTTTCTAAATTTGGGGTCCCCAAAAGTAGGGGGTGTCTTATACACAGAAAAATACAGTACTTTCTTCTCACCAGAATAGGGGCCTTCTCAGGAGTGGAGGGAAAGCAACGCGCTTGTGCACTTATTTAAACTATTGCTTATTTTAAACAACAGTTTAATATTTTGTGTGAACCAAGCCAGTAAAACTTGCTTGTGGGTAAACATTTAGGAGTACCCAGGCATGTGTATATACACTTCCTAAGGACTTTCCATTATCAGGAGCATCCCTGACTTCTTGGCTCATCTTTCTGACCCTTCCTACCGTGTCAAAGCCCCATATTTTTATTGTGGTATTCCTGTTCAGAAGAAACATAGCCTATCTATACTGGAAACAATAGTAAAAACCTGGTTCTTACCACACAGACATCTGCTTGCTTACAGGAGCAGGTAGGACTGATTAATAGTTCAAGCTGAGAACGAAGCTTCTCATCATCACCAAGAACCTGATTGAACTTTTTCACAAAGTCTTGTGCCTTCCCAGGATCAGGAAGATTTTCTATAGAATTGAAATTCAAAAAGGTAGTTTATAGTAGCAGCTTTAGTTGTACTGAAAAAACAACAACAATGTAATAATACTCATCTACAGATCTTACTTGCTATGGTCATCAGCTTTCCAAACATAGCAGCACTGTTTGCTTCTGACTGAAAAGAGAAGTTCAGAATGACCATTTATACAGAAAGTTTTGTATACCAGAGATGCTTCTACTGTTGCAGAATCTCTCTTCTCTCCCCTCACCCCACTTTGGTATATTGGTTCACGATTACAAATACATGATCATCAAATAAAATAATACACAAATATTAGCGTTTTGCTATCCCATAAAAGCCAATTTCCAACAACAAAGCAGTCCTAACCTAAAAGCAGGCAGCAGTAGAATTTGATGGAGCAGCATAATCACCACTATATCCACAGCCCTACCAGTCACACTGGCCAAGGCTGGCATTCAGAGTGGGCACAAATTGGACTGAATGCTGTCAAGTGGCTACAGTGAAACTGAATTGGGATCCAGTGAGTCCTAGGCCCGCTCAACCTCTCTCTCCCCCCCCCCCCCCCGTTTTGGGCTTTCTGTGGACTACCATAGGTAGGAATCATGCCAATGACAGGAATGGGAAGATCTACACCAGAGGAGTGGTGCCAGCACAATAGTTTTGGTCTGCACAGAAGAACACATTTGCTCTATCCCACTGCCCCCAAGCCAGCAGATCAGGAGTTTGGATTGCAGTGTAAATTACCAAAAAGAGATACTTTTGTCTTTTCCTCAAAAAACCCAAAGGAAAATGCTAAATATTATTTAGTAATGTATTATTCTGATTTAGTCTATTAAATGTTGCTTCTAGTTTGTTCTTTCAGGAACATTAGAAAATTTTAATGCAAGAAGTCACTGATTGTAAAGGATTGACAACAAATATTTCTGAGCAAGAGTGGATCCCTTGCTTTAAAGTTCCATTAAGATACTGATTACTAAGTTCTGAACTAAGAAAAAGGCAGTATTAGAATTTGAAATTAAAAAAGGGGGGAAAGAATTTGAAATTAAGTTTAAAACCATCATTTAATATATTAATTCTAAAATATATGCAGATGTGTTACAAAGCATTAAATGTAAAATGAGGCAATTAAGTTATTGTGAAAACCGTACAGTGGGTTGCTTGTGCAAATCTAGTAACTCCCGCACGTGACTCCTAAGCATGTTCTGGCATTTCCACATTTCATTCAGTGCCCTAAGCATAAAAGAAATGACAAATGTGTTAAAATCTGAAAAACCAGTGTGATTCTAAAAATACAACATTGAGTCCCAAGCTGACTGTTCTTCTATCACATTATCTCTTGTTGGCCCAATATCCTGCTCTCAATAACTTCTCCAGCAACAAGGCTGAACATATATTATGTGTATATGAAGATCTAGATGCCTTCCCACCTTTCAGTTGGTTTTTAATCAGTGTGTGCCTGCACATGCATGCACACAGGGACACACACACAAAATTCATTGAGCTCTTTATTCAACTAGTAATTTCAAAATACCATGTCTTAAAATCCAAATAAAAAAGCTAACCTTGAATAAAATACAACTATTGGCAAGATACTAGGAGTGAACATTGGCTCAGTGCATACTATGAACTATGAGGAAAACTGAGGTGATTCAGGGAAGGTCCTCACGTTTCTGAGTCGGTTTATGCTGTTAAGAATATATCATGAGGTGGAACAGGAACTCCCTAAGCTTTTGTGTGTTCTGTGGTCTTGAAAGTCCAAAAATGTACAATCTAGTATCTTTCTTTCTTTCTGACAAACAAACTCAAGCAGACTGGAGTACTGTCTAAGTAATAAGAGGAAGGGGGTGGTGGAAAATGGGGTAAACCTTCATTTTGTTGGCTAGGAGGACAATCCCCCCCCTCTATTCTAGGGATTTATGCTATTTTTCTACTACCCTCTTCCCTATGATTTCCACTGTATCTACCCCATATCAGTGAAGTCTGCCCCTTTTTCTTTGTTCTAAAAAAATAATAAGCAAGCTACAGGAGCTTTCTGTCTATGATCAGGACAGGCTTAATCCACTCTGGAGGACCTGCTATGCTTGCAAATTTCATCCTCTTCTAAGAATAGAAAATCAAGTTAAAGTTGTGTTATGATCCCACATAATGGCGATTTAATTCTGTCCTGACTAATGAGTTCAATTGCAAAGACGCAGAGAGCACCTGAAACAGATAGGGCTGCTTCCCAAAGCAACAGATATTGCTGCAAATTGAATCTTATGGCCAGTGTACACTCCTAGTAGACACCCAGTTCAGCAAATTGCTTAAACAAGTTTGCTCATCTTAACAGGTCAACTAATATGTAGTATTCTGAACAGTGAGGCATTTTGTTTTTGAATCTCCTACACATTGTGTGTTTAAAGCGACTGCTAAAGCGCGCTGAGAACTTCCCTGTGTAGAAGGATACTCACTTAACAGCATTTGGGTCTAAGCTAGCATACAAATAATATAAGCACTTCATCCGCTCTTCTGTTTCCAAGTTATGTGGAACAAGATACTGAGCAAAGATTTTCTCCACCAATAATCTGCAAAGGAAAATAAGTTGACAGATTTTGTATTTTCCAAAATACTCATACTTTCGAATTATGAGCATAAGCCTATGTATACCAGGACATCATCCTCTCATTTCCACATTATCTGCTATCTCAAAACAAGCAGGTTTGGGTGGATCTCCCTTGGCAGTTCCTCCAAAAACCTGTCAAGAGTTGGGGGAGCCTGCTGAACGGGGAGGGGCTGAGGGGAGGTGTCCACCAAAAACTGGGTGGAGTCACTTTCCATAAGTATGAGCTCATGGAAGGAGCCTCTCCCAGTTTTCAGCAGCCCCTCTCCCCCACCATGATACAGCTCACTCTTTGATAAAAGTGAGGCCATTGCAAGCCTCAAGCAAGGATTTTCAGCAGACTGACTGGTGGAGGAGGGGGAAAGATAGTCACCTTCTGGCAACCCCCTTCTACCAACACTTCTCAGGATCTAGACCAAAGAAAATATTGCATCTGCTTGAAAGACTGTAGAATACTCCTTAAAGGTAAAGGGACCCCTGACCATTAGGTCCAGTCGTGGTCGACTCTGGGGTTGCGGCGCTCATCTCGCTTTATTGGCCAAGGGAGCCGGCGTACAGGTCATGTGGCCAGCATGACCAAGCCGCTTCTGGCGAACCAGAACAGCGCACGGAAACGCCGTTTACCTTCCCGCCAGAGCGGTATCTATTTATCTACTTGCACTTTGGTGTGCTTTCAAATTGCTAGGTTGGCAGGAGCAGGGATCGAGCAACGGGAGCTCACCCTGTCACGGGGATTCGAACAGCCAACCTGCTGATCAGCAAGTCCTAGGCTCTGTGGTTTAACCCACAGCGCCACCCGCGTCCCTTAGAATACCCCTTACTATTATAAATTATAATATTAATATCAGTAATGGGAATCCTCATTATTAAGGTAAAGGAATTAACTAGCCCTTGTAGTTCATCTGGAGAAAACAAATACACTTCTCTCATCTAATGGCAAATTCAACAATGAGATGCCCTGAAAATATATATAAAAAAGGACAAAGTAAAGAAGGCACACACTTTTCCTTTATGAAAATACAGAATCAGCAGAAATTACCAAGAGACTAAAATTCCATTTTAAAAAAGGAATCGTACGACAATGTATCGCAAACATGCATTAGGGAAGAATGCTACTGTATCTAACCTTTGTTACATATATTTAAGCTCCAGGCAAAAACCTTCTTCTCCCAGGCCTTTGGCTATTTAAACGATCTTATGGCCTTTTAAACTTCAGGGTCAGGTAGTGTTTTTGTGTGCTACTATGTTATGTAATTTTGTGTTTTGATATTGTAAACTGCCCTGTGATCCTCAGACGAAGGGCAGTATAGAAATTAAATAAATAAATAAATAAATAAATAAATAAATAAATAAAATAACCAAACACCCCCCCCCCCGATTATATAATTGTTTGTATACAGGCAAAATAAATCTACGCTGCATAGGAATGCCTGCACCAGGGTGTTTCTTGCAGCACACTAGTATTCTGCAGCTCTCCCTTTGGAAACCATTTAGAACAATTATATTCTGTTGTTCTATGAAGATCCTGAAGATGGCCATTGGAAGAAAAACATGCAAAATATGTGAAACACAATGGGTCATTTCAGACAACAATTTTTTACTTTTTGAATGTTGTCTAGATTTCTACAACTGATTTAGGGTATTTTTGCACTGCTGAATCAGGAAATGGCATCCGTTTCTCTCCATCAGGTCAGGTTTACTGTAAACTGAATGGTGGGCATTGATAAAGGTATGTGCATGTAACTTGCATGTTGCTTCACCATTTTTCAAACTTCAGGGCTTGAACTTGTGTTTCTTGGAACTCCAGGAATGCTCAGCGGCAGGGAGGTCTCTCTTCAGAGTCCAACAGTAGTCAGCCATCATGACTGCGTCCCAGCGACCCTGATACCTGGTCTCTATCTCTTTCATGTCCTGATGGAATCTCTCCCCCTGCTTGTCACTCATTGAACCCAGGTTCTCAGGAAACCGGTCCATTTGTGAAAATAGGTAGTGCATCTTGATGCTCATGTTGCAGCCCAGGTTTCTGAAAGCAGTCAGCATGTTGTTGACAAGTTCTGCATAATTTCTGGCCTTATTGTTGTCAAGAAAGTTCTTCACTACCAGAACAAATGCCTTCCACGCTTCCAGTTCCACTTCGTTCATTGACTTTCCGAACTCTGGATCTCTGATGAGCTGATGGATCTGAGGACCGTCAAAGATGCCAGCTTTCAACTTCTCCATGGTCAATCCTGGAAAAGCCTGGCACAAGTAAGTGAAGCAGTCACCATCCTTGTCCAGAGCCTTGGTGAACTGCTTGATTAAGCCAAGCTTGATGTGCAGCGGTGGGAAGAGTATTCTGTCTCTGTCCACCAGAGGGTCGTTGATGACGTTCCTTTTTTTGCAAGGCATCAATTCCTCCTGCACAGGCCAGTCCTTCTTCGTGTAATGCTGAGCACGGTCCCTACTATCCCACATGCACAGAAAACATGGGTACTTGGTGAAGCCAGACTGTTGTCCCAACAAAAAGTTCACCATCTTCAGGTCAACACAAATAAACCATTTATGCTGATCCTAACCCATTTTCTCCAGCACATACTTCACCGCTTCATAGTTCTCCTTCAGTGTACTCGAGTGAGCTAGGGGTATAGAGGCAAACTGGTTGCCATTGTGTAGCAGAACACATTTCAGTGATCGCTTGCTGCTGTCAATGAACAGTCTCCAACTTTTGGGTTCGTACTGTGGCACTCCAAGCTTGAGCAGAAGCTGCGCAATATCTGCACAGTACACCAAGTCCTTCTCTTCCGAGAAAAAACGGAGGTTTTATGACTTCAAACTGATCCCTTTTCGACATAATCACCCAGAACTATTGGACCTGAATACTTCTTGTCATTAAAATAATCATTTCCAATCAGAACAATTATTCGACATGGCATTTTACCCCCACCAACTTCTTTTAAAATGCTCCACACAAGCGTACATGTGAACAAAAATGTAAAAAAATGACATGTGGCCATAGCTTAAAAACTTGACCTGATTGAGCAAAACCAATGTGATTTTTGGATTCAGCGCATCAGATTCATCCTAAGTCAGCTGAAAAAACACAGACAACAAATTTGTTGTTGACCAGTGTAATCCCTGCTTGCACAGCTTAATAACTGTGGCATGCCTTAATGTCTCAACTGGACGAACTATTTAGCACTAACCAGAGATTATCACCACCAAACTGGTTTTGATCCATGGTTTTGAAGCAACTCATGGTTAGCGATGACTATAGTTTGCTCAGTTCAAGTATCCTAGCAAACTACCGTCATCTCAAACCATAGAATGGAGAAAGGGATATGTAAGCCTATAGAGTTTACCAATTACCCAAACTATTGTTCAGCAATAAGCTCCATGCTGGCCAAATTGAGATATGGGAAATTTTATTTACATTTCTTTGGAACAGCAATTATTTTGGAGTACTTTTGCCACCAGTTAAAGGCTTATTTATCCTGGATTTCCCTGATCATTAGTGAGGGTCTTGGCTGCTCTTGGTTAATACTTTTGTGATGTCTTTACTGGTACTTCTATTGGATTTGTGCATTGTTTTACATTGTGAAGTGATTTATAATTCACTGTATTGAAAGAGAAATAGGTTTAGATAAATAAATTGGATATTGTGCCACTTGAGGAAATGGCTTAACACTGACTTACTTGTCATCAATGCTATTCTGATAATATATGTGCAAAAGTTTATCCTTTATCCAGCTCACTTTCTCTGCTGCATCTTTTCCAGCTTCGGCATGAAGACAGTATTTCTTGTATAGCTGGGCAAGACCCATCATTGCTTCTTTTCTTACTCGCCACTTAAAAGGGAAAAAAAGAAAGCATTTTTAGGTTTACAGGATTACATACTCTCTTTTTCTTATTTAATGAGTGCCCTTGATCTGTTCAAAGTGGGGTGGTTTGTAATTACTGTAATGGTTCTAGGGGTTGCTCATGCGTAAGCAGGTGCCTATCTCCCCGTCTGGGTGCAAACACCTGGCTGGGTTGCCAAAGTGAACCTTTTTCTGTCCGGACAGCCACTCACCCGTGGCTGACTCAATCGCTGGCAGAATCCGTGAGTGGGCGTTTCTTAAACTTCTTCCAGCAAAGAAGTTCTTTGACGCCTAGTCTCCGCCTACCCTCTCTGCGCGGAAGCCTTCTGCGCAGGGAGGGCGTGGGCAACGGAGGACCCCTACTCTCCCCGCTGGTCCCAGGCAAGGAGTCATGGGAACGTCTCGCCACTTCCCCCAGCTGCCCCTTCTCCCCTGGTGCTACGCTGATTCTCTTCCCCAGAAGATGGGCTGCTCCTCCCGATCCCTGCACGCTCTCTGGAATCCCTCTGGCTTTCACTCTCCCCCTCCAGTACTGATGGCAGTTCCCTGACAATTACCCTTTGGTGAATATTTTGGAACCTTTATTTTAAAAAACATTTTAATTGTTTTTCTTTCATCAGTGTCCATATTTTTATCTCCGCCCTTGTTATGGATATAATAGAGGCTTCTAAGAGATTTTGGAGTTTTTTACTAGGTGAATGTGTTTAAATTTTCGTACTTTTCCTAATTCTTAATACTGTTTTTAAACAAAATTTTAACAATGAATTTCTGTTTACTATCAGATGACACAACATATAAACTATTGTTTCATAATATCTGGCAAAACAGACTGTGATGCAGATACTGTTTTTTGTATGTTATATGAGAAATATATAGATCACTGAAAACCCCCAATATTTGTGGTTACAGAATCTCATGGATTATAAGATGTTTGTGAAATGTATTCTACCTCTGATATTATACACCATAACTTGGTAGCTGTAGTTTGAATTTCCCTGTATGTTTTCCAATGACTAGAAAGTTTCTGAAATATCTAAAATGTAACTTACTATGGAAGAACCATCATTATGGTTTTTCCTCTTTCATAGCCTGCAGGACCATAAAAATCCAAAAACATTTTACTTTTCCCAAAACAAAAGCCAGACAAGAACACTATCCACAAAAGTAACCCTGTTCGGTTTTGCTTACTTTGAAAAAAACAGACAGGACTAATACAATCTTTGTCTAAAATGTCATTGTAAGTTTCTAAATAATTAAATATTGAGAACAGAAACTGACATTTGACAGCTTAAACGTCACAACAGGTCAGCAATCACTTTTACTTTGAAAAATGTCAATGTGGTGATAGTAACAACAAGTCCCGATGTGATGCAGATAATATAGCATTTAGACAGGACATGTTGCTGTTACACTTTTTCAGCATGCAGGATCACAGTCTCAGCCTGGAGTAAAAAGGGATTCTGAAAGTTGAATGAGCATTTCAGTAACTGGTTTTTGTCTGTGGTTGTGATGTGACGTGCAATGAAAAAAACTTAAAATATCCATACAACTTTGAAGCATGAAACTGCTAAATTTTCACAGTTTTATTCTGTTATAGGATTTCTGCTTCCACATGAGAATTCCCTTCACCCCCTGTAGTGCCTGGTACAGGCCCAACACCTGCTCTGGAAGTTCCCCTGATCCTCTAGCGTAGATTCTGGGGGAATACAAGGGCCTTCAGAGGAGAGGAACGTGAGGTCCTATTGCACAAGCAGAAATCCACTCATGTGACACTGGTTGTCGCCCTATGAGTTTTAACATTATAGCATTCCTTTCATCTTACCCTCTTGTCCAGTGTTCTCTCTCTGACAAAGCCAAGTAACTGGTCATTGACTAAAGAGAGGTCCCTCTTGCCAGCCGTTATTATTGTAACAATGACATCATGTCGAATGGCTTCTTCTGGATCATGTGACCTAACCTTTAAGTACTCTAATACAAAAAGAAAACATTGTCAGTTTTATGCTTCTGGCTTGGCTGCAATCAAAGAACAACAAATTAGGAATACTAAATACCTATCCTTAGCTTACAATTGTAAACACACGAGTTTAGGGAGAGATTAATATTATGACTTCAATTAGGAAAGCAACTGAACAGAGGAAAGTCACAGATTCCACTTAATGAAAGGCCTGCTGTGTTAAACTAAAAATTGCAAGAATATTAGAAATGATAAGCTACTCCATTTTGTATGTTGAGTCATGCAAAATATCAGAACCACCACACCAGCTCCAATTCTATTTGAAAATTTGCCTTGAACAATCCTTCTAATCCTTCAACTGATTAAAAGAATAATCAAGTCAAACATTTATATATATTATAATTATGTTAGTATTTGTCATGCCACCATGTTATGTACATGAGCTATTATCTTCATGCTCTTCTGTCTAATGAATCTAATCTAGGATATAAGAGATCTTACCAGTGAGGTCTTTTGCTAAATCTGGATGGTTCATTAAACAATGGCTTGCAAATTTCACGCTTTCTAATCTCACAGGAACATGGATATCATTAAATCTGGAGAAGGGGAAATTAATTTACAATTATAATAGACAAATAAACTTAGTACGTTTTCATAAACTCCATCATTTCAGAGTGCAACACATTATGACACACGATAAGGCAAAGCAAACTCAAAACAAGTAGGACAAAAAAGTACGGTAATCCTTTGAATAAAAATGCAATAAAATGCATATAAGGTTACATCGAAACAGCTAAATGTATTGTCATTCGCCTGACCCCTTAGGGGAGAGCAGAACCTAACTAACTAGTTTACATAGTAGTGCTGAAGAACCTCTGCCCATTTTTCTCAAGCCACACCCATCCACCCTCACAGCTAATTTCCTATGTATGCCAGATGTGGCTGCAAAGAAGCAATCAGGAAGTTAAAGTATGCTCCTGATTGTTCCTTGGCAAGCATGGCTTGCTACTGTTATTGATCAGCTTAAGTTTTCCATTTGCATGTGCAGTTTAAGCCCAATGGTCTTCAAAGGTGCACCTCACCTTTAAAAGGTGGCCCGTAGCCACCTGTGCTATATATAACTATCAAAAACATAAATGCTACTACTTGTATTTAGTTTACATAGCTATTCTAAGGAAACTGTATACTGTAACAGCATATAAAGGCAGCAGGGAATACAGTGGTACCTTGGTTTAAGAACAGACCTGTTTATGAACGATTTGGTTTACGAACTCCGTAAAACCAGAAGTAGTGTCCCAGTTTGCAAATTTTACTTCGGTCTAAGAACGGAATCCAAATGATGGAAGGGCACTGGCGGCAGGAGGCCTCATTAAGGAAAGCACACCTTGGTTTAAGAATGGACTTCCAAGTTCGTAAACTGAGGTACCACTTTATACTATTAGGCAAGACCTAAACTGAGCTTTGCTTCAAGATGTGAACTCCAGTCCTATCTGAAAACAGAAGTAGGTCTAACAGTAAGTAGCAGATAGCCATGACCATATGAAAATCATTACAGATTTTTTTTAAAAGAGATGAATGGTAGGAAGAGAGCTGCTTTGAGACCAGAACAATTAAAAACACGTTTGTATGTTTTCTCACCGGCCAAGAAAGCACTGCCAAAGCGGACGGTTCTGCGTTGCGAGGTCAGAATCCTTAGAACCAAATAGCTTAGCTAAAAGGCGAACAACAGCTAAACGTTCCTCTCCATCGTTACTCTACAGTTTGAAGACAACAAAAAACAGAATTGGAATTAAATACTATCAAAACGAAACAAATATACAAAAATCAAAGTCATGTTATTCAACTATTGGATTCTTGCCTTTTGAAAAACCAAAGCAATACCAACAAGTATTTCAGCTCACAGACTCCTATGAAGAGCTCTTTCTCTGTATTATGCAACACCATCTTAAAGCCATAGAGCATGAGAAGCTACTGTTTCAGAAACATGAGCCCAAAGCACCACTAAACAGGTGGATCTAGTTGCTTGGTTTTTTGGAACCTAAACTGTTGTCACAGCCTCATGCTGGGGACCTCCACATATGTAAATATTAAATAACTAATTTCACTTACCTTCAGTTTGAACTCCAGCTGTGGCATGACGGACAGCAATAAATTAGGATCAACAGCAAAAAGCTCCTGAATTAGATCAAATATATGCTCTGACAAGTCACTTACAGAAGACTTTCCTAGTACCAGGACCTGGTTAAAAAACTAGGAAAAAAAGATATTATTAATAAGGTGCTTTAAAAAAAAAAAAGTTTATGAATAGAGATCTACAAATTTTGGCTGGTTTTTGGAGGTAAGTATTTGTGCTTGCCACCAATCTTGTTTGTCCCACAAACTGAAGGAAGGGCAGGCAAAGCCGGATGTCTGACATCAAGCAGAGCTTCAGGGGGACTCTGTAACAGTGAAACATGCCTCCAAAGCACATCACAAGGTGAGCTCCCACCTTCTTGTACTATGGCAGGCTACAGCGTAGGGGGGCACGTTCAAGGACACAACAAAAGCCACTGAGATTGCCTTCCCAGAGCTGCAGGAAGGAACCAGAGTAGGTTGCAACAAATCCTACTTAAACGCATTCATTCAGGGCATAACTGCTTTGCAGATTCCAATGTTTAAAACCAGCTTTCAACTAAAAGCTCAGACTTTTATAGAATTCACTATCAGCATAAGCAGTGTTCCAGCAGGAGACATTCACATAATTCTATGCCCACATGGACATGACTCATTCTCTGTCTGTGCTTCATCAATATTATTTGCTGAGTGTCTTCTAATCAGGAACTTGCCTGGCAGTCTGTGGAAAGTAGCAATTGCCTACAAGCAACCAGGCAAAGCCCCATGTCAAATTCTCTGTCTCCTAACCGGAGAAAAAAGTCCAGTGTTCAGCAACCACAATGTTGCCCTGTTTCCCCCAATATGCAAATACAGCATATCAATACTAGCAACAGCACCACAATTCCATATGCTATATATTTGTCAACAACACTATTGTTGGATTTGTCTTCTCTGACTGAAATAAGTAGAGGGAGAACGGGATGTGCACTGAGAGTAGCAGAGCCACATTATCCACTGCAATTCCATAGCTGGGTAGACACAGAAGAGGACTGTAGCTGCTGTCCTAACTCAGAGAGAAAAGGGGAAAGGAAAATTCCTATTCTGATGGTTTAAATTGATTCAATCAAACAAAACAGTGATATATCAAAGCAGTTAAGAGGGTAGCAGTTAATGGTATGTTGATGCTTTTATTACTTACATTGGCAATGCATGGCTCAATGGTCTGGACCGTCCTTTTCAACAGGACTTTTGAAAGATCAAATGCCTGTTTATTAAGGTTCTAGAATACAGAGGGGAAAAATTAAGAGGAAGAAATCCAGGTATTTGTTAGTGAGCAGCATAAAATAGTACTATTCATTCTACAGAAATGGATCAGTTTGAGCAGAAAATAAACCAAAGGTTCTAAAAACTCCCTCTTATACAAATGTCTTATACATACTTCTAATTAGCTTAAAATATGTCACTTAAAGTTTTATATAGCAACTTATCTTTAAAGCAAAACATTTTAAATGTGAAAGACACTATATAATGAGCATATAGCTCATAATATTAACCTTATTAAGGTTAATATTTGCCTTGATGCCAAAATAAAAAATACATAAATGACTGGTGTAAGGGAGAACAGATATATATATCCCATATAAAGCAAGAAAGGGGTTCTGTTGGTACAAATTCTTTCTCCCAGAATGGAGTGATCCTCACATTCACATACGCCTTCACTTCCCCCGCCCCGCTTTTTTTTTATATACTCAAAATAGTCTTAAATCCATTATCTGAACATTCAATTAGAGAACAATATGACACATTTTCTAATTCACATCTTTGAATTGAAGCAATTGTTTTATCTAGTCTGGCAACCCTATTGGTTCACAAGTTGTCAACTGCACACACCCAAGATTAAAACATGGCAAATTTCTAGGACAGCTGTTTCCAAGCCACCCACTAGATGTTGTGAACTACATCTCCCACCATCCCAGTTTAACTGGGCACGATAGGAAGGTGATGGGAATTGCAGTCCAAACCATCTGGAGGGCACTAGGTTGGAGAAAACTGCCTTCTTCTCTACCTAGCTTCCCATTTAATGACTTCCCCAGTTCTGTTCCAATGGAGCCAAGCACTACCCAGCACCTAACCTAAACTGAATCTTGAACAGATTTGTTGGGTCCCAGGAGAGATGTTGTATGCAGCCTACAGGAAGAAAAGCAGAGGACAGACATACCTTGGGCTTCTCCAAATCAGCACAGTATAATTGCTCAGCCCCAGCATCTCTCCTATGAATCAACTGAGTACCTCTACATCCAGAATTGAGGAAGCAGCACCAAGGTATATGCACAGAGGGAACAAGGAAAGACAAAGGAGGGAGGGAACAAGCAACTTTTGCAGTTCTCTGGACAAAACATCGAAATGGACACAGAAGTAAAGCTATGCTACTGAAGCACGAGTGGGGAGAGGGTTGTTGTTGTTTTTTACTTTGCAAACCTTGTGGGCAGGGATGAGGTTGATAAGAATTGAGTCCAATAGTTCTTGAGTAACTCCATCTCCTTCCATGATGATAGAACTCATCAAATCTAGCATGTGCATTTGTACTTTCTGGTTGTGGCTATTGCTAAATATAACATCAAAATTAGAATACATTAATTTAGCAGTACCAATATAACCAACTAATAACAGATCCTTGTTACTAAATGACACAATTAAATCTCACATCCTTTAACATATATCTGTTAATAAAAGCAATTAGGTCATTGTAACTGATATTTTCCTCCTAAGTTGAGTCACAATCGGTCACATGATGACCTCTCCCTGACCAATATACCATGCGGGGAAGTATCTTGGATGGAGGTTACACCACACTAATCATTCCTCTGTTTATTCCCTCAAATCACACTGCCTCAATACAGCTTTGTATACTTTAACAGTCTTGTCTCCTTTAAGGGCAACATTAATTCTAAATCTTATTTTTATAATGAAGTGAGGAGGGTATCTGTTACAAGAGTTCCTGAGGGAGTGTTGTGCTATTTTACGCATAGAAACTCAAACTCCCAATGGACTCCCAGTCAATTCAGAATGAGACTACCCAGTGTCAGGGTGATGGTCAGGTTTTGCTCCCAATGAAACAATGTAGCATTCCACTAGATTGACAGAAGTAGGCCTCAAGAGTACTTTGACACAGAACCTGCACACACTGCCTTGTTGTGCAGAGGAGAGGGGGAGTGAGGCCAAAATTTGACACCCCTTCCCCAGCCCTCCTGCTACCTTCCCAAAGCTGGCTAAGCAAGGCACCAGGCTTTCAGAAGGAGGTGTGAGACTCAGGCATGGTCCTAGACCTAGAGCATTCACACCTCCTTCCCAAAGCTGGGAATGTGCTAACTAGACTTTGGGGGAAAGGTGGGTGGATTATAGGACCCTGCCAGAGCCCTCACACTTCTTTCCCAAAGCTGGGAATGTGCTAACTAGACTTTGGGGAAAAGGTGGGTGGATTATAGGACCCTGCCAGAGCCCTCACACTTCTTTCCCAAAGCTGGGAATGTGCTAACTAGACTTTGGGGGAAAGGTGGGTGGATTATAGGACCCTGCCAGAGCCCTCACACTTCTTTCCCAAAGCGCAGCACCTCCATTCCTGGCTCTGGGAAGGCGGGGGGGGGAGAGTCAAGTGTTGTTGAGGGCCCCACATGTTATGACTGTCCTGGAATAGAGGTACTAAAATTGTCCCCAGTTCTGTGGGAAAGTAAATTTTGCCACTCCTCCAACTGTCTTTCCATTTAGAGCTAGGGTCTTTTGTCCCACAGAATTTAATGGGAAAGATAATGAACAAAGCCCTCTCCAGTTCTCATTAATGATCACATTAGACTCGTTGTAGAACGCTGAAACCTAGCATTTGTATCTCTCTCTCTCTCTATATATACAGTGGTGCCCCGCAAGACGAATGCCTCGCAAGACGGAAAACTCGCTAGACGAAAGAGTTTTCCGTTTTGGAGGTGCCTCGCAAAACGAATCTGCTATGGGCTTGCTTCGCAAGACGAAAATGTCTTGCGAGTTCCTGGGTTTTTTTTCTTCTTTTCCCCTCTTTTCTAAGTCGCTAAGCCGCTTATCTGCTTATCCGATAAGCTGATAAGCTGCTAAAAGCCGCTAAAAGCCGCTAATAGCGCTAATCCGCTAATCCCATCAATGGGCTTGCTTCGCAAGACGAAAAAACCGCTAGACGAAGAGACTCCCAGAACGGATTCTTTTCGTCTTGCGAGGCACCACTGTATATGTATATACACACATGCATGCGCACATACACTCTCAACATAAATATAGCTATGGGTGACAAGGTACAGTTCTCAGCTATATAACTATAGCAGAAAATAGAAAAACTGCAACTCCTAAGGTACTTCCTTTTAGTGCTGCCAATATTGATTTATAATATAAAATTGTAATAAATCTTAATCAAGTAATATTTCTTTCCTGGATCACTAAAACTTTAAGACAATCCTGGAATACATAAACCGCAATTATATTATTTTGACATCTTTTTTATTTTTAAGTTGCATGCAAGGATTGCACAAGAGGTCAAAGTAATCCAACTTACTTGATAACTGAAAAGAGAGTCCTAAAAAGCTGGATAAAAATTTCATTGCAATCTTCCAACTCAAAGCAGATGTTGTAAGATTTAACCCAAGCTAAATTCTATAACAAAAACAAAGCATTAAATTATAGTTTTGATCTGAATATGTATATGCAAATGTTGATAATACACATTAAAATTTCAAAGTAGTCCGTCAGTATGATCAACTAAGCAGTTCGGTTAAAAGGCCAAAACCCTAATTTCTAAATTCAGGAAACATGGATTTATCCATATATGTAATGTGTACTCTTTTGCTCTAATAATATCCAAATAGCTTCACAGGTTGACATATCTGGATGTCATTAATATAAATTAAGGATCAGAGCCAGAAGTTTGGTTTCTGTAACAAGCATATACACTATTAAACTGCAACTTACACAAGTCCAAATTCCTTTGACACAAGGAATTAACATGTGTAAATAAAGTCTAGTAAAAAGTTACCTCTAGTAAGTAGAAGTATCTGTTAAATTGGGGGCTCTTTGTATCCTCCAATCCTTTTAACTGTCTTGTAATAAACAAGAATATATCCTGCAAAACAAAAAGGAAGTTAATGTTTTACAGATGTACTCTGATATGTTAACATTGCTAACTGTATAGTTCAAGTTCTTTATATTATAAATATTATACTCGCTATTGGGGAAGTTTCACAAAGGCCTTGTTCAGATTAACAATGGTTTTAACAAGAATAAGCCCCAACAAGCCTTTCACAGTTCTCCAACACAGACATGCTCATGGCTTCCACTTCCACTTTTTATTAACCACAGGTTGTCAATATATGTGAACCCGAACAAATGGTGGCTAATCTTAACTATAGTTTGCACTAACAAGCTAAATACAAATGATGGGTTACAAAATGGCTTGTTTCTATAAATCATAGTTAAGATTAACCAGCTTAGGGTGAATCAAAACAGTAGTGAAAGTTTCTGAACTCTTTTGTGCAAATGCACTAGAGAGGGGCAAGCATGCCAACCTGAGACTTATTGCAGTATAATCTCATAATGAGAAACCATATTTTTATCATTACGTCCAAAGGAGGCTAATGTCTCAGTCTTTGATGTAGTGAGACAACCCATGAATTTCCTGAATATACAACTGAAATGGGTTGAGATTATTCGCAAACTAGTTTACCTTGAGTTTGTCATGGGAAGTATATGGTGCTTCTGGGGCATAAATTCGAAAGATATCAGCCAAGCAACATGCTACAAGGAGACGGACATCTTTATTGGGATTCCTGAGGAAGAATTCTGATGCAAGGTGCAAGGCTAACGGGAGATATTGTTGTTTCTCATCTTCTGAATCCTGGTCCATGTCCATAAACGTTTTCACTACCATCTAGGAGTAAAAATATGAACACTTCTAATTTTCATTAAGCATTGCTCTCTCCAACTTCTACTGCAATAAACAATTTATTCAACATATTGACACTAAAAGTTTATATAACACACACCAATTCAGTATTTGTTAAGCTTCTTTTATTTACTATTATTTACTGTTATTCATTACACAGGGTAGGCCTGAAGTATGCAGAAAATCTGCAGTACAAAAAAGCTCATATGAAAAACCCAAGTGGAGACCCCAAAAATAGTCTAATAGTAACTGAGGGAGGAAACTGACAACTGGATAGAAGGGAATAGAATGCATGGCTGGAACAAGACAGAAAATCATAGACAAAGGGTAGACAGAACCATCTCATTGTCTTGATAGTTCACTTTCTGATTCACACTGAGATGCTACTTTGAAGTGTCCTCAGAGATGGAAGAGAGCTACCTACAGATATCAACTGAAAAATAAAGAATTTACTAGAGCTGGTACTAAACACAAGAGTGTCCATCTCAACCTTACAAACACACAAACAAGCAAACATATCCCAAAACTGCCTGATTAGGACAGAGTATGCTTAGTAAGCATGAAATGTTGACTGATTGTTGCAGGAGGAGGGAGGGGGGATAGAATGAGGTGGCTGGGACCTTGAACAGCAACTCTTCACAGTACAATATTTTGTTGCAGAGCCCTACTTGTAAATACTAATTTATGGAGTTTGTTGAACTTTCAAGTTATTGCTCTGATTTCTAGAGGAAAAGAAATGTTAAATACCAATGGGTCAATGATCCTTTAATTCTGATTCATCTTCTAGATGACTAGGAAGTCCTATCAGAAAAACTACAACAACTGCACAACAAGGCCACAATAGCAGTATTTGTCTCATGCACAGTCTACTTGACTATCCTTCCCCTATGTCTTAATTGAGATTAGCAGATTTTCTAAAGAATTAACTGCTGAATAACTGCACTAAATAACACTGGTAAATTACTTTTTTGTAACTTGAATTCAATAAAGTAGATACTGATTGTTGAACTATGTAATTATTTAATTTCTACTAAAAAATATTTTACAAGACATTTGTGCTTTCTGTAAACCAGGATATCAAAGTTCTGTGGGGGGAAACACCCACCTACACAAAAACACAAGCCAAATACATACAAAAAAACCCACTAAATTCTCCCTCATCTTGCACTATTAGGAATTTGGGAATACAGTACAAACATTATAAGTAAGCACTAGTAGATCACTAGATTACAATTTGTAATGTTATCAAGACATGCAACAGGATTAGTTAATATTTCTTTTAAAAACAGCATGTACTCATTAAGCAATAAGCACATGCCTGTTTAGAAACTCAAACAGATACGTTTTGAATATCAGGACACTTTGTTAACTATTTCTCCCCTTTAATAATGTTTGCTCTCTACAATGTCCACCCCCATTATACACGATCCAAGTGATTATTGTAATTGAGCAACAATTGTGTGTAAAGCAATCTAACACGGCCTCATAATTTGCTATTCACCTGCTAGCTTCGAACGAACAGCCAAATGGCAAACAGCCCAAGCAACATGTATGCCACTCACAAATATTATGCCAAGTTCACGTTTGCAGGTGATGTGTGCAAGTGCTACAAATATCTGCTACCGTGTCAGGTTGTACATATGTCTCAATCATAATTTCCCCGAAGAACTACTAATTCTTGAAAGCAGAATTAAGTTGGAGCGCACATCAACAGTTTAGTCTGGAAGTAACCAGTTTGCTTCAATTCACTACAACGCTCAGCTTCTGAACTTGAAAAACTGAAAGAAAGAAGTATGCCAAATTTCAATCACCAAGATATGGTAACCCAATTTGGCACAATGGCTCCTGAGATTAAGAAGCAGGATTTTATATGCTTGGATACCACTGGACTCCATTTTGAATCAATATGACGGATCAAACTTTTCAAAACTTTTCCAAATCTACACTGATTCTCAGTGAGAGTTACTGTTGGCTTCTCAGATTCCCAACCCATACCAGGCACTCCCCCCCCCATGCCTTTATTTGAACATTACTAACTTCAGAAGGACGCGGATGGTGCTGTGGTCTAAACCACTGAGCCTAGGGCTTGCCGATCGGAAGGTCGGGGGTTTGTATCTCCGTGACGGGGTGAGCTCCTGCTGCTCGGTCCTAGCTCCTGCCAACCTAGCAGTTCGAAAGCAAGCCAAAGTTCAAGTAGATAAATAGGTATCACTCCGGCAGGAAGGTAAACGGTGTTTCCGTGCGCTGCTCTGGTTTCGCCAGAAGCGGCTTAGTCATGCTGGCCACATAACCTGGAAAAACTGTCTGCGGACAAACATCAGCTCCCTCGACCAGTAAAGCAAAATGAGAGCTGCAACCCCAGAGTCGTTCGTGACTGGACTTAACTGTCAGGGGTCCTTTACCTTTTAACTTCAGAAAGGCTACATTGTGCACCCTCCAAAAGGCCCCTTCCCCTGGAAATTAGATTAAGGTTCCATTTCAGTTTCTACTGGGGGGAGGGCAGATAGAATCACTAAACATTGTGGCAAAATGAAACTTTGATCCAATCTACTGGCAATTTGATTTAGTTTAACTTTGCAATTCCTGGTAAACATCCACATATTTCCCCACAAGGGACATCTCAGTCACCAGACTTTATGTTGACTAGCCACTGGGCAGAGATCCCTTGTAATTTCCCTGCAACTCAGTGGTGGGAAAATTGAATAGTAATGACAGTTCACAGCTCACAACCTTTCTCCTTTGTAATTTAATGCCTCTTCTGTCCAGCCATATTCATAATGAGCAGTGTCTGAAATTATCCAGCCGCATTTTGCACCTGGCTTTAAACCACTTGTGACCAAGTGATGATGTCTGGGTCCCAGGATGGCACCTGACATCTCTACCATCTGGAGGTGCATGTCTGGAGTCATTGTATCTGGGCTGTTTTCACACATCAATACCCCTTCCTGTAGAATTCTATCAGTTACCGGTATATTTTATCTGCACAATCTGAATGAATATCTGGAACCAAAATGCTTTTCTGTGCAGCCTGAGCAGGAGCAGTCACCATCAAGAAAAAGATGTAGGAAAAGGCCAAGATATATGTGGATTGTCCCTGTATCAAGTGACTTTTCAAGCTCTCAAAGCTCTTAACCTAGCTCAAGGTTGTCATCTAAATTAGCCTGATGTTTAACTGAGACTCAATCACGCTGGTCCATCATTTGAAAAATAAGACTTTAGAGCTGTCTTGCCCCAAAATGGCAACTTTTGGTGACCTTTCGGTGACCGTAAAGAGCCATTGGCGCCTAGCTTATATATCTGAGTTTCTAACAATGAAAACGAGATCACCCTTTTTCAGGAAGTATATTCCTATACCTGAGTAAAGGTATATATTTGCATTAAATATAGCAAAAGTAGTATTTAAATTATGTTCCGTGAGAAGTCTGGTGCTCTGGGAGAAGAAAATACATTGTACATCAACTATTTAGGGAGAACAACCTATTTCAAGAAACACTGCCTTCTGATACTATTTTGAAATAACACTGCTCTCATTGCTCGGAACAAAACCAAAACAGATATAGTTCTGGGGCATGTGCAAATTTCCAATTCAAAGGAGAATCTCTGTAATGAAACCTGCAAAGTTCCTCAAATTAATTTAAGCCATCCATTAAAAGAAAATCCTATATGCAAATATATACGTTTTTCACATATTGGAAGTATGTAAGCTAACAATGAATCTAGATAAATGAATCTAATTAAAAGAAACTAACGGTTGTATCCAATGCTGTGCCAGCATGGTTCCACATGGAACTTTTGTTTCCTCTCCACCCCTCATGCACCCCCTACATCTTCTCCAGAGGGTCCCCAAACCCTTAGGAGCAGACTTTGAGGGCAAGCAAGAGGCTGGACTGGACAGAAAGTGGAAGCTCTGTTGCACAGAAATATGTTGCATCAGTAGGGCTGCAGTGTTACACATGATCCTAAAACTTGCATGGATAAAACTTTGTACTGTTTTCCAAAAAAACAAAACAAAAAAAACACCCCTGCATACTGGTGTTCAGACAGGTCATACTCGGGAAAGGAGAACACACTGTCCTATCACATATGGGCAGAAGAGGAGATCCATTAAGAAGACTTTCTATTCTATTTGAAAGTTTAATTGCTGTTGGCACTCATAAATGGCTTGGTAAGACTACTCTTATTTTTTTTTTTCATAATCAAGGACACAATGATTATGAAATTAATAGAAATAAATTAGCAGTAAGCAGTAATTAAGTAGGTAAAATACTTAGTGACTCATGTGCTAGCATGCACTGTACTTGATCCATTACTGTAAGACTAAATGGGGTACTCTGTAGTGCTAAAAATATCTTCCTCCAAATCCCAAGGGAAACTATAAGACGAAGGATAATACAGTGGTGCCCCGCAAGATGAATGCCTCGCAAGATGAAAAACTCGCTAGACGAAAGGGTTTTTCGTTTTTTGAGGTGCTTCACAAGACGAATTTCCCTATGGGCTTGCTTCGCAAGACGAAAACGTCTTGCAAGTTTGTTTCCTTTTTCGTAAAACCGTTAATACCCAGAGGTGAAGAGGTGCAGTTGCGACTTGAATTCGAGGAGCAACTCATAGCACGCGGTGTGGTAGCCTTTTTTGAGGTTTTTGAAGACTTTGGTGATTTTTGAAGCTTTTCCAAAACTTCTTTTGCAGCCATTTGGTAAGTTAAACTTTTAAAACTTTTTTGGGGGTTTTTGGATTTTGGGTTGGGGTGTTTGGAATTCAAGGACTTGGTGTTGGGGAGGGGTTTGCAAGAATCTGGAAGCTTGTGTGTTTTTTTTCTGCATTTTTATGATTTTTTGTGACCATTGGGCCACTCTGCCGTTTTTTAAAAAAAAATTCTGGATTTGAATTTCTGTATGGTGGGTGGCTGGCGGAACAGTTGGGGAGGGGTTTGCAAGAATCTGGAAGCTTGTGTGGTTTCTTCCTGCATTTTTATGATTTTCTGTGACCATTGGGCCACTCTGCTGTTGTTTTTTTTAAAAAATTCTGGGTTTGAATTTCTGTGTGGTGGGTGGCTGGGGGAACAGTTGAGGAGGGGTTTGCAAGAATCTGGAAGCTTGTGTGGTTTTTTCCTGCATTTTTATGATTTTCTGTGACCATTGGGCCACTCTGCTGTTTTTTTAAAAAAAATTCTGGATTTGAATTTCTGTGTGATGGGTGGCTGGGTGCTTTTGAATTTTTTGGATGTGAAGCACTGATTTTTTTGGGGGGGGGGGTTGCGCAGGTAGGAGCTGTGCTGCCATGGGACCCAAGAAGACTGCTGCTGCAGAGGCCGGCGAGGGGAAGAAGGAGAAGGTTACGCTGGAAATGAAGAAGGAGATCATCCGGAAGCACGACTGTGGAATGCGTGTGACAGACCTCGCCAGGGAGTACGGGAGGAATCCCATCGACCATCGAGACCATCCTGAAGATGAGGGAGAAGATCCTTGTGACTGATGCAGCCAAAGGAGTCACCAGGATCGTGAAGAACCGCCCAGCTGTTCTGGAGGAGGTGGAGAAGTTGCTGCTCATCTGGTTAGAAGAGAAGCAGCGTGCAGGGGACACAGTGACTGAGGCCGTCATTTGTGAGAAGGCCAAGGCCTTGCACGCAGACCTCGTCCGGGAACAGCCAGGAACCTCAGGCGAGCCAGAAGTCTTCAAGGCAAGCAGAGGCTGGTTTGACCGGTTCAAGACAAGATCTGGAATCCACAGCGTGGTCAGGCATGGAGAGGCTGCCAGTTCTGATGTTTCTGCGGCTGAAGACTTTGCAGCGGAGTTCCTGGAGGTTGTGAAGACGGAGGGCTACGTTCCACAGCAGGTCTTCAACTGCGACGAGACCGGGCTGTTTTGGAAGAGGATGCCCAAAAGGACTTTCATCACACAGGAGGAGGCCAAGTTGCCTGGCCACAAGCCCATGAAGGACCGTCTGACCCTGCTCTTCTGTGCCAACGCAAGCGGCGACCTGAAGATCAAGCCCCTGCTGGTGTACCACTCGGAGAACCCACGGGCCTTCAAGAAACACAAGGTCGACAAGGAGCAGCTGAGTGTCATGTGGCGATCCAACAGTAAGGCTTGGGTCACACGTGTGCTGTTTGTGGACTGGGTCAATCTTGCTTTTGGCCCTGCTGTCAAACAGTACCTGCTGGACAACGACCTGCCGCTGAAGGCTTTGCTTCTGATGGACAATGCTCCTGCTCATCCTAAAGGCCTTGAGGAGGACTTGTTGGAGGAGTTCAGCTTCATCAGCATCATGTTCCTGCCGCCTAACACCACGCCACTGCTCCAGCCGATGGATCAGCAGGTCATCGCCAATTTCAAAAATCTCTACACCAAGGAGCTTTTCAGGCGATGCTTCGAGGTGACTGATTGCACCACCATCACCCTGCGGGAATTCTGGAAGGACCACTTCGACATCGTCACCTGCTTGAAGATGATCACCACGGCCTGGAACGGGATCAGCCAGAGAAATTTGAATTGCGCTTGGCGCAGCCTGTGGCCGGACTGTGTGGCACCAAGTGACTCTGATGCACCAGAGTCAACAGTGGTGCAGGACATTGTTGCCTTGGGGAGGACCATGGGCCTGGAGGTCACAGAGGAGGACATCAGCGAGCTGGTGGAGGAGCACGACCACGAGCTGACCACCCAGGAGCTGGTCGAACTGCAGGCAGAGGCTGCGCAGGAGCAGGCCTCGCTGGAAGAGGAGGAAGCAACTGAGGAACGTCTGTCCTCCAAAGAACTGAGGGACATTTGCCTGAAGTGGAAGGATGTGCAGGCTTTTGCACAGCGGCACCACCCTGAGAAGCACGTGGTACATGACCTTGCGAACACTTTTGATACGAGGGTCATGTTGCCTTTCAGGGAGGTGCTGAAAAGGCGGATGAAGCAGCAGACCATGGACAGGTTCTTCAGCAAGAAGCAAAGAGTGGAAGAGGAACCTTCTTCGAGTTGTCCCCCAGAGTCTTAGAAAATGTACTGTACACTTTGTTGATTTTTAAATGTTTTTCTGTCATGTTTAGAAACTTAATTTATTGTTCCTTCAATTTTTGAAATGCTCTTTACAGTATGTGTGACTTTAAAGAGCACTTAATAAACTCTTGTTGTACCAAATTTGGCTTTGTTTGGACTTTTTTTGACCATAGGAACGCATTAATTGAATTTCAATGCATTCCTATGGGATTTCGTGCTTCGCAAGACGAAAAATTCGCTAGACGAAAAAACTCGCGGAACGAATTAATTTCGTCTTGCGAGGCACCACTGTAAGAAAGTATTTTGAATACACACTTCACATCCAAAAACTGAGAGAAAAGTGGGTGCCTACCCATTTGCTATCAGGAACTATTCTGCCACTTTATCTTGCTGGGTGGTTAAGCCCAACTCTGAGGAGTTTCACTCCAGAGTGTAGATGTGGCCTCCCTGAATGCTGCATGCCATGCAGAAGGCTATACTAGAAATCTTTTCCATTACACAAAGCTCCCTGTACATAGAAGCCTAAATGTGTCCAGAAGCATTCAGTCATGAGAGCACCCACTTGTAGTCTGAAGTGGTACTGGTTTACCACTTTAGTAAGAAGCGGGCCTTAAGTTCAAATAGCTTTTTACTGCAGATAAGCTTTTACTACAATAAGCAGCACCTGGGTCCTGTACAGCAAAGATTCCTGGGTAACTGTGAGGCGGGACAGCACCAAAGGTTCTACATATAAAGACACACCAAGGTCTGTAAGTGACACAATTTCAATTTAAGAACTAATTTATCCAAAGCAGTTTATAAAGCCACAAACATTGCTAGATGCAGTAAAAAACAATAGCACCCTGAACAATTTGGTATCATCAGCAAATCTGGCTACTTCATTGCTCACTTCTAAATCCAAGCAATTTATGAACAAATTAAAAAGAAACAGCCCCAATACTGATCCTTGGGGGACTCCACTTATTACATCCGTTTAATGAAAGAACTATCCATCTATTTCTACTCTCTATAACAGGACCTTCCCATAATTCCTTTTAAAAGATTGGGATTAAATTTCCACAGCGCTATTTTTCTGGAAAAAGAGTTGCTGGAACTCACCATGAATGCCTTTCTCTTTCTCTTAGAATGGCAATGGCACCCACTGAAGAGGTGCCGGAACTGAGTTCTGGAGAGTTCCCCCTGAAAAAAGGCCCTGCATTTCCAACCCTCAGGTATGGAAGCTGATATTACAGACAAGTTACATATTTTTATTAAAAGATCAGCTATTTCACTTTTGAAATCTTTAAGAACTCTCAGATGGCTGTAATCTGGACCCTGTTATTTGTCAGTTTTTATTCTGTCAATAAGGCCTAGGATTTTGTCTCGTCGTGACTATTTGTCTTAGCTCCTCAAACTCACTTCCTGTGAAAGGCAAGGGGATCTCACTGTGAAGACAGATGTAAATAATTCATTCAGTGCAATATTATATTCCACTTTTTTCACACCTTTGGCTCCCTTGTAGATCAAAGGCCCACAAATAAAATTACATGGCATCCAAAATTATTCAGGAAGCATTTCCTAACCTTGTCCTTGCTACTGTCTTTTGTCTTCCAAATGATGTCAACTCAGAACTGCTGTTCCTTTAATTTTAGTAAGTGTACATATGACAACAGCCTTAGAATATTAAGTCAAGCTTAATTGGAGATGAAGAACAAGAATATTGTTAGGCTTCACTAGACTAACATCTCAGTTTAATCCAGGCATAGGCAAACTCGGCCCTCCAGATATTTTTGGGACTACAACTCCCATCATCCCTGATAACTGGTCCTGTTAGCTAGGGATGATGGGAGTTGTAGTCCCAAAACATCTGGAGGGCTGAGTTTGCCTATGCCTGGTTTAATCCATGCTAATATTTTGCTTAGCTCTTTCCTAACTGCAACACAACATCAATGTAGGAAAATAGATTAGAAGCAGATACAAAACATTAAACTTCATCAATGAATGAATGAATCAATCAATCAATCTGGTATACTACTTTAACTTTTGGTATATGAAAGGTCCTGTCACATGGTTTAAAAGAAAATACTATTATTTTTTCTATTTTCCCCTGACTCTTCCCAACATAAGAAAACTTCAATAGCTGGAATGAAGACTCCATCACTGCATCAGGAAAATAACATTTTTATTTTTGCTTACTTCATTGTACCAGCTGTTGAAACCAGTAGCTGTATCAACTTGTGCCAAAAACACAACAGATCAAGAATGTGGGTCAGGTTTTGACCTACGGCATGGATGGCTTATTGGCTCAGTGCCAAATTTATCATTAAAGGTCTGGATTTCCTTGAACACTTCTGTAATGAATTTATATTTTGTTAAATATGGTGCATGCTATATTTAATACCCAAGTTACATATTTCAGCTAGGTAAGAGATCATTTTCCATTTTTGTTAAGTTCCCATGTTTCGGAAGGGAAACTTTGTACACAAATAACTGGCACATGTAACTGTTGAAGCTCCTGTTTTGAATTTAGTACATCCCTTTATTGTTGCCCTTACTGTCAATTTCATTGCATTTTTATATGACATGCTATTGTCAGATGAATGTTAAATTAATCAACTGAAGTGATATAGCCTTATGTCATTTGAAGATTTATTTTTAAACAAATCTATTTTCCTTCTTTTTTGGTCTTATTTCTTATAAAGAAAAAATTATTGCATTTACCAAACTTTTTTGAAGACCAAATGTAAGCAAGTACTTTAAAATGATATCCATATTAAGTATCAATTAATCATTCTTTATTGCGGTCAAAGACCAGACAGCAAAAATAACATATGCAACATGTACTACATCAGCATGAAGGGGCAGACGCGGTAGACAAAATAGAAAATTCCCTATATACTTATTTACATTAAGTATACCATCCTAGATATATCTGTAATTTCATGCTAAAACATAGGTTGTTGTTCACATTGTTACTATCAGAGAGTTACCTCAAAGCTGCCTTAAAAAAAGAGAGATGCAATCAACTAAGTCCTACTCAGAGAAGACCCGTGGGAATTAATGAATCCAAGTTAGCCATGTCCATTAATTTCAATAGATTTACTCTGAGTAGGACTAGCACTTAATAACACTCAGTGTTTTCAGAAAGCAGACTATGATAAAGACAATGACTTAAAAGATCACAGAAGCTGAACAATTTAATGCAGTTTTCACTCCAAATATATGGCTGCTGCATATGTTCAGTCTTTAGGGACCCTGCTTGCTTTTTGCCGCTTTTGCTTATGTTGCCAGGAGACTATCACAGTGATGCTGCTGCACATGCAAGTTTGCCATTATAATTACTTCTGTGCATATGACAGGAATGTTGCTATAGCTGATGAAATACGGCCGAAATATTGGGAAATTTTGGAACAAGAAGGAGACAAATTGAAATTGCAGAGTTTCGAGAAACTAAAAAACAAAGTGAGAGATTGGCTTCATTATTATCAGATAATGGAGGCATATAATTTGGATAAGAAAATTGGCTTCCAGGTGGAAAAATCAAAACTAGAAACAGAACTGTTAGAACCCAAAACTAAGAATTTGTCAAGAATGTATAACTTGCTGTTGAAATGGAATACTCAGGATGAAACGGTGAAATCTGGTATGATTAAATGGGCACAAGACGTAGGACATAATATTATGTTTGCTGACTGGGAACAGTTATGGACCACAGGTATGAAGTTTACGGCATGTAATGCCCTAAGAGAGAATATTATGAAAATGATATACAGGTGGTACATGACCCCAATCAAGCTTGCAAAAATCTATCACTTGCCCGATAATAAATGCTGGAAATGTAAAGAAACTGAAGGTACATTCTTTCACCTTTGGTGGACGTGCCCAAGGATTAAGGCTTTCTGGGAAATGATATATAATGAACTGAAAAAGGTATTTAAATATACCTTCTTGAAGAAACCAGAGGCCTTTCTTCTGGGCATTGTCGGCCAATTGGTGCCAAAGAAGGACAGAACTTTTTTTATGTATGCTACAACAGCAGCAAGAATACTTATCGCAAAGTATTGGAAGACACAAGATCTACCCACTTTGGAAGAATGGCAGATGAAGGTGATGGACTATATGGAATTGGCAGAAATGACTGGCAGAATCTGAGACCAGGGGGAAGAGTCGGTGGAAGAAGATTGGAAGAAATTTAAAGACTATTTACAGAAATATTGTAAAATTAATGAATGATAGAATGATGTTGGATAGTAATTAAGCGGTTTCTAGCTGTAATGCTTTAAGAGAATATGAAAAAAAGGGTTATAAATGGGTTAAATTCTAATGGTAAGGATTTGCTGAACCAACAAATCGAAGTGGAATACAAAAAAGGGAGGTACGAGGAGGTCCGGGAAACAAGCTAAAGGAAAATAAGTAATTGAAAATATGTGTGTTTTTAACTGTTTTTATTTTGTATTTTTCTCTTTTCTTTTTCATTTCTACTGTAATATTTTTAAAAAAAACCTTAATAAATATCTTATATAGCTGATGAAATACTTTCATTTCCAGTACACCTCAAAGACTCAAATGAATTAGTCTAAAAGCATTTCCTTCAGGACCAATGACATAATGAAGCTCACAATCAATAATCTATTCAGAAGCACATACGCACAAATATTATCAAGATGTTTTTACTTCCAGACTAGTGTTCTGTCCCACCGAAAATCAGGCGGCTGACTAATGCAAAATGAACACAACTTCCAAGTAAGAAGACGGTCATCCACACTCTGTTCTACTTGTTTACACTTCACTTCTCCTAACATGGGACTAGCTAGGAGCCTGTTTCATAGCTGACATTGCTCTGCACATCAATCTCCAACACTGGAATATTAAACATTGATAATGGTGACTTTATGAATGGTCCACATTTATTCTCCCAAGTCTTGTCTTTAAATTATTACAGATGGGAGGGAGGGGGAATAAACCAGAGAGAAGTTACAGATATCTATCTATATTCTTATCAGAGAGCACATGCAAAAAGTTTGTGACTGGAACACTGGTATACCTAGCCCTGACGTTGTACCAAGGCACAGAGTTCCCAGTGAATGAACCAAACCCCTTAAAAATCAAGGAACTTGAAGAGCAAGCTGAGTCCCCTGAATCCAATGCTGAGGATTCTTCTGAGGTGCCCTCAGGGCTGGTACCTAAAGATGAACCCATGAGACTGGACCTCTGCCTCCTTGTTTTGATTCTAATCTCCCTGCACTGCAGCCTAGAAGAGCTTCCTGAAATATTGACCTTGGGCTGTTGGACCTAGGCTGACCCTCAGTGCCTGAACCTGGTTTGTTTGGACTTTGCTGCATTTAAAACGCTTGTACATTGGGTGAGTACCTTTGGTGAAAGGCTGAATCCTCCTGTAACTAGGACACTAGCCCCTAAAGGAATCCCCTGCATGACAAACACATTTAGAAGAACTGCAGAAAGAGTTTAGTGAGTTAAGTAGTCTATTAATTGACTGTTTAGTGGTAAATTGTTCAATCATCTACAAAAATACAACATACTCTAATTTCTATAAGTCTTGTGAAAAAACAACTAGTTGCAGTAGAATGCAGTAAGTCCTGAGAATTGAGTGTCCATAAGCAACAAATGTTTACCATTACCACATGGCACTATTGGCATAATAATGAATCACATGACTTTCATTTTTAGGTCTGAGGAATTAAATTAGATAGCCAGCATTAAAACTGAGCCAGGCTCAACAGAAAGTATATTACCCCCATCAACTGAGACATGAAATTAAGCTCTGAATTCCTTAGAAATATTATCTAAATAGCTGATTATGAACTGCTAATCAATTGCATTTAACATTGCCATTCACAGTTGGAACAAGTGATAGTATTGTTAATAAGTCTTTCTCGATTAAAGCAATCAGCAACTACTAAAATGCAGATGTTTAACAGCCCAGAAAACTCTCAACTAAAATGTGAAAAATGGATTGCTCCTAGTTATGTTTCTTTACCACATACAGACAATGACCATTTTGTACATGTTCAAAGCACACACACATCATCACAAACCCAGAAGTGGCAGGAAAAGGGGGCAGAACAGAATGAACTTATACGCACTCTGCTGTCGCACACGTTGACCCAGAATGCAACCCCCACACAAATTTGGACTTGCCTGTATATGGTTCCCATGATTATTTTATGTGCATACACATTTCCTTTGTACCACACTACCATGTCTTACCAATACATTTCTCCGTGACATCCTTTATGAGATATATCTAGCCATATAATTTACTTTTTTAACCACCTAACTCAAGCATGCACAATTACCCCTTTTCCACATTTTCTATCTTTTCATCATTTCAGTTAGTAGAATTACCATTTCCTACAGCTGCATGTCTTTGATTAACAAAATACACAAACTTTAATGCTTGTGTTTCCTGTGCCTTTTAGCCACACATTCCTTGTGCCATGCATCTTACACCCACCCACCCATCCTCTCATATGCCTGCCTTTTCCTTTAATACAATTCTTTCATGTTCATCTTTAACAGACATAATTTAAGCCAGAAAGCCTGGAACATGCAAAGTAACAATATAGGAGAGTGCCTCTGATTATGTGCGGAAGGCATGCAGTATTTCTCAACCTTGAGTCCCCAGATGTTGTTGGACTACAACTCCCATCATCCCTGAACTCTGGCCTTGCTAGCTAGGGATGATGGGAGTTGTAGGCCAAAAACATCTGGGGACCCAAGGTTGAGAAAGGCTGCTATAGAGTATACAGAACAGTAATCTAACTCAACAGTGTGACAAAACTCTCTGCTCAGAGTACTACAAGGGAAAGTTCCACACATGTAGTAGGCTTGCTACCTTATCCTAAGGAATCAAAAAGAGTTTCAGCACTCACAACTTCCTCAAACCTTCACAAACCTTATCCCCAATGCATTGTATTTATCAAGATCCTGCAAATAGGTAGAGAGTGGCAAAGGAGTGGGGTAGTTGGGGACGGGGAGAGAAACCATAGTCAAGCCAAAACAAAACAAAAGCACCACACGCTGTGCTTCTCCTTCTCCCAAATGCTTCTTGTGAAATTGCTGACCCCAATTTCATCATCTGCACATGGAGTAGCAAGTTGGGGTGTTTGTTTCAAGACTGGTTCTCACCAACAATTTAACTTAGTTGAGAACTTGAATCTTCATGTCACTGGCAATGCTAACGTTATCAACCAGTGTTGCTCAAAAGTATGCCAACATTTTGATGGCTGACTTAAATTATTTTTGCTCAGCTCATGTCATATGACATCATCATCTGGACCTAAAGGCAGGATGACCTTGAAAAATTCCCTCTGGATTTCAACAGTTTTCAATCATCAACAGCCTGACCCTGGGCCAGTGCCTGCAGAATGCTTACTTCTAGAACGCTACTGTGCAGCTACACTGAGCATGTAAGAACCATCTTATGAAATAAACTCACTGGTGTTTACATGTATCTGCATGTTTCTGACTTCCACCCAGAACATGCCAGTGTCCTTGCTTACAGGACGTATCCTTTTTAAAACTACTTACCACAGGTAACACAACAGAAATGCAAACACAAGGACCACCAGATGCAAACTCTGTTTTCATTTTCATTTTGTCAACATAATATCCAACAGAACCAGCGAGAACATCAGGAACTCATTCACCCACTCATCTTCCAAACTGCAATGACTGCCTCTTTTTTACGTAAGAAAAACTGGACAGTCACTTACACAGATGAATAAAAGGACAGAAATCTGGTATCAGAACTGTCAACATTCAGAAAGCAGTGGAAGATTGTCTCAATCCCTCAGGCTACTTCGCCACCAACAAGACCATTACCATTCTCCAGTAGCACCTTAGAGACCAACTAAGTTTGTTCTGGGTACAGTATAAGCTTTCGTGTGCATGCACACTTCTTCAGATACCTGAAGAATCTGAAGTATCTGAAGAACTGTGCATGCACACGAAAGCTCATACTCAGAACAAACTTAGTTGGTCTCTAAGGCACTACTGGACAATTTTTTATTTATTTTGACTGCGTCAGACCAACACAGCTACCTACATGAATCTATTACCATTCTCTTCCAAGAAACTGCAAAGGGAAACTGCCATGTGAAATTACTAAACTGAATCAAAGAATTTTAGAGTTGGAAGTGACAACTGCAGGAATCTTTTGCCCAACATGGGGATCGAACCCCCGACTCTTATATTAAGTCTCATGCTCTACCAACTGAGCTATGTTTATTTATTGTTTCATTTAATAAACCAACTTTTCTTCAAGGAGATCAAAGTGTACATGGCTCCTCAACATTTTATCCTCATAAGAACATTCTGAATTAGGTTCGACTGAGTGAGACTGGCTGACCCAAGGTCATTGAGTGGGAATTTGAACCTAGCCCAAATATGACACATTAACCACCACAACATATTGGCTCTCCACCTGCAGCTTCCACTCTCCTCTTATGTGCAAAGGAAGGGCAGAACAGACAGAAAGCAAATCAGCCAAGTCTTGCCATGGCTCATTTCCAGTCTAAATTAAACTTCAGAATTATTGGCTGAACCTGGACATGTAGGGATCAAAATTTCATTGCCCTTGGGAATGGGAACATAGTAAGTCAGGCCACAGTTATATCAGAACCACAGGTCAGCAAAAGGAAATTTATTAAAAAAACAAACACATCTTAGCAGGTTGCTAAGTAGAGAACCAATAATTTTATCAAGAGTTAAAAATTATGGAAGGAGCCAACACAGCAGAACTTTGCAGGAAAGACATAGAAACACTTTAACTTCACCAGAAAACTCCCTCACTTGTCCAAAATTAGTATGGAAACCAGACAACATGCCAAAGATACTGTAAACTGTTGAAGAGTGGAAGAGGATCAGCATTAGCAACAAGATGATACAAGAGCTAAACTTCAGGGCCACTTTCTAGAGACATGCAAGCACAGTAATGCTACCTAGTTAAAGTGTCCAACTACAACATTAACAGAAGATATTGATAAACAATAGCTACAATATGAATGTAAGACCAACTGTCATTTTAAGCATCTGTATTTGCTCCAGCTTTGAGGACTATTCTGTTACAAGTTAATTTAATTGTTTAAAAGGCGGTCAGGACAGACCCATGGTTTCTATTTTGAAATATACTTATTTGGGATTAATTAAAACCAAACTGAAACATACAAACTACACATTTCACTGTCCATGTAATCTGTAACTAACGACAAGATAGTGTTTTCTCTTCCGTTTGCCACTAGCACTATTAAACTACCTCATTGGCAGCTCTCTCAAAACTTTTCAGAATACAGTATGGGCAAAACAGAATGCAGGCAAAACATCAAATGATGGTGCCAGGGTGAAACATATTGGCTTCCTTCTAATATAGTATTAACTATAATATAGTATTAACTATGACAGCACTTGGATATACATGAACTACTACCAAAATCCTGACCAGACTACTGCGCAAAGGGAGACTTTACCATGATGACATAATATACACAGTGTTTGTTTCTTCTGGCTATTGCAGTCTTTCACTGTTGCAATGTAAGAACAGACTCACATTAAAACTACAAAAAATAAATAAATCTACTCACAGTGTGTTAATGAAATTGACATGTTGCCTTCCCAGAAACTTAATGCCTGAAAGTTTCCCAGAGCTTGTAGGTCCAGAGGACTGCAACTCAATTGCCCAAACCACTGTCTCTTTCCCTTCTTAGGGAAGCAGAATGCTTACATGTCCAGTTGCCTTGATAACCAAGCCCATGCATCCCTCTTCATTGGAGCTAAAGGCTACACTGGATTGCATCCTGGTTGACATAAGAACCAAGACCCTGCTACCTTACCAACATTCCTATGGCAGTCCATCAATGATCTTTCCTGTAGCCTTTCAATGAATGATCTCACCCTCACTTCCCACTCTCTTTAGTGAAGTGTGTGACATCCCAACACCACACAGGCTTTTGCAGAAGGAAGGGGGGGACTCTACAAAAATAAGCAGGAAGATTCATTGTTCCCCTTCCCAATATTAACTGCAACTGATCAGAAACTTTGGAAGGAGTAGCTGTCATTGGCAAGACTCTGAAGAGATCTGTGGAGCCCCAATATATGATTCAAGAACATCTACATTCAGCAATTACTTCCTTAGATGTGACAACATATAAAGCATTCCTAAATGTATCCCATCAGCATCTCAAAATATTATAGTGACTTTGTGAAAAAACAGCTATTTTACAATCAGCAGGAACTAGAAATAATTTTATGTAACAGCTTGTCAGCCAAGCAATGCTTGAGCTATGCCACATTTCTGAAAAAAATAGAACAAGAGTTCTTAAAAGTTATATAAACAGTCTTCTCTCGCCTTTAAACTTTAGAGATTTTCTACTAGCTTTAAGGATCATAAGCGTCCTATCTCAAAAAAATTATACTAGCATCCCACAACACTCTTGAAAATGAAAGTAAAGCTGCAGGTACAAGAGTAAAACAAGAGCACAATCCCTAAGCAACAAAGCAAGATGAATCACTGTGACAATAACATCTGAAACCTTTCGCTTGCTCAAAGCCAATAAGACAATGGGTGGGAGAAAGAGCAATGGGAAGAGCGCAGAAGAAAACATGATGAAGGGCGTATTTTAAAACGAAGAACAACATCTTACCTTCAAACGTTTGACTACTTCATCGTTCGTTATTTTATCTGTGATCTCCTTAACTCCAGGAGGGTAGAAGATGATTTTGCCGTCGGCAGGAGGCTTTGGTTGGGTGGATGGGAAATCCATCCTAGTGCTGCTGGTTATAAAGTTTCCTTCTCCACAGTCCTCTACCGGCCCCTATCGGTCAGAAAACAAAAGTTCAGCGGAATAGAGGCGACTTTCCGAACCTTTTTTCCCCTTCCCTCCCCCATTTCTAAACCTCGATTCAAAAGAAGGCCCCTGTGTTTCGCAGCGGCGAGGCCGAGGGCTTAAAGTCCGCAGGACCGTGGTCTCCCCGGATCCCCACGCTACGTCCAGCCCAGCGCTCTCCCTCCCGACACCTTTCATTGGGCGGCTGCTCCGAAGCCCAACACGATTACTTTGGCTGCCTCGCGGTTCACAATGAAATGTTAACATTTAAAAAAAAAACAAAAAAATAAAGAAAAGATTGAAAGATCGCCTCTCCGCGCCCGGGCGAGAAACGGGTCTGCGGAGAGGAGAGAGAAATAGAGCCGATCCCGAGACAGGCACTTCTTCCACCGAAGCCAGGAGGCGAGGCCTAAACTGTTAGGCCTCAAAACTATCAGGAGACAGGGAAGCCGACCGGAGGAGGGGAGGAAAGGGAGTCAGGCGGAGGGGGGACCCCGAAAACAACGCAGCCCCAGCCGGCCACCCCATATCCCCCCCGCCCAGCCAAATCTGAAAACTCTTCCCCTCCCTGGCCGGGCCTGGCCTCCCCGCCTCAGGGACGGCGCCGCTTCCCTCAGGGGAGGGCGCAGGCCACTCTCCATCCACTTCTCTCAACTTCCACCTCAGGACCCCCTCCTGCAGCCCCTCGCCTCGTGTAAACGCCCGGCTCCGGCCCAGAGGGTCTTCCCGGCTGGTCGAAACCCGCCACGCCGGCGGGGAGAGCCGGGGAGGAAGGCGGCGAGCAAGCGGCAGCAGCGGCAGCAACAAGAGACCCGGACCCCAGGGGCGGCTGCCTCGCTCTCTCACTCGCCCGCCCGCCGGGCTGTTGTTGTTACCTCATGCAGCTCCGGAAGGTGCAGCATCGAGCGGCCTCCGTGGGCGGCTGGAGCCGTGGAGGGAGGCGCGGGAAGGGGCTGCCGCTCTCGCTCCGAAGACGACGACGACGGCCGGCGCCCTGCCTCGGCGACTCGCTCGCCTTCCCTCCCCCCACCGCGGCGGCGGCGGCGGCCTCAGTCCCGGCGGCGGCTGCTCAGGCTCTCAGGGAAGGAGGGTTCGGGCAGAGCGTGCGCCTGGCTCGGCCGCCTCGCCCGCGGGGAAGCAGCGCCGCTCCCTGGCCGGCCTGAGGAAGAGCAGCCCAGGAGGAGGAGGAGGTGGAGGAGGAGAGTCGGCCGCCGCCGTCCCCACTATGCCGGCTTCTCCGAAAGCCGCCTCCCTCGCGTTTCCGCGGAGCCTGAGGGGGGCCCAAAGGTGTGCGGCTCTGCCTGTACCTACCCGCCGAAGTCCCATCCCGACGACTGGTTTGCCCTCACGGGTCTCGGCGGCCGCTCCCGGGTCGTGCGCGCGCGCTGGCGCCGAAAGCTGAGGCAACTCGTTTGGCGCCAAAACCAGGCGCTGCCGTGAGGCGGCCCGCAGCCCTGTCGGAATAGCTGGAGGGGCCTCTCTTTTTAGATATATATAAATTTATTTACTTGGTTTTCAGATTAAAGTCTTACAATCACATATCCAACATACATACAAGATTCCAAACAATCTCCTCCTCCCCTTTGTGGGTCCTCTTGTTAATCAGTTCCCCTCACATCTTTTATGATGATCCAGATCTTTGACATCTCCCCTTATGTCCAAAATTCACAAGTGTTCCAATCCCACTAACGGTTTTACCTGTTTACAATGGTTTTTAAGGTAAATTATAAACTTTCCCCATTCCTTATTAACATTTTGTTTCTTGTAAAAGTTGTTGCTTTCTCAACTCTTTTTTCTTTTGATATGCGTTTTGTTGGATGAAAAAGCCCCTCATCACTGCTTTACTTGCATCCCATACCACTTTCAAGTTTGTCTCCTGATTCAAAATAATTTCAAAAGAATCTCTTAATTTCCCCCCTCCTTTTTAAAATTTTGGTCTTCCTGATTTTTTATTCTTCCGGTCATTTTTGCCATTTCGGCATCATCCATCAACTTGATCTGCCATTTTTCTCTGGTCAGGTCTTTATCTTCTTTCCATCTCTGGGCCAATAACATCTGTGGTTGCATACATGAAAAGTCTTTTCTGCTCGCTTGCGATTTCAGCACCTTAGATTCCTAAAATAAAGGCTTCAGGTTTTAGAAAAAGTTATTTTCAAGTGCACCTTCTTTTTACCCCCAAAGTGCACTTTAAACAAGGTTGTGAAAGCATCGCTGACACGCTATGTTTCCAAGTGTCGCTGCTATATATTTTCTTCCTTAGTTGGGGTCAGCCGAGCAGGATCCGGCCGTTTTCTCTCCTGAAAGTGGCTTTTTTGTGTTTTGTTTTGTTTTGTTTTGTTTTTAAGCCTGCTGCAATATGAGTGTGCAGAGTGTGTGTGTCCCTGTGGAGCTCAGTGGGATTTATTCCGGAGTAAACCGCTGAATTGTGTTCAAGATGGAGGACCGTCCAACTGCCTCTGCAAATGTGACATTATTGCTTGTGTCCAATGCTAGGGCTAGTCTAGAGCAGACCCGTTGAAATGGAGAGGCATCATGGGCCCATCCATTTGAATGCAGCTATTCTGAGTATAAAGTACTGTACAGTGGTGCCTCGCAAGACGAAAAGAATCCGTTCTGGGAGTCTCTTCGTCTAGCGGTTTTTTCGTCTTGCGAAGCAAGCCCATTGATGGGATTAGCGGATTAGCGCTATTAGCGCTATTAGCGGCTTTTAGCGGCTTTTAGCAGCTTATCAGTTTATCGGATAAGCAGATAAGCGGCTTAGGGACTTAGAAAAAGAGGGGGAAAAGGAAAAAAAAACCCAGGAACTCGCAAGACATTTTCGTCTTGCGAAGCAAGCCCATAGCAGATTCGTTTTGCGAGGCACCTCCAAAACGGAAAACTCTTTCGTCTAGCGAGTTTTCCGTCTTGCGAGGCATTCGTCTTGCGGGGCACCACTGTAGCTGAATATACCCCTATAGGTGTATGCACTATATACCTCTATATACACACAGTTGAATACAGTACACTGAGGGAGATGGAGACATAATAAAATGAACTCAGTATTCAGGCAAGAATGTTAAAAGGTAAAGGTAAAGGTACCCCTGCCCATACGGGCCAGTCTTGCCAGACTCTAGGGTTGTGTGCTCATCTCACTCTGTAGGCTGGGAGCCAGCGCTGTCCGCAGACACTTCCGGGTCACGTGGCCAGCGTGACAAGCTGCATCTGGCGAGCCAGCGCAGCACACAGAACGCCGTTTACCTTCCCGCTGGTAAGCGGTCCCTATTTATCTACTTGCACCCGGGGGTGCTTTCGAACTGCTAGGTTGGCAGGCGCTGGGACCGAACGACAGGAGCGCACCCCGCCGCGGGGATTCGAACCACCGACCATGTGATCGGCAAGTCCTAGGCACTGAGGTTTTACCCACAGCGCCACCCGCGTCCCATCGGCTGGGTGAGGACTGCAGGGCCTGCTCCCTTCCAGGGCCTTTTCCAACTGGCCCAGGGGGCGTGGCCCAGGCCCTCTCTCCCAGCTATAAAGGGACTCCTGTTGTGGGGAAGCCTCGGAACATCGGCTGGGTGAGGACTGCAGGGCCTGCTCCCTTCCAGGGCCTTTTCCAACTGGCCCAGGGGGCGTGGCCCAGGCCCTCTCTCCCAGCTATAAAGGGACTCCTGCTGCGGGAAGCCTCGGACCATCGGCTGGGTGAGGACTGCAGGGCCTGCTCCCTTCCAGGGCCTTTTCCAACTGGCCCAGGGGGCGTGGCCCAGGCCCTTATTTGGAACAAACTTTTGGGGAAGTGTGGGAAGTGTTCTGCCATTGCTTCCCTGTTCCAGGTGGTTAATGTGCTTTAAAATGTCCTCAAGCAGTCGGTGGCAATTTAAATTTTTATTCCTTTTTCCCTTTTTTCCTTTGTTGGGGGTGGGTGGGTGGGATGGATAGTTGGTTGGGGATTAATTTTAGTATAATTGTTCTGTTCCTTTTTGTTGTTGTTGTTTTATTGGTTCTGTATAGTTTGTGTTTTGTTTTTAAGGGGCGGGATCAGGGCTGCCTGGGAGTGGCTCCCAGCCAACACGATGGCTGGGACAAGTTCCACAGGGGAAGCACTGGGACATCCGATCTCGGTGATCATGGGCAGGAGGCGGAGTTACGCTAAGACCAGACCATGTCATTACCGAGGAGGCAGGTTTAGTCGTTGTTTGAAGACTATCCCTGCCTCCGGGTCTGGCCTTGACCGGATGGATACTGGAATCAACAGGGGAAACCCACATGACCTGAAAGTGTTGCTGTGCAATGCCAGGTCAATGATGAATAAAACCACTGCCATCCACGACTTGATTGTGGATGGAGGATTTGACCTGGCATGTGTGACAGAGACCTGGTTGGAGGAAGCAGATGGGCCTGTCCTTGCCGCTGCTTGCCCACCAGGTTTCTCTTACGCACAGCAACCCAGGTCATGTGGGCGGGGAGGGGGGGTTGCAGTGATTTTTAGGAAGTCACTAGCTTGCACCAGGCGTCCTACTGGGAAGATCCAGTTCTCTGAGTGCATGTTCTGGAAGTTGGGCAATAGGGGCAGTACAGGATTCCTTTTGGTGTACCGACCTCCCCGCTGCACCAAGAATTCCCTGTCCGAGCTGCTTCAGGTCGTGGCGGATTTTCTCCTGGAGACACCTAGTTTGGTTGTCCTAGGGGATTTTAACATCCATGCCGACACGACCTTACAAGGGGCCGCTCGGGACTTCGTGGAAAGCATGGCCTCCATGGGGCTGTCCCTGAATAAGTTTGGCCCAACTCATAGTCATGGACATGCCTTAGACCTGGTGTTCACCTCTAGTGACGTGGGTGATCTGACACTAAGTAAAAGTGAAACAAAAGAAGTGCCATGGTCAGATCACTTCCTGGTGCAACTGGACTTCTCCGCGACCCTTCCCCTCTGCAGGGAGGTGGGACCAATTCGGATGGTCCTCCCCGCCACTTAATGGATCCAAATGGTTTCCAGAGAGTGGTAGGGGATGCTTTAGCCCATGTTGATGGCCTTTCAGCTGATTCCCTGGTGGCCCGCTGGAATGCGGAGTTAACCAGGGCTATCGACTGTCTGGCTCCGAGCGCCCTCTCCGATTGCATGGAGCCCGGACAGCCCCGTGGTTTTCTTCGGAGCTGAGGGCGATGAAACAATCGCTGAGACGGCTAGAGCGTCGGTGGCAGAAAACTCACTCCGAATCTGACCGGACACAGGTTAGAGCTCAACGTCGAGCCTACCAAGTGGCGATAGCGACGGCGAAGAAGACTTTCTTCACCGCCTCTATTGCATCTGCAGAAAATAGTAGCAGGAGACTCTTTCAGGTGGTTCGCAATTTAACGGAACCACCTTTACCACCGGGGCCTTGTAAAGACCCCAAGATCTCCTGCAACGATTTTGCAAAGTTTTTGCAGATAAAATCACTCATATTCGGAAGGAGCTAGACACCACCGTGGGAGCAGGGCCGGGGCGGGAGAGTGCTAGAGCTCTGTCTGGTCAAGTTGCATGGAATCAATTTCAATCCGTTACCCCCGAGGATGTGGACAGGCTGCTTGGACGCGTGAAACCAACCACCTGTCTCCTTGATCCTTGCCCATCCTGGCTAATAAAAGCAAGCCGGGAAGGGCTGGGCGATGGGCTCTGCGGGGTGGTGAATGCTTCCCTCTGTGAGGGAACATTCCCAGATCCGCTGAAAGAGGCGGTCATTAAACCGCTTCTTAAAAACCATCTTTAGACCCGGCCAGTATGGCCAACTATCGCCCAGTCTCAAATCTTCCATTCTTGGGCAAGGTGATTGAGCGCGTGGTTGCTGAACAACTCCAGGCACGCCTGGAGGATGCGGACCATTTGGATCCCTTCCAATCGGGATTCAGGCCTCACCATGGGACTGAAACTGCCTTGGTCGCGCTGGTTGATGATCTCCGGCGAGCTAGGGACAAAGGTGAGAGTTGTTTCCTGGTTCTGCTGGATCTCTCAGCGGCCTTTGATACAATCGACCATAACATCCTTCTGGACCGTCTAGAGGGGCTGGGAGCTGGGGGCACTGTTATACAGTGGTTTCGCTCCTTCCTCCTGGGCCGTGTTCAGAAAGTGGTGGTGGGGGATGAGTGTTCAGACCCCTGGGCCCTCACTTGTGGGGTGCCTCAGGGTTCCGTCCTCTCCCCCATGCTTTTTAACATCTATATGAAGCCGCTGGGAGAGATCATCAGGGGATTTGGACTGGGTGTCCATCAATATGCAGATGATACCCAGCTCTACCTCTCTTTCAAATCAGAACCAGTGAAGGCGGTGAAGGTCCTGTGTGAGTGCCTGGAGGCGGTTGGAGGATGGATGGCGGCTAATGGATTGAAGTTGAATCCTGACAAGACAGAAGTATTGTTTTTGGGGGACAGGGGCGGGCTGGTGTGGAGGACTCCCTGGTCCTGAATAGGGTAACTGTGCCCCTGAAGGACCAGGTGCGCAGCCTGGGAGTCATTTTGGACTCACAGCTGTCCATGGAGGCGCAGGTCAATTCTGTATCCAGGGCAGCTGTCTACCAACTCCACCTGGTACGCAGGCTGAGACCCTACCTGCCCACGGACTGTCTCGCCAGAGTGGTGCATGCTCTAGTTATCTCCCGCTTGGACTACTGCAATGCGCTCTACGTGGGGCTACCTTTGAAGGTGACTCGGAAACTACAACTAATCCAGAATGCGGCAGCTAGACTGGTGACTGGGGGCGGCCGCCGAGACCACATAACACCGGTCTTGAAAGACCTACATTGGCTCCCAGTACGTTTCCGAGCACAATTCAAAGTGCTGGTGTTGACCTTTAAAGCCCTAAACGGCCTCGGCCCAGTATACCTGAAGGAGCGTCTCCACCCCCATCGTTCTGCCCGGACGCTGAGGTCCAGCGCCGAGGGCCTTCTGGCGGTTCCCTCATTGCGAGAAGCAAAGCTACAGGGAACCAGGCAGAGGGCCTTCTCGGTAGTGGCGCCCGCCCTGTGGAACGCCCTCCCATCAGATGTCAAAGCGATAAATAACTACCTGACATTTAGAAGACATCTTAAGGCAGCCCTGTTCAGGGAAGTTTTTAATCTGTGATATTTTACTGTATTTTTGGTTTCTATGGAAGCCAAATCTTCCAAACTGCGATGCTTGTCTCCTTTTTTTGTGTGTGTTTAAAAAAACACTACCACCAAGGCTCATATTGGCTTTCATTTTAATAGCTACTCCTTAAAACATTTCCCCTTCACGCTATCTTATGAAATCTATGGAGATAACCACATTGGGAGGGAGAAATGTAACTTCCTCCATTTGTTTTGCAGCACAATTTTGTGTCATGCCACATGTAACTGACCAGCCTGCAGTTTATCTCTTATTCAGGTTCTGATTTTAAAATATGGTTTTCACACGTGTTTTTTTTTCTTGCAGTAAATTCTATTGAACGTTCATAGCACACACACCTTATGGAAAAGAAATCCAATCTGTCTATTACTTGTTTTCTGTTTGCCAGGAGCAGCTTTGGAAATGACAATCTCTTGATAGGAAGAGAAATAGCTGTAATTGCAACGGTGGGATGTGTGTATGTGAAGTTCCTTCTTCATTCTTAATCTGATTAAAAATCTAATTGGCAAGACAAAGAGAAGATTGATTACGTGAATATGTTTGATTAAAAATGTTTTTGGTGTGGATTAGTACATTATTTGTCCATGAATGATTTACAAGCTGGTGATGAGGGGAACAAGAATGGATTAATACTGCTGTTGAATATTTTTTTTGTATTTAATGAGTGAAAGAGTTTATTAGTTCAACTGAATATTAATTCATTTTATGCATTAAATGATCGTAGCCTTTTATAATTAAATTGTACAAGAATGCCACTTATTCCATTCCTTTGCTCTGTTTTGAAGCAGGACAATCAGCAGACCAGAATGAATAATCCCAATGCCTACAAATAAATTAGGATTTTGAAAGGAAACTCTGTTGTGGGTTATTTAATCCTTATTTATTCAATCAATCAATTTATAGACTGCTTAATATAAAAAAAGTAAGTGGTTTACAAAGCAAACAGCATAAAGTCACACAGCTAAAATACATACTGGCCTAGTTTACATGGCACACTAAACCAAACTATTGTTAAGTGTAAATGAGGAAGCAAACAGGTACTCAGGAAACAAAACTTGGCTGCTTTGTTCCTTTTCTGTTTTTGCTGCTGTGTTATTACCCAAAGCTAAGCCATGGTTTGGCTTGTTTCCTCCAAACAAACCTTAAGTAGTAAGCCAAGGACAAACCATGGCTAGTTTGTGCTTTGTTTGGAGCAAGACAAACCATGAGCCCAGATTTTCTTCTAGTTGTGAGGGTGGGGGAGGAGCCACAAGTGGAGTAGGTATAAATATATTTGGACACAACAAGTATACCTGGTGTTATGTTCCTGTTTATATGTTGTGAACTTAAAAGTTGACAGACAAGCTTTATTACGGTGTAATGTTCTTTACAATGTTCCTGACATATTTCAGCTTTCTAGATTTATTTTTCATCTGGCCTTCAGATATGAAAGCAGAGTCATCCATGTGACGAAATGAAAAGTATGCCATTTGCAATAAGCTTTGCATTTAATTTTAATGATTCTAAGAATGTCAGGTAAAATGGTCGGGCCTTGCGCATGTTCACTTCATCAAATCATGCCTCAATTCTCATACTATCTGTTGCTGCTGCTGCTGCTGCTGCATGTTGTAGTCTCCATCATCTAGGCTAGGGCAACAGGTTGACAAAGACTGCTGTAGAGTCTCAGGAGTTGAAGCAGCCCAGGAAAGGAAATGCCAATAATAATAATAATGGAGAGCTTGAAGTTTGACCACAGTCACTGCTCTCTTCTGTCTCCTCAACACCTAAGTGTAAATGTAAATTAAACCCAACAATTTTTGCGGGGAGCAATCCTAAAAAAAACCTCAAAAACTTTGGGGCAAAATTAAAAAGCTCAACAAGGTGCATGTTCACTTCACCAAATCTGGCCCTCTTTGAAAAAAGTTTGGACATCACTGAAGTAAATGGTTGTTTCCCCAGTGCTTACTTAAGAGGTAAGACACTTGTATATGAATACATCTTATTTACATATAAAACTGCTGGTTGTGCTATTGGGTGCACTCTAGAATTGCTTTTTCTTTTCTATTTATGGCTTTTATTGTTATAGGATTGAAGGATCATCCTAATTGTCCTCAGGACGCCCTCCAGTCCTGTGATTTTGTAGCTATGAGATTGGATTCTGCTGAAGACTGCTAAAAGAAGTCAAACCAGTTGTTATGTAAATGTCCCTGCCTAGTCTCTTAAGTATCTCTTTGCATATCTAAAGAGTACAGGTAACTGGTTTTCCCAAAAGCCAGGACAGAAAGGGGGGGCATCCTCACTCACTTGGATGGAGTTGGTTGACTCCAGTTTGCCAGGCAGAGCAATACCCCAATCCCTGACCCCACAGAGCCTTTGGGGGGGGTGCAGGAGTCATTGCACAAGCAGAAGTCATTGTGCAGAGGCAGTAATGCTTCTGAACAGTTCGAAAACACAGGAGAGGAGAGTGCTGTTGTGCTCAAATCCTGGTTTCCCGCAGGCCACTGTGAGAATAGGATGCTGAACTAGGAAGTGGAAGGGGCAAGGTGAATATAAAATGGAAGAATGGTACAAAGAGGTGTGGGATATAGCTATTCACGATAAATTAACCTGTGCTATTAAGTTAAGATAGGGAATATGCAGAAGAAATGATTTTGAGGAGATACGGAAGGCATTTGTAGAATTTGCACCGTTAAAACGGAAAGGGGTCAAACCATCGCAAGAGGCGTTGAAATTTTGGGAGGTTGGATAGTTCCAATGGAATGGTCTCAGGGGTGGGGCGCACATTTTTATTTTTATCTATTTATTATTATTACTTTGTTGAAAAACCCCTCAAAATAAATAAATACATTCAATAATAATAATAATCAGGAAGAACTGTCTGGCAGCAAGAGCGGTTTGACCATGGTACAGACTCCCACAAGAGAGGTGGCAGCCTCTCCTTCCTTGGCAGGTTTTCAAGCAAAGGCTGGACCACTTATAAACGCCATCTCCTTGAAAGATTCCATCAACGGTGTCTCCAGAATTTTTTACACATCACTTGGGAAGACTGGCGAACTAATGCCAGTGTATTGAAAGAAGCAAAGATCATCAGTGTTGAAGCAATAATTCTTCAACATCCATTTTGTTGGACTGGTCATGTTGTGTGGATGCCTGATTATGGTCTTCCAAAGCAACTACAGTGGTACCTCGGGTTAAGAACTTAATTCGTTCTGGAGGTCTGTTCTTAACCTGAAACTGTTCTTAACTTGAAGCACCACTTTAGCTAATGGGGCCTCCTGCTGCCGCCGCACCGCCGGAGCACAATTACTGTTCTCATCCTGAAGCAAAGTTCTTAACCTGAGGTAATATTTCTGTACAGTCATACCTCGGGTTGAATGTGTTTCAGGTTGAGCACTTTCTGGTTGCGCTCCGCGGCAACCCAGAAGTAACGCAGCGCGTTACTTCCGGGTTTCGCCACTCGTGCATGCGCAGATGCTCAAAATGACATCACGTGCATGCGCGGAAGCGGCAAAACGTGACACGCACAGACGCGCCGTCGCGTCTTATGTTCCATTCAGGATGCGAACGGGGCTCCAGAACAGATCCCGTTCGCATCCCAAGGTACCACTGTACTCTATTCCGAACTTAAAAGTGGAAAGTGTAATGCTGGTGGTCAACAAAAGAGGTTTAAAGACTTTCTCAAGGCAAATCTAAAAAAATGTAGCATAAACACCAACAACTTGGAAACACTTGCCTGTGAGAGCTCCAATTGGAGAACAGCCTTTACCAAAGGTGTCATGGGCTTTGAAGACGCTCAAACTCAGAATGAAAGGGAGAAGTCCGCAAGCAGAAGGAGGAGGAGTATCAGGAAGTGGATTAAATGTAATGATTACTTAGTTAAATATGTTAAGTTAAATTAACTGAAAACAGCTTGCAGATACTTAATTGGCTTAGGATTCTATTTATGTTAAGTGATTAATTAATATGTTTAATTTCATAAAGTGAAGATTTAAGGATACTAATGTTTAAGTTAAATTTTATAAGAATTGTGATTTAGAAAACCGTTAAAAGGATATGCAATGAAATTCAACCAAGGGGAAGCGAGGAAGTCACTTAACAATGTTAATAAGTGTAATTTTCAGTAAGGCTATGATTTATGTTTGTTTGTCTTATGTGTTTGTTTATAATGTTGTGAAAACCAATAATTTTTTTTTAAAAAACAACCAACCAACCGTGTTCATGGAAGACAATCTTACTTGCCTACGAGGGATCGCCAAAGAGGGAAAGAAGAGGAGAGGATCCAGCCCCGCCCCCTGCATCACACGGGGTTGGACTAGATGACCCTCGGGTTCCCTCCCTGGATTCTCCGAAACGCAGCGGCGTTTTTCTCTAACTGGGAAGCCGAGGCCTCTTCCTTGCCGCCGTCGCCTCACACTTCCCCTCCTGGAAGTAGCCCGGTGTGAGGCCTAGGCCGCCCCTGCCTCGCGGCGCCTGTGCCCGCCCTGGACGCGCGGCCGCCGCCGCCGCTCCTCCTGAGCTGCAGTCCCGGGAGCGGCCTTGGAGAGGCGCTGCGTCCCCGGCTTCGAGGCCTAGCAAGCCCGCGAGCCTGTGGATCCCTACGCGACTCGCGCCTGGCCGAGAGCAGCGCGGGCACGGAGACGAAAGGGTCGGAGGCGGCCGCCGCGGCCGTGAGGTAAAATCGAGCGCGGGGGTCTGAGGGAGGGAAAAACAGGCCTCTCGCCTCCCTCGGCCGCCGGACGGCTCGGCCGCCTTCCTCGGGCCTCATTCCGCCCCCTTTGGAGGCCGGCCGGGGAAATGCCTCGACGGCGAGCGGGGCTCACGGCTTCCCCTCAGCCCCCTTCCCTTTGTCTCGCCTTCCCCCCACTTTTTTCCCAGCGGCGGGAGCGGGGCTCGCTCCGGAACTCGTGGCCTCTGAGCGTGTGCAGAGTGCCATCGCTTTTCGCCGCGCCGCCCCTCGGCCCCGCGGCTTCCTCCTTTTTGCTGGAAGGGAAATGTTCGCGGGGATGTGGCAAGGGAGGCTGTCTGTGTCTCTTTCCCACGGAGAGGGGTTTGTTTTGTTGGTTTGCTTTGCATTCTCATTTATTTATTTTTAGATTTGAAGGTGTGCGAATACTTCAGAGGCTCATCTTCAGAGTTTTCTGCCGGCCCCTAGTCTTTCATAGACCGAGCTCGACCATGATAAAACCAGCAGATACATTTTCGGGATCTGGATTTTAGCAGAGATCAAGCGCCTCTTCCCTAATTGCTTGTCAGTGTAAAGGGAGGTGTATAAAAAGCTGGAAACATGGCTGCAATGAAAGGAAAAAAATCATTTCAAGAGTTGCTATGTTCTGTTGCCTTGGCTATCTATTTTGGGGTTTTTTTTGCAAGTGTACAGAACTCCAAAACTTCTTACAACTACCTAATTACAGTATAAGGCATTTTAAAATTTAATTTCTAGAACTGTAGTACAAGGAAAACAAAACGCAAAGAGTGCCCAACTAGTATTTCTCTCTCACATTATTATTTTGTTTTAATTTTGAGAAACATGTAGTAAGCTTTAATGCACTTTTCAAGTTTATTTATTACGGAAATACTTTCATTTGTATGCAGCTTTTCCATTTAAATATGCTCAGAGCTCACAACAGAACATAAATTCCAGTCAATAAATCCTTACAATAACGATTAATTACTAAATCATTTCAAAAACTACCCAGCCAGATGGGTGGGGTATAAATATTGAAATATTAATATTCATTATTAAATAACTTTATTATATGAACATTATATAACATTTTAAAAAATCACCCTAAAAGCATATTAATTAATGACTAATCAGTGCAATTGTAAGTGCACAGTTTGTAACAGCTTAAAATAAGCATATGCTCATCCTGAGTTTCAGCAGAAAGCAAAACAACCCCCAACCAAAAAAGATTTGGTTTCCTGATATTAATATGTGGATGCAACAAATGACCTTTTTAAAACAGGTGACACATTTAAGACCAGGTTTTAATTTTGTTGCCAGACAGGTTGGGTAGATAACCATGTTGTAATTCAAACACTCAAGTCCTCAGATGATTCATGTAGCTGACTTGTAAAGATTGAGAAGAGGAGCCCTACTTTAATTTGTTTTGCCTTTTAAAAAAGTTCTTTCCCCCCCTTGATGCTAGCTTGGGTAATAATTTTTAGGAGGGGTAGTTGAACACATTCATGTAAACATGCAAAAGTTCCCTTCTCATTGTTTTTTTAAAGTAAATTTTGAATAATCTGTTCTTCTTCCCCAAACGTCTAAGAGGTAGCCATAATCTATTGAGCAAATAAGCCATTGTAAAACAAGAGTCATTTGATTAGTGTTACATAGTTATAAATCAGCTAAACATTTATGTGTTTGTTGTAGGGGAAACACTCTTGGGCAACAGATACATCTGTGGAAAACATGGTTATTTTATGACATGATCTTAAGTTATATTTTCCAGGTTTATATTCACAGCTACCTTGTGTGCTTTTGTTAAGCTGCCATGCTTGATGAAAAGTTCATAATAGGTTTTTCTGCTAAGAAGCAGCAATGAGTGAGAATGTTTTAGACGGATTACTTAGTGAGTTCTGTTGGTGCTAAAACAAACCTGTGTAAGTGGGCTCAAGGGTAAAACTCTGAACTCTTAATTTGCTGCACTTATGCATGAGTCATCATAATCTGTTAAGCAGACACCTCTCTACAAGTAGATTCACTGATGATTTAATTTAACAAGTTTTAGTCTGCCTCTCACAAGGTAGTTTACAAAATTCTAAAATTCATAAAAAATACAGTTATGAAAAACAGAAAAATTAGCAGTAGCTAAATATTTTTTTCCAGGTGCAGCACAATTCACAGGCACACTTTTTTTCAGGTGGAGCACAATGCAGGGTTAAATTAATGTGTCATCAGGGTTATTCAAGACCACCCATGATAAGGCTATGTGTATTTGTCTGCAAAGGGTGTTCAAAAGGTGTTTGAGGTACCTTCAAAAGGAGGTAGCTTCAAAAAGAGCTACTATTAAGAAACCCCGTCCCAGGGAATTGCTTGCCTAATGGTTCTGACTGGTGGATTGGGCAGGCTTATGCATGTGTAGGTTATCCTTCTAATAACGTGGTCTCGAGCCATGTTGTTGTTGTTTAGTCATTTAGTCGTGTCCGACTCTTCGTGACCCCATGGACCAGAGCACGCCAAGCACTCCTGTCTTCCACTGCCTCTTGCAGTTTGGTTGAGCCATACAGGGTTTTAACATTCAAAGCCTTTAATTGGGCCCAGAAATGATTAGGCTGCTTGTGTAATCTGAGTGCCCAGATCACATAAGTGTTCTAGCTGCTGCAGTTCTCATGTCCCTCCAAAATGCCACATGTCAGAGGAAATGTTGAGTCTGAAATAGCAGTTTCAGTTCGATGGAAGGACTGAATGCCATTGCAATAAGTTATATTTTTGAATGAGAATGTTTGGTCTAGGACAAATATGACCTACGTGTAGCTATCAGAGAAGAGCAATGCATAAAAACAATTAATATGGGATAGTTATTGGTAGGAAGATGGTTAACATTCCACTGCTGAGTATAAACAAGTGATTTGTCTGCAGCTAAGCTCCCCAGAATTGAAGGGTGTGTGTGACAGCACATCCTGACAAGGAAAAAATTAAATAAAAATCCACTTCTGTGTATACCAGTATGCTCTGAATTTAATTGCATCTGAATTCTGAGCCGTCCTGATTTTTTCTTGTTGCAGCTTAATGAACCTTCATGAACAAAAGGAGCGAACTCCAGACTGGATGATACACACAGGACTTTCAAACAGAAGTGTGGCCTGATGTAGCTTCCTGGTGTTAACTTTGTTTTGGCAATTTATCCAAAACTGATGAAATGTGGAAATAGAGGACCAGCTAATTTTATCTTTATCAAATTTAAAGGTATGCTCCTGAAAGTGAGTAAATATTTGCACCTTTAAAGCTGTTATGTTTGACTGTCACAATATTGGTATTTAATTCCTAAAGCACTCTTGTTTTCTGTGGACCCTGTACTAATTAATGTGTGCTTTAGTATAGTTTTGCTATACTAATATAGTATGTGTTGTCACAGCATTGATACTATGGATAATCCTGTGAAGCTTGCAGTTTTGTGAATGCTTACTAAGACCTGAATTTAAAATATCTGCCATACAATGTAAGATTTAGGCACTACTCTAGAGTCTGAAATGTTCTTGAATTTTGTTTATTACAAAGTTTGTGTTTATTATGACTTTTGACAACTTGATATATAGGATGAAGAGCGTTAGCAGCCTTTGCCAATAAAATGTTTTTCACTTACAGTTTAGAACTAGACTTTAGAGTTTAAAAAAATTAAAGAATGTCACATCTTTGGTGTACACCAAAGAGTTTGGAAAAATGTGATTCAATACATGTTTGAAAATACTTGTCTTCCTTCTAGGTTCATTGTTTCTGAACTGAATATGTGCTGTGTACAAATGACGCTGCCTTGCTCATGACATAATCAGTGTTATGTAGACGAAATAAAATTCAAGGGAAAATATATTTTGGAGAAAAAAATGCCAAAGAAAAAGAAAAATCTTGGTGTGAGCCCATCAAGAAAGAGCATAAACTCAGAAGCGACGCCTGCTGCATCTGCCGACTTGGTACCGCCTTCAGTAGATCTAACAATGTTACAAACACCGCATGGGATTGATAAAGAAGAACTCTTCAGCAGTCTTTCAGAAATGTTTTCTGACTTGGATCCTACTGTCATTTACATGGTGCTATCTGAATGTGATTTCAGAGGTAAATCAAATTCTGTTAATATTGTCAGCATTTGTGTTTAACACAGTGATAAGGAGAGAGAGGTGATAACATGGGGTATCAAGGACTGGAACCCTGAACAGCAGGAACACTCAATATTAGGACTTTTTGTCACAACAGCCACTTGTTAATAATCAGTGCACAAGTTCACAAACTACTTCCTAATAGTTACCCCAATTAGCTCAGGGCGTTGCTCTTTGGCTCTTCTTCCTACAGATTTGCTTACCTCGTACTGGCACTAATTATGTTACACAGCCTGACATCAGGCATTGGATCTTGGGGAATCTAACATAATGGCTGGGTAAGCTAGTCAATGGAGAGCAGAGCATAACTGAATGTTGGTAGCAGTTCCATGCTACAGTTCCGATGACAGCAAGGTCAGTGATGGCTTTTCTGAGCCCTAGGGCCTTTGGCAGGTGCCTGACTATATTGATCCGTGTTGTTGGCACTGCAACTGGGAACTTTCAGGTTGTCTGAAGAACACGGTAACCTTGAAATAAATCTTAAATTCAATGTCTATTTGTACAATGATCTTTATATTTTCTGTAGTTTAGAATGAGTTTCATATCGCTTCCAGTGACTGTGCTTTTTCTTCATTTCATAGTTGAAGACACTATGGATTATCTGCTAGAATTGTCTACAGCTGCTAAGGGAATAACATCTTCACCACATGTCTCAGGTTTTGATTCCATATCTGCATCATTGGTTGGTGAAAACCAACCAAGCTGTGTTACTAATGAAATAGAGGGCCAAAGTTCTGCTGCAATAAAAAATGTGAAATCTAGTGAAGAATCAGAAAAGTCTTCATCATCTGAAGAACTAGTTTTCTTGCAGTGCCATCCTTTTGAGAAATATAATCTAAATAGTGAAATGAAGGATTCAAAAAATGACCATATCTCAGGCAATCTGTCTTTGGCTTTGGACCACGGTAGCTCTGATCAAGTTAAAGAGTTATCTGGGTGTGCAGAGCCCTGTTTGGGTTACAATACTGTGCTTTCTTTGCAGAAAAAGGAAACAGACAGTGAAAAATTAGAAACCTCCACTCCTTTAAATCCAGATTGTGACAAACCCTCCGAAGTAGTTTGTGGAAAATCAGGCATTCAGACAAATGATGTGGATATTTTTGCACAAATCCCAGAGAACTGTAATTTACCTGAAGTTGTACTTGACAGTGGTGCAGTTCCAGAAGTTGTTTTGGACCTTACAACCCTAAATGACGTGTCTGCTCAACACTGCCAGGGGATTGCAGAATTTCAAAATAGTGTGTCTGACAATTCTAGTTCTTGTTCACACAAGACTGAAAAACAGGGAAACACAGTGACTGTGTGTAATAATTATTATAATACTTCTGTTCCTGACCTATGTGCAGAATCCACTTTCAAACTGACACCTTTTACAAATGTTGACCAGTCTCAGCAGATGTGGAATTCACAATTTTCTGTGCTTCAGAAACAGTCTCAGGAGTGTACCTGGAACCTAATGGCTCCTGTCTTTTATCCTCAAAATGCAAGCCATAGCTTTGTAACTCCAGTTGCTGTCAGCCCTGGGAAGTGGAGGCCTGCTTCAAACTCTAGGAGTCTTGGGAAAATATATTCTTCTCAAACAACTTCACAGTCTTGGGACAGCAAATCCTCTCTGCCGAAAATGGACGTTTCTCAAGTACACCAGCTTCCTGTTTGTCACATGATGAGAAGAAAGATTCCTCTCGCAGGTCATGTGCTTGTTCTTCTTAGAGGGGTTCCTGGATCAGGCAAATCACATTTGGCAAGGTAGAGTATTCATAGATTTTTCTTTAAAAATGCATCATTTCTCACACTCATGTATGTGCATTAACTGTGACTTTGCATTATGTGTATACACAGACACAAACCAGATCCCCTCTTTTCCATAATTTTCAAACCCTCACTATCTTTTTATCTATGGGGGAGGCCACTGTTTTGTGTCAGTTAAATATTAATCCATTGTCAACTTTAGGAAGTGAGAGAGGATTGCTCTGGATAGGAGAGTGTGAAGGAGCATACATTTCCAAAGCTGATTTCCTGGTTTGCATGGTTTTTATATAGCGACTACACTCCTGATCATGTGCTTTAACACCGAAAGTTGCTGTCATCATTGTGTTGCATTGTGACAGCCCGAGAATGGTGCTGTGTACTCTTGGCTTTTTTTTATATATTAGGAGGACAGAAATAATGTTTGAAACTTTCCCCAAGATTTAAAGTAAAGGTAAAGGGACACCTGACCGTTGGGTCCAGTCATGGCCGACTCTGGGGTTGCGACCCTCATCTCGCTTTATTGGCTGAGGGAGCCGGCGTACAGCTTCCGGGTCGTGTGGCCAGCATCACTAAGCCGCTTCTGGCGAACCAGAGCAGTGCACGGAAACGCTGTTTACCTTCCCGCCGGAGCAGTACCTATTTATCTACTTGCACTTTTGACGTGCTTTTGAACTGCTAGGTTGGCAGGAGCAGGGACCGAGCAACGGGAGCTCACCCCGTCACGGGGATTCGAACTGCCAACCTTCTGGTCGGCAAGCCCTAGGCTCTGTGGTTTAACCCACAGCGCCACCCATGTCCCCAAGATTTAGCTACTTTTTAAAGTTAAAACGTGTGCCACATAGATAGCACAAGCCCTGATTTAGAATGGCTTATCCATATTACTACACAATGCCCCTCTCTCCCAGCTGAGGCTCAAAATTGTGTGTGCACAATTAAAGAGAAATTGAGAGTGGGGAAGGGAGGGTAGATGATTGATTCAGCATTTTTTGTTTTTTTGCAGGGCTTTGCTTGAGGATAACCCTGGTGGTGTCATTCTTAGTACGGATGATTATTTTTACCAAAAAAATGGACAGTACCAATTTAATGCTGATTGCTTAGCAGACGCACATGAGTGGAACCGGAAACGTGGTATGTGCTAGATGAAGTTGAACAATTGTTGATTAAGAATATTGGAATCTATAAATAGAGAAGACTTAATGAAGTTCTTGTGCCAGGATTGGTGCTTGCCTATAAGCACATATTAAACAACAACTAACTGGGTTGGATAGGCCAGAGGGCCAGATCCTGAGCTCTCCCTCATAACACAGGCTGTTTTGACAGGTCGACAAGACAGCCTACTTGTCAGTCACCTGATGTCACCATGATTACAAACTTTGGTCATACTTCTGGCCATATTGCTAGCATTGTATATTGAATAGTTGAACGTAGGTTCATATATTTTAGTGCATATGACAACTTTGAGTATTTGAGTGTTTCTGCAGTGGTTTCTCATGGTTATGCAGTGCTTTCTATAATTTTCTTTTAACTGAGTTAACATAAAAATGCTGGTTTTATTAATACATTAAAAAAAATAATTACTGGTATGTTTTTCAGCCAAAGAAGCATTTGAAAAAAGCATCACTCCAATAATCATAGACAACACAAACACACAGGCTTGGGAAATGAAACCTTATGTTGCATTGGTTAGTATTCCATAAGTTATTATTGTTGAACCAAAAGCCCATTAACATTTTCTCTGCATGTTTGTAGACAGCATGGAGGTATTTGAGCTCATGCTCTCTATAGGCTGTTGAAATGATGGGGGGGGGGGAGGAGATTGAGTTGGCCTAATGCTTTCACACTCAATGCAGTGAGGATGGAGAAGCAGAACATGAGCTCAAAACATACTTTCAGTCTGCCTGGGTACAATTGCAAGAGCAAGCATCATTTAATGGAGCCCAGATATTAGTCATTTGGAAAAGCTGCATGTTTACTCAGAAGCAAGTCCCACTGAGTTTAATAGGGCTTACTCCCAAGTAAGTGTGTTTAGGATTACAGTGGTACCTCAGGTTAAGTACTTAATTCGTTCCGGAGGGCCGTACTTAACCTGAAACTGTTCTTAACCTGAAGCACCACTTTAGCTAAGGGGGCCTCCTGCTGCTGCTGCGCCGCCGGAGCACAATTTCTGTTCTCATCCTGAAGCAAAGTGCTTAACCTGAAGCACTATTTCTGGGTTAACAGAGTCCGTAACCTGAAGCGTATGTAACCTGAAGCGTATGTAACCCGAGGTACCACTGTACAACTATAAAATCTATAGTCTTAGATCTCTTATCTAAGCACGAGACATTTATTATGAGTGCTTACGTTGTACAGTTTTGATGAAGATCTTGTTCTTTGTGACCAGCAATGATGGTGGGTGAGATGTGTTCTGAACTATGACTTGGTTCATTTTTAACTGTATTCTTAACCTGCTGAGGGATGTATCTCAAGCGTTTTTACACTTTTATTCAGTCCCAGGAACACAAATATAAGGTTATATTTCGTGAACCGGATACCTGGTGGAAGTTTAAACCAAAAGAACTGGAAAGGTAAAAAAAAACCCCTCACGATTCTGTTATAGCATATTTGAAAAGAAATAATAATATCTTCAGATAAATGAGCTAGTAGGCGTGAGACCAGCTTTTATTGAACCCCAAAATGCAAATGCAAATTATAGGGATTGCTGCAATACTATGAATTGTTCTCTCTTTTCTTCCAAGAGAACCTGTGTGATTACTTGGACTAATTCGTTTGCGAATTGTACCTCTAGTTCATGTAAAGCTTCAGTTGCTTCAAAAATATTCTGTGGCTGTCAGCTACAGAGATTCTTTTAAAGAGCCTCAAGAATAGATACTATTATTCAAGCCCATTATCTTCATTGGTTAAGGATAGGGAGGTGGGATGTTGTGACAACATGATCTTCCATATATAAGTGGCGAGCAAAGTAGTACCTAATAACTGTATTTTGTTTCTCCTTTTTCCTTTATAATTTTTAGATTTTGATTATTGTTTCTTTCTCTGGTCCATTGCTAATAAAAGTTGAAGTCGGCATGGGCAAAAAAATACCCAAGAAAATCTACTCTTTCTGGCCATTAATTATTTCCAAAGCTATAAGAAAAGTGGTTTAAAATGTCATGATTTGTAGCAGTGGGTTTTTCCACATTTAGCAAGCTGTTGCTAAATAGTCAAGTAGAAATTGAAAGTAAAGGGTGCCAAGATCTATTTTACCCAGTTTGGAACTCTACCTGTTTACTACTTTTTATTTATTTATTACTTAGGCAACGTGATATGGCAGTGTAGGTTTTCATGTTGCACAAACCTTTATTTGCTTGTTTATGCACCATCAGCTGTTGGGAGAATTCTCAGTACCTGCTCCTTAAATTGTAACACCACGGAAAACAGCTTCAGTTAAATGTTTAATAGTTGCCTCAAATGTTTTCAACAAAAGTTGGAATATGCCTTTTACTGTGAGATTCATTCTCAGATATTCTGTTCTTTTTAATGTTTAGGCGAAATATTCATGGCGTATCAAAAGAGACGATCAAAAGAATGTTGGAACGATATGAACGTTGCCTGACTGTTAATTCAATTTTGAATTCTTCAATCCCAGATGAATTGAAAAGTGCCACCTGTGATGAAGTTCTTCACCACAAAAAGGGAGAAGGGTAAAATTAAAGTATCAAAATTAAAATTAAAGTATCAAAAGTATTGAAATACAAAACTTCAAGCCAGTTTACTTGGTTAGTTAATGATGCTGGTAATGCCAAGGTCGCAGGTTCAATCCCCATGTGGGGCAGCTGCATCTCCCTGCATTGCAGGGGGTTGGACTAGATGATCCTCAGGGTCCCTTCCAACTCTATGATTCTATCTATATCTGTAAAGTGTGAAAGCAAATGTCTGTGAGTCTAACTAAGACCTTATATCACAGAATGTGCTGAATGATTACACTTTCAGTTTCAGAAGTAGCATGGTTTTATATATCTCCATAATCTAACAACCTCCACTTTCTTTGACTCCTTCCCTTCAACATCCAGTTATCATTTTAATAATAATCCCAGTTACATCCAAGAGAAGGGATTGACTCAATAGCAGTCCTTTTTTTTCCATCTTGGCCCTTCTATCTTTCTAGGAATATGTATATAAATATTTCAATATATATTAGAAGATGTTATGGCTTAAGTGCTTTAGCAGAGGTAAAGATGATTAAGGTGTGCATTTTTTCCTTTAAAGGTCCATTTTAAAAATCCATTGTTTGATTTACAGGAAGGAAGATATGCCTCATTTTGGGAAAAACAAAGAACATTTTCCTTCACCTTTAAAATGCATAGAATTAAGTATGGAAGATAAGCATCAGTCACAGAAAGTTACAGTGGAAAATCAGACTCTCCTGAATAAAAAGAGAGAACTGGAGCATTGGGTTCAAGACTGTACTTCTAAATGTAATGTCTCTCTGGAAGACATAGATCTCAATGCATCATCAAGGACAGACAAAATTGATTCTACTCTTGAAAAGATGGACTTGGTAAAGTCTGAGGAAAGTGAATTCTCAAATTTCAGTGAAAATATTCAGAAGTACAATAACAAGGACATAATAGCTGAAGTTGAAGCAAATCAATGTGCTGAAGTACTAACAGAAGCAGAGTTAAGACTGACAAAAAACATGAATAAGGCAGATTCAGGCTGCGATAAACCAGTAGGGCCAGAAACAGTAAATTTTGTGGGAGACTGGCCAATAGAACAAACTATGGGGCAGAGAGTGAAAAGAGCTAGAAGGTTAGAAAAACTGACTATAAAGAATGGCAAAGAGGATAAAGGTCTAAGCATACCCAATTTTGATGCATTAGCAATTCTAGATGAAGATGAAAAGGTAAATCCGGTTAATATTCATGAAGAGCTGCCACTTTCTCAGAGTAAACAGGAAGATATTAAACAGCCCTCTGCCTGTATGTCTGTTGTTGATACGGAAGAAGATCCATCGCGACTGCTGATTGTAGGAGACTGGCCTGTCCAAAACTCTTTAGAGCAAAGACAGCACAAAATGAAAAGAATACTCAAGAGAAACACTGGTGAATCAGAAGAGATTATAAGTAGTCAATGCAATATTAACGAAAGTACTCTGAACACAGTAACGGTACTTCCTACAACATCTGCAGGTGCTGGAGAGCTACTTGTCTCATCAAAGAAGGAAAGTCTTTTGGCACCTGAAATCTCTGGTTCTGAAACTCTTAGTGAGAAAAAGTCTGTGCAGAACAAAAGGGCACGCAAGCATCATAAATTAGCTCTAACATTTACCAACAATTTGGCCCTCAGTAAACCAGAGGAAGAATTGTGTCTGTCTAATTTGCTGGAAGAGAAACCCAATGAATGCATCATGGCAGAGGCCAATAAGTATTCGCAGACGGAGCCCCAGGATTTTGCTCTCCTGTGGAGGCTTGAAAGGAAAATTATTGTTTCGGAAGATACCAAAGTATTAAATGGCAGACTGGATGGATTCATACCAAAAGGCATTCATACTGCTTCAGAAAAAATACCCTATAAAGTAACTTATGAGAAAAGCACATATGTGGAAGAAAGTGAACTTGTCAACATTGATGTATCTGAGAATCTGAATATTTTGTGTAAACTCTTTGAGTCCGTTTCATTTGATGCACTGAAGGACTTGTATGAAAGATGTAACAGGGACATTGATTGGGCTACAGGGATCTTGTTAGATTCTGCTGAGAAGTTATGCAGAGATGATGAGGTTGGACCCTTGCAGGAAGCACAGATTCAGCCTTCTGGCAAGTCTCTTGACTCTAATGAAAATGCTGGTTATAGAGAACGACTTGCAGATTCTGAGGAAACCACTCAAGGAACTGTGTCTTCTAGAATTAGTCAGGATTCAGAAATAACAAATCTCTCTGTTGATGATGGAGGTGATGAAGCTTCCACCGTTAAAGATGAACACAACTTTTCAACTGCTTCCACAGCAGAAAACAAACATTTAATGCTGTCTGCTCCAAGAACTCATGTCGAAGAATCAGGAAATGAGAAACCACTTTTAGATACCACACATACAAAAGAGATGAACTCCGTTATGATATCAGAAAATGAGCAGCCGAACAAGGTGTTGCATACTGAAGTGGACTTAAGTGTTCCTGTGACTATAGCTGATGATTTTAATGGAGGCCCTAACACTTTGAAACCCACTTTTGATGTGGAAATAGAAAACACATCTTCAGAGAAACATTCAGAGTGTTCAATTATAGAAGAGCTCCCATCTCATCTAATACTTACAGAGGGCTCTGCAAGCAAGGACAGCAAATTTGAGGTGGATAAAAAAATGAATTGTAAACCAATGTTTCTAATTGCAGCAAAAAATGAAGAAAACAAAATACCCAATCAAGATAAAAGCAAGTTAGTGAACCCCACACCTGTATCAAAATCTGTGAATATAAATTCCCTAGAATTGGTCTTACCTCCTGAACTAGCCATTCAATTAAGTGAAATATTTGGACCTGTTGGTGTTGATTCAGGTAATAAAACCATGATTTTTAAAAAAATGCTAGGAGTTAAAAAACCCAAAAGTATTGGTTATTTGAAGCTACAGCCGTTGATAGATATTAGAAAAAAGACTCACCTGTATCTTGGTGGTGGTCAGACTCGGTAGTGGTCAGCAGTTTTTACTCATTTTGCAAAATCTTCCAAGTCATTGCTCTGTTTTCCACCATATGAGTGAATGGCAGCCATTCACTTACATAAAGTTAATTAAAAGTCTACATTTGGGAATGCCAATAGGGTAGAGATTTAAGGTGCCCCTGTTAAGTCCAGTTTCTAGACAAGCGATAGATTGTAGCTCAGTGTAGAGCATTGAGCTCTGCCTTGAATCCAGAAGGTCCTAGGTAGGCCTAGGAAAGACCCTGGGTTGAGAGAGAATCCTGGGAAGTCAGTCATTGTAGACAATATACCAGCTTTCATTAGTCCCAAACAGCATGACCAGTTGTCAGAAATAATGGGAAGGTGTAGTATGGCAACGCCTGGGGGGCCACACGGTCCCTATCACTGGTCCAAAGTCTGTCTGTCTGATTAGCTTCATCATCTCCATATTCTCACTTTGGGTCCTCCTCCTTAGTGAAATTTGGACCTGGTCAAACTGATTTTGTTGTTGTTTAAAAATACTCCTTTGAGTTAATTTATTTCCTATTCCACATTAGAATTGTGGTTTATAAATTAAGCTGTGTTTCAAAGTGGTGTTATATTGCTCTGTTTTGAGACAGATTCTCTGAATTATTTCAGGAACTGATGCTTTATCCTACAAAAAAGCCAAGATATTTGATTAAGAATAAGCTTGGCTGAACTACATTTAATTTGTACAGTATTTTAACCTCTAGCTTTTTTATTCAATAAGGATCTCTAACTACTGAAGATTATGTGGTTCATATCGATCTGAATTTAGCCAGAGAAATTCATGAAAAATGGAAAGCATCTATTACAGTAAGTCAGTTTCTTTCTAAAGACAAGTCTGTGGCATCTTATGCTTGCATTAAAAAGCACTGGTATTTATTTATTAGCTGACCCCTGTTAAAATATTTCTCAGAATTTATAGTGCATGTAAATAAGTGGCATGATTATACTTAGGTCACATATACTCCAAATAAAAGTTCTTAAACATACAATCAAAATTTTGAACCAACTAACTTTTTAACTTTTTAAAGACGGAACATGTCAAAGGTCTGATTCATGTGCTTTTCATGCAGCCGCAAGATAACACAGGCAGAAAAACTCAGTTTAAAAACATGGTAAAATGTTTATAAACAAATGGTCTGGGCTTGAAGTGATAAGCATACAACCTGAACCTGTTGTAAACTGAGTACAGTTGTCCAAACAAATTTTATTAATCCTTTTTTAAAAAAAACTAATTGGAGATTCATTAAAACTTAATAATATGATTAATTGAATTTAAAATGTTTTAATTTAGAAGCGACAGAGGAGAGAAGAGGAGTTGCATAAGCTTCTTGAAGAAGGTAAGCTTATGTTGTTCTAATTAATCACTCTGGGCCTTCCATTATTTAGACTGGGTGCCCTTTTAGATGTGCATCCAGATTCTGATCACCACATAGTAACAAATACAGCAGGAATGGCAAAGTTATTCAGTCTTCAAAGTTATTCTATGTAAAATAAATATAGCAGCACATTTGTTGTCATATGGGTAATCCCATCTTATCATACAGCCACCTTAGGAGGTAGGGTTTCAGGACCTAGCAGAGTGTTGTTTTTGACTTTGCACATCTCTAGCTTGGACAATATTATTCTTACTCTCCCCCGCCCCTCTGTCTATCTCATCTACATTCAGATTAAGGTTTATTTATTTCTTGTCCTTTTATATGTGCAGCAAATTTTATTTGAAATAGGGATGCACAATTATCTATGTATATATTTAGTTGTTGCTTTTTTTTAAAAGCACTACCTATTTGTGAAAAGAAAGAGCATGTACAGTGGTACCTTGGGTTATGTACTTAATTCGTTCTGGAGGTCCATACTTAACCTGAAACTGTTCTTAACCTGAAGCACCACTTTAGCTAATGGGGCCTCCTGCTGCTGCTGCCGCCGGAGGACGATTTCTGTTCTCATCCTGAAGCAAAGTTCTTAACCTGAAGCACTATTTCTGGGTTAGCGGAGTCTGTAACCTGAAGCGTATGTAACCTGAAGCATATGTAACCCAAGGTACCACTGTATGTAGTAAAAATGCTGTAAAGAACAGCACGTGAACACAAAGGGACTGAGCAAATCACGAAGCTTTGCAACTGAGAGGCCAGAGGTGTGGAATTACCTATGTGTGATCTACTTCTCAGACCCTCAGAACCACAATCTGTGCTTCAAGCCACTGCTTTTGAAATTAAGTTCCCCAAAAGGAGGAGGAGCCAGCAGAGGAGTGTGAAATCAGCCATGTTTTTTTCAGGTGCACAGGCACAACATGGAGTAAGGCAGGGAGTAAATACTAATGTGCCATCAATATACATGTGTCGCAGTTAGAAAAACACAGTAAAATAAAATAGTTTTTAACAGTCTGTTTTTATTTATGCCTTAATACAAGTGACACCTTTCAAAATGCATAAAAAAATACATGTATTTGGATTATCTGTATTTGAAACTGTTCCTTTAAAACAATTCATCACCTTCCGGCTTTGTTGCTTCTGTAGATCCCATGCTGTTTGAGCAATTCTGTCTAGATGAGCTGGACAGCCTTCTTTCTCCGCACACAAACTGTCAAGTACAGAAGACCGAAAGACTGCCTACAGATACGCTACCTGAAAACTCAGCTGCTTCAGAGTTTTTTCCTTTCATGGATCACTGGAATGTCCAGACGCAGAAAGTATCACTCCGGGAGATAATGTCCGAAGAAATCGCCTTACAAGAAAAAGAGGACCTGGTATGATTAATAATAATAATAATAATAATTTTTCATTTATACTCCGCCCTCCCCAGCCAAGGCCGGGCTCAGGGTGGCTAACAAGCAATAATAAAACAAGTTGAATGAATATAACTTAAAAACAAGATTAAAATATAATATTAAAAATATTGAAACATTAAAATATTAAAATGCAGCCTCATCACAGGAGGAGAAAGGAAAAAGAAAGAGGGGGAGGGAATCAAATTGGCTCCAAGCCAAAGGCCAGGTGGAACAACTCTGTCTTATAGGCCCTGCGGAAAGAAATTAGATCCTGCAGGGCCCTGGTCTCATGAGGCAGAGCGTTCCACCAGGCCGGAGCCAGTGTTGAAAAGGCCCTGGCTCTGGTTGAGGCTAATCTAACTTCGTTAGGGCCCGGGACCTCTAGGGTGTTGCTATTTACGGACCTTGAGGCTCTCTGTGAGGCATACCGGGAGAGGCGGTCCCGCAGGTACGACGGGCCTAGGCCGTGAAGGGCTTTAAAGGTCAAAACCTTTTACACATACATTGCCCCTTAGCACTATGCATTTCCTATATTTCACCCTCATTGTGAGCTGAAGCATGCAGCAGGGCATAAGATCAGCCACTAGGCTCCCAGCGTAATGGACCTCTCATTCTCTTGTTCTAGTTCTCATACTTGGCCCACTCACCACTTCCTTATGCTATAACAGTAACCGCTTTGCAAACACTCACAAAGTTTCACTTGCAATGCAGCTGCACTGCCTAGAAAGTTGGTTATTAGTTTAGGTCAGGGAGCGGGTGGCAAGTGACTGTTTTCTAGCACATAAAATCTGTAAGGGTGGCACTGCCATCTTGCTCCAGGATAACTTTCCACCAGTGATGTTGATGTATTAAGCTGATAGGGGAGGATTAAACAGAAAGTGGTGCTGTACAACAACTATGTGGTTCTGTTGTGCTTGTGAAGCTAAAACAGAGAGTAGGATGGGGCTGAAATGCGATTTAGCCAAAGTCTAGAGCCAGAAACCTGCCTTTAATTCCAGTTTCTTGGTATAGTTGACTCTCAAAATGAGATGGGCATAAATGAAGTAATTGGCACCGATGGGGGCTTGTTTTCTGAGGTGAATAACATGTGGGAGAAATTTCTATTAGAATTTCTCAGAAGGGAAGAGTTAAATCTTTCCTTACTGCACCCTGGTCATGATGAAAAATACCCCCTCCCCCCACATAGGCAACTGTATAGAAATAATGGATATAGTTGTAATGACACATTTAGCACCATGTGCAAGGTTTTGCTTCTAATGCGTTTTCCCCTGTTTTGTGTACTCCTGAAGACCAAAAGTGTGGCATAGTGGTAATTTGACTGTTAATATGTACATTGGTGCCAAGATGTAAATTAGAAACGGAGATTTTTAGTGGTATCCCCCATGAATCATCTTGATTTACCCTAATTTATTAACCAGCTTATAGCCACCGTATTGTGCTACTTTATCTCCCAAACCAAACAGTCTCTTCAATACAGTTTTGCAAGCAGCCTTTTATGATTTAAATTTCAGGTGGCTGAAGCTAGAAAATGTCTCCCTATAAATAGTATTGCCAGCCCTAAATAATCTGGAACCAATAACAAAGGGTGGTATCCAATGTTGTGAGAGAAGAAGTAGCACAATTACTATACTTCTTCCTCTGCATTGCCCCCCAACCTGCCCTGTGATTTGCTCTGGAGGTTGCCTCTACCCAGGGGAGCAGATTTGGGAACACACAGGAGAGAGGAGGAAAAAATTGGTTGTCACCCACCCCAAAATGTGGAAAACTCTGTAATTTTGAAATCTTTTTTCTTTATTAGATCCATTTTTCTACAAAGACTTTTATAATAATATAATTATAATGTAAACTTGTTTTCTGGATTAGAAACGCTCTCCTTTCATGGCTAGAAAAGACTGCGCTGCCAAACTGAAAGAGAAGCAACTCCTGGAGTTATTCCCAGCTATTAACCCAAACGTCTTAATGGAAATCTTCAAGGACCACAAGTGAGCTCTTGCTTGTTCATATGATGCTGCTAAATTCAAAGAACTAAATGGCTTGGATCTGAATACCTTTTGAATTGCTTTATACTGCACAAGTCTGTTCAAGACTACCCTTGAAGGCTTTTCTCCAGATCTTCCTGTCGCCTGAGATAAGGCCAGTAGTGACCAGAGACAGAACCTTCTTTGTTGTGATGTTCTGGCTCTGGAATTCTTTCCCCGGGAGACTTGCCTGGTGCTAGAATTTGAATTGAGAAATTAAAGATCAGGTTTTAGAATGCAAGCTTCTCTCTCTTTCTTGTGTGTGCGCGTGTGTGTCTTGCTTTTTCCTTTCTTGTTAATTAACAAAGTTCTGCTGTTCTGTGATATGTCTTGAATCATTCACTGGCTGCTGCTTCTTTTTTTTTTATCTCAGTTATTCCTTGGAGCAAACCGTCCAGTTTTTGAACAGCGTTCTAGAGTCAGATCCAGTAAAGACAGTTGTAGCCAGAGAGACTGCCCAGGGTGCCATACTCTCTTCTTGCAGTGCTTTAAAGACACGAGAGAGAAAGGTAATGACCATCTTGCACATTTGTTGCAAATACGTTTAAATAAGATGCTGTTATAGTGAAATATGGGTCCTCAGCATTTTTAACATTTTAGGGAAAGGACTTCATAAATAGTAAATAAAAGTCAGCGTCAGTAGGAGTATATATGATTGCTTCTTGTTTTGAACTGAGCAGATAGAAAATGTCTTTGGTTGGAGGTGTCTTACTTTAATAAGCCTTGGACCATGTCCTAAGTGTAACACCTATGAATTATAGGCCAGAAGGTGCAAGGAACCAGAAGACATTCTTGGTGCAAAGGCGTTTCAAGACTTTGAATATCCAGGATATGATGATTTCAGGGCCGAAGCTTTTCTTCACCAACAGCACAAGCAAGAGTGCCTGAGAAAAGCCGGGGAGGCGTATCGCATGGGAATGAAGTCTGTAGCAGCATTTTATGTTCAAAGGGTAAATTTGTCTTAATCAATCAATTCTGCAATTTTTGCCTTTTTTACTGGAAATGTTGGCCATTCGTAATCATGTAAGTTTTTGGTGTTTGCACTGATAACCGCCACATAAGCAAGTGTCAATGCTCTTTTTGAATCTCCAATAGCAGAACTAGTGGACTGTGTGCTGAAATATTCCCCCCCCCCCCATAAGGTCAGAAACATTTATTTTGAAATAAATTGGAAATATGTGGACATGGCATTTTAATTCAGAAACAAGCAACTCATGGCTTTCAAAGTGCTGTTGGATTAGAATATAAGACGACAATGGAAGAGCTTATTCACTAACAATGGCTGGAATTCAAAGTGCTACATTGCATGCAAATGAGTGTTTGGTCATTGACAATAGAAACTCTGACTTTTTGCTTATTGAGTAACAGGCTCCTATGCCATATCACAAATTACTATTGAATGTCCCCTGCATTTCAAAATAGCCATGGAGCGACTTGCATAGTTTTTTGGACCCCAGCATGTATTGTGTACTTCTACAGGTGGGATAGTGTTTTAAACCATAATTGCCATACTGAAACCTTCAGGTGATTCTCTTAGCGAAGGCACACTGAGTTGTTTTTTTACCAGTTGTATATATGTACACAGTCAGGGAGCACAAAGTTGACTTCCTCTCTCTTTTTTCTTCCTACCTTTATGATCTCTGCTCATTTCACACAGTCTCATTGTGACTTACATCTTCCTGAAACCCACCTGACAGGCCTTACTTGACCTACTTTGACAAGTTAAGTCTAAATGCACATGTCACTGTTCTGAGACATTACAACTCCCTGCCTATAGTGCTGTTTTGAATCCTGATATCCAGTGCTGCACTTAGGTTGCTCCTCGTGATGTTTACAGTAGATGTGTGTTTGCATCAAGGGTCGCCTTCATGAGGAGAAGATGAAAGAAGCCAACCGCGATGCTGCCGTGCAAATCTTTGAGAAAGTGAATGCCTTGAAGCTTCCTGAAAACCTTTTGGACCTACATGGTCTTCATGTGGATGAAGCTTTGGCTCACCTGGGTAGAGTATTGCAGGAGAAAACAGAAGGTACAAGAACACTTCTTTGTTTACAGAGATTACACTGGACAGTACAGTGGTACCTCGGTTTTCGAACATCTCGGAAGTTGAATGTTTTGGTTTTCGAACACCGAAAACCCAGAAATAAATGCTTCCATTTTCGAATGAGCCTCAGAAGTCAAACAGCTTCCGCTGAGTTTTTTCGAATTGTCTCTATTGAATTTGCAGACCGCCCTTTGCGGCTTTGGTTTTCGAATGTTTTGGAAGTTGAATGGTCTTTTGGAACAGATAACATTCGAAAACCGAGGTACCACTGTATTAAAACGGATGGGTTACTTTCCATGTCAGTGGATGGGCTAGCCTTCATGGACGGAACATATAATTTGCATATAATAATAATAATAATAATAGTTAATATTATTATTTATACATACATACAGTGGTACCTCGGGTTAAGAACTTAATTCGTTCTGGAGGTCCATTCTTAACCTGAAACTGTCCTTAACCTGAAGCACCACTTTAGCTAATGGGGCCTTCTGCTGCTGCTGCGCCGTCGCTACACGATTTCTGTTCTCATCCTGAAGCAAAGTTCTTAACCCGAGGTACTATTTCTGGGTTAGTGGAGTCTGTAACCTGAAGTGTCTGTAACCCGAGGTACCACTGTATAGACATACATACCCTACCCATCTGGCTGAGGTTCCGCAGTTACTCTGGGCGTTTCCCAACAGAATATTAAAAACACGATAAAATGTCAAACATTAAAAATTTCCCTAAACAGGGTTGCCTTCAGATGTCTTCTAAAAGTCAGATAGTTGTTTATTTCCTTGACATCTGATGGGAGGGTGTTCCACTGGGCGGGCGCCACCACCGAGAAGGCCCTCGGCCTGGTTCCCACATAGCACTACTAAGGTTAAATTCCTGGCATCTAGTTAAAAGGTTCTTGAGTAGCAGTACTGATACAGATACCAGCAAGCTGCTACCAGTCACAGTAGACAGTACTTGGCTAGACGGACCTGTAGTCTAAGGCTACTTTGTATTTCAAAATTTACCATATTGAAAGATTTTAGATATATTCTAAAAGAAATTTTTTAATCTGTTGAATGTGGAATTCATAAAGAGAGAATATTGTGACCATTCTTATTCTTGTGTAACAGAATGCAACCTGGCTGGTGGTAAGCCATATCTCTACGTGATCACAGGAAAGGGAAACCATAGCCAGGGAGGAGTTGCTCGCATCAAACCAGCAGTTATGAAATACCTCACAAGCCACAAGTTCAGGTGAGCTGAACCTACCGTTACTGACAACTTGCGATCTGCATTTAACCAGTTAAAAACTGGTGGTTATTTCACTAGAAAGCGTAGTAGACATCCTGGGCTAAGCTCCTCAGCCAGCCTTATTGCCAGGTCTGCAGAGTGCAGCAGGAAGCTTGTATCTAGGATCCTAGGTCATTCCTAATGACAGTCCTGGCTGCTAATGATGGTTTTCTTTTTATTTGCCTATGGTGGTAAACACGGAATCAAGTGAGAAAGGAGATTTGAGATTGAGTTATTTAAATCTAGTGAAAGGGTAATGGGTGAAGTCAAGAGTGGAAGGCTGGAGCTGGGAGAGAATTCGGGAATAATAGAAAATGAGTTGTTTTTGCTCCCTTAGCTCTCTGGTCTAGCCCAAATACACCCCACCTTGTGCTCTGCCATGTTTCTGTCTTTTCAACACCTCACCTGGTCAATGCCAGTGGGATTTTTTCTTCTGTGAACAGTGAACCTCTCTTCCACATGCTGTGCCCCAATCTGATTTTTAAATTCCCATCAGTGGTTTGTTATGTGACACAATGGTGGAGGCTGCTTCTCAGTTAACAAGCTCCAAAGCATCTTTGGGCACAGAGAGCAAGCTTATTTGAGGCAATACTTCTTTATTAGGCTTATTATTTCTTAAGTTACTGTATTCTTCACTCTATAGGACGCACCTGACCATAGGACGCACCTTGTTTTAGAGGGGAGAACAAGAAAAAAAAATATCTCTCCCTCTCTGCGCAGCACCGCTTCAGCGAAGCGGCAGGAGAAATGGAGCCCCTTCCATTTCTCCTCCCGCTTCGCTGAAGGGGCGCTGCGCAGAGAGGGAAAGCTGTGCAGCGCCTCTCCAGCGAAGCGAAGCCAGGAGAGCAAGAGGGATCAGTGCACACCGACCCCTCTCGCTCTCCTGGCTTCAGCGAACCAACCCGAAGCCTCCGGCTTCAGGCGGCTATCCCTGAAGCCTGGAGAGCGAGAGGGGTCAGTGCGCACTCCAGGCTTCAGTGAAAGCAATGCGAAGCCTCCGGAGTCCGGAGGGAGCGCTCCCTCTGTGCTTCGGAGGATTTGTTGCTGAAGCCAAGGAGCCAGCATTCACTCCATAAGACGCACACACATTTCCCCTTAATTTTTGGAGGGGGAAAAGTGCGCCTTATAGAGCAAAAAATACGGTAGTTTCTTTCATCCGGCCAAAAGGATGGTTTAATTTCAAACTTGCCCTTCTATATGGTGAAAGTGTCATGTAATGCTGTGTAATGTTAGAGCATTGTATGAGAGATTAAAAAACCTTTCCACCCGCACAAGCCCTTACACAAACGAGCATGAGAAATGCTGTATACCACTGTGTGGATTCTTATGCAAGCATTTGTGGAACAGTGCTAAAGTCTGTTTTCCTACCCCTTGCAGTTTGAATCAAACCTTAAATGGTTGCTTACAATATTATCCTGATTCACAGGTTCACAGAAATAAAGCCAGGCTGCTTGAAAGTCATGCTGAAGTAAAAGGATGTCACCAAGAGGATTGGAAAGGCTGCTATAAGTGACATACAAACAACTTCAAAATATAATGCCGTTCCTGTGCTACTTTTAAATAACAATATTTTACTGGAAATATTTTAATGTTTTTAGCAGGTGTGTTTTTTGTCAGCATGTTTTCCTCGCCAAAATTGAATGGATTTTTTTTTCTTTTTAAGGGAAATAGTTTTTTGGCCTCATGCTATAAAAGGAGTCCATGTGAAGAGAACTTCTGTACAAGAAATTGACTTTCAAAGGGAAGGCTCCATTTTGAAACACTCTGTCCTTCTCAGATTTAAAGATTTAAAGAACATCCACAAATATCTCAAGCATTATCTTCTTAAAAAACTTACCTTGTTCTGTATAAGCGGGGAAGCCAACATAGTACCCTTCAGATATTTTGGACTACATTCCCCATCATTCCTGGCAACTGGCCATGGTGGTTGGGGCCGATGGAAGTTGTAATCCACATTTGGAGGGTATCATATTGACTACCTCTGCTCTGTCAACATTAGGCTTACATGTTTTTAAGACTTGGAGCTAAGATGCTTTGAAATAATTAAAAGTTTTGGGGGGAGAAAATGATGCAGTGGGTTGAAGTAATAAGAGCTAATAATTATTTATGTTCCTTGGGGAGAAGAGGAAATGTTAGGTGTTAACATTTCCCTGGACTTAAGAGAAATACGTCGTCTCATACCCCAGTGAGTTATCTGCTCAGATTGTCCCAACTCTTCAACTCTCTTCATATATGGAAAGTGTTGACAATACTGCCTGATGAGATGGTTGAGCTTTTTTGGGAAAGGACATGGGTACCTAAAGGTCTTGACCGTTATGTAAGTAATGAGGAGCCATTTCCTCTTTCATTTATACAGTTGCCACTAGAATCAACAAAATTTTAGAAGTCCCAGTTTTTGTGACGTATAAAGAGCTGAATTCAGCTATATGTTTGTGCTAGTGGGAGCCAGCATAACAAAGCCCGCTAATGCAACGGGTCTTCCCCTGCTCTTGCGCTGATGGAAAAATTCTTCCATTTTCGCTTAAAATATTAAGTGCACTGGCTCATGAGTGCAACGAGAATATGTACAGAGAGCTGCTGTGTGAATTGAAATGTACAAGGGTACCTGCAGTGAAGCTCTTTTTGTGCATTGTAACTCCTGAACGTGTGACTAAAGTTGCTGGATCAGGGTTGGCATTTCCATATTCTTTGTGGTGGGAGAAAATGTAAGGAATCTTCATAGACTCCATCCTGTCTGTATAAAAATTACATATGGTCTATTAGAGAAGACACCAGCAAACTGACGCCGTGTAAGGGTTTGCCAGGTTTGAGCAAGCCTATATGCCATTAACGACAATACTGGACAATACTGGATAAAGCATTTATCAATGGCAGCTACTACCATTGCAGTACTGATGGAGGGAGCTACATCTACTGACATTCTCATATTCCTACTGCTGCTGTTAAAACATACATGGTTTCCTTCAGATCAGGAAGTACAGCAATGTGTGCATGCATATCGCTCTTACAGGGATGCAGTTTCATTTGAAAACGTATCCTCATTATTGATAGTATATTTTGTGTGGATTTTTAAACGTTAATTCATGGCTGAGAATCAGCAAGCAACTCAAGGTATTTTTTAAACATATTTTAATATCAAAACTGGATGATCCTAGTTGCAAATTGAATGACATCTCCCATGATATTCAGTGCCTCTGTATCCAAACCAATTAATACATATAGAAATATTTTGAAAACTGATAGGTGACATTTATTTTCAAGAATATGCAAATAATGTATACATGTCTTTCAGCGTGGACATGCAAGTGCTCTTTAAAATTGTTTTATAATTATGAAGCTTTTAAAACAATTGAGGATTACATGTGAGCCGTTGTGTAAATAGGTGAGTGTGAAATATTTCAAGTTACAACCAATTGTGTCCTTCCACTGATGGGGACTTCTATCAGAAGCGTCCATCAGTGGAAGGAGGGAGGCGGCAAATTTTGCCAGTTTCCCCCTTCCCTCCTGCAGTGCCATCTCCTGTGCTGATCTGAAGGTTCTCCCTAGCCTCTGGAGCAGATTGGAAGGGCACAATAGTCTATATGGGGGAGGAAGAATATATGGCAATTACCTCCCTCTCCATGCCACTGATGGAAGCCTCCTAAGTGCCTTCCATCAGTGGAGAAAATAACATTGGTACAACCCTTCATATCTTAAAGGTGCCATTTCAGTAGAATTTTGAAGCAGCCAGTTTCTTTGACATATAATGCAACAGAATTTGCACACATATGTTATGGACACCAGTTAAATTGGGACATTTTAGTGCATGTGCAACTATTGAAAAGTTGCAATCTGCAGTTAACTATGGTCCTTTCAAAGAGATCTTTGAGTGGGAACAGATTCCTGCACATTGCAGGGAGAAAGGAAACTCATCCAGTCCTTAGTATGTTTTTACAGGACTTACCACCTATATCCTACTATAGTGATATCTAAGCTTAATGAGTTTTAGAAAAGATAGCTTTTGAATCTGGAGAAAAAGATGATGGAAGGAGTGCCTGGTATAGAAATCCAAACTGCCTTTTTTTTTGCTTAGGGGTGTATGTCATTATGGGAGAAAAACAAAACCTTTTTCTTCTATTTTTATAAATCAAGCACTTTTAAATATGTGAGTTGCTTGGTGGCTAGATTCCCCCTCCCCTTTTTATGTGGGCTGCCCTATAGCCAAAGAAACTACTACTGCTTCTCCCATTGAAATAATTGGCTTTTTCAGACTTTTCACCTTCCTGTGTACCAGAATGGGTGTGTTCATCAAAATACTTATTCAGGAACCTAATGCAAATAAGGGATGCTTCACCATTACCATTGTACAGATATGTCTGTATGGCAAGGACATGCATGCATGTTTTGCTTCATGTACAAATCATGGGGAAACCACTATTGACTCTGGGATCTTCACTCCATGTCCAACTAGCCTGAGCAGATGCATAGTGTTGATCACACAAGAAGGGGTAACGACACACTTGGAAGAGCTACCCATATTAGGATAACCATTATGTGAACGGCCCCAAGGTAGTTTCTCTTAATGCGATGGCAGATTTATCTTTTCAGATGCTGATCTATTTTTGTCCTCTTTTCATGAACGGAGTTCTTCTCGCAGGAACTTTGGATCCAAGCCATTGTGACATTGTAAAAATTTCACTCCTTTCGATAGAACCTGCCAAGTAGAAGTGGCTGCTGGATTATAGCCTCCCGTTCCCTTCTACACTTTAATAGATTATTTAAAAATAACTGTGAATAACTTCTATATTTTCTTAGGGAAAAAAATACAACTGAAGAAATTAAGACTAAACCTGAAAATACCTGTAAGGATACCTAAGGGAAATGTGTTCTTTTCAATGTCTCAGTACAACGTTCACAATTGTTTTCTTTGTTTTGGTATTTTTACCATGCTTAATTTCTTAAAAAGTCAAATGTCTTAAGATGAGGAAGAATTATAATTTCTGGGTACCCATTTTTTTATTATTAACGTCTTAAATTAGCCTCCAAAGACGATGTCATGAGCATATGCTTATATCAATTAGGGTCATTGCTTAGGCTGCAAAAATTGTACTCTAAATGTTTTATTGAAAAGAGATTTAAATTTACTCAGGGCAGTGGTTTCTGTGAAAGTGCCTATGGAAATGATAGCCTTCCCAGTGTCAAATATTTTCAACAGATAGATATTTTGATTATAACTGATATTAAGCTTGTATGTGCAGTTCAGGTTTCAAAACATTACTTATCCTTTCTTCATTTCTTGAAAAAGAATGTAACATCCCTTAACTATATGGACTTTACGTAAACTTCAGCTTGCTGTGGTGAAACATTAAAGGCTAGCACACATGCTATATATTCACATACATGTCTTTACTACATTTTGCAAGGATGAACATGCGAAACAGGTGATTGCATAGATGCCCTTCCTGTGATCCCAGCAGCACTCTTTCCTGGCCATGACAATTGTGTAAACTGCTGTGAGTCATATGTGAGATGACAAACGTTTTCCCATGTAAACTTGTGTGTGAGGATGGTGGGAAATGTTTACATGGGGAAAATCTTGCTCTTTTCAAAAGGGGAGAAAAAGTTCAACTCTCAACTACTGACCGGGATTATACTACTCTACTATAATAAAAAAGTACAATGAAAAATCCAGTATTGTGTCACAAAAATATGGCCAGTATGTAAGTAGATTTCTTTACTGTTCATTTTTTTTTAGGTGTATAAAGCTCTTCTGGTTTCCTATCTTTTTTTGTAATGTTTGGTTGTTAGCACATAAAATTTCTTACGTGGATAATTTCAAATAAAATCCAGTTTAATAAATACACATTCGTTTTAAGAATTCTTCGTCATCAGGTGTTTGAGCTAAAATGAAACTGAAGTTTGGCGTGGGAGCTCCCCACTCCCATTTAAGGAAATTAATGAGATATAACCTTAACACACGAATAACCTGTCTTCGTAAACTGTGGAACAACCTGATTTTCAGAGAGAGACGCCTGGTTCTTAACTGAGATACTAAACCTGGGTCTGGGCTACGCTAGCTCAGATTGTAAGTGGTGGAAAAAAATTGTGGGGTCGACGTGTCACCGTACCAAAAATAAACAACCCTCCACACAGTAAGCTTGAAGTTGAGGGAAAGGGTTCTAAATTAGTGATCTCCTTGGCGTGCAAGTTTTCTACGTCAATGGTGAGTTTTAAATAGAGAAGTTTGCCGTACGATGCCCATCTCACCTGCAATGGTACACCCCAGAAACAGGTTTAGCACTCAAAGAGAGAACTAGTATACAGTTTCTCTGAAAAACCATCAGTGAAGTAGCACTTCTCAGTTTCTGGTGGTTGTTCCAAGAACTAACAAGTGCTTTCCCCTCCTGCTTTATAACCAGATGTTACTGGTGAAGAACAATAAATTGGGGGAGAGGGGAGACCAGAAAGAGATTTGGATTCTGTATAAAAAGCC